AACGGCAGCTGCCGTCCGCCCGACGCGTCGCGCGCGGCGCCGCCCGCCGCCCCGCGCGCCCCGCCCCGCGCGCCCCGCGCCCTTCGATGGACGCCGGCGTCGCACGTCGCCGCCGGGGTGGTCGTGCCAGCCGGACACGTCGTAGATCTTGTTGTTGATCATGAGCCAGCCGTCCTCGGGCGAGCGGTGCTTCGTGACCTCGCTCCACGCGAACTCCGACGCGACCATCTCGTCCTTCTGCGGGGGACGCTCGCCGCCCTTGCCCATGATGCTCCGGTAGTGGTTTTTGTGGCTGTGTGCGGCGCGCTGGCGTCGACGAGGCGTGTTGAGTGCCACGCTGGTGCCGACTCCTCGCTGGCGCCAGGGACAAAAGATACTCGCATCTCGTGACGGTCACGCAAATCGTGGATGTTTCCAGAAGAAATCGAGTCTGGGCGCGAGTCTGGGGAGCGCCACTGTTCGTCGCGGCCGCGTCGGCCATGTCGTGCTCCATGTCCTCCGTGATCGTCATCGCCATCACGCTGTCGAACGCCGCCGAGACGGCGGCGGCGGCGACCCTGCGCGGCGGCGAGGCTGCCGCGAAACTCGTCGTCGGGGCAGCCCCGACGAACGGTCGACACCGCCGCCGCGTGGCACTACGTGCCAAAGCTGGGCTACTACCGCACGGGAGCGGCGTCCGGCGACTCTGGGCGAAAGGAAACCGCGACCCGCGTAGGCATCGAGGCGCCGAACGCGTGGCGGCCCGCGTTCGAGCGTCCGCTGTTCAGGCGAAAGACGACCCGGTAGGCACCTCCGCGTCGACTCGTGCCGCGACGTGCCCGCGGGCTCCCCCGGCGCCCTCGCGGGCACCTGCGAGGCCCAGGGCTACGTCGTCTCCTGCGTGCCGTGCGAGTCCTCCCGGGCCGTCTTCGTCCGGGGCGCGGGCGTCTGCGACCAGGAGCACACGCGGTGCTACTACGAGGCCGCCGGGGAGACCTGCGCGGACGTCGCCACCTGCCCGTTCTAGGCGCGCGGCGCGGCGCGGCGCGTAAGCGCATTCATCCGCGCCGCGGTTTCAAAACCGGGTCGGGGGTCGACCTCGCGCGGGGCGAAGCACCCTCGAGCGGCACGGGAGTGTAGAGCCTAGTTACCTCGCCTCCCGTCGCACGGGGTTCTCGACCGTCGCGGCGGCGTCCGGGACGTCCGGCTCGCCGATGCGCTCGAAGAACGCGGCCATCTCCTCGAGGGACTTGCCCTTCGTCTCCGGCAGGTGGCGGTACACGACGAGGAACGTCGCCGCGGCGATGAACGAAAAGAAGAAGAAGTAGCCCGCGTAGGTGAAGGCGCGCGCCCACGACAGGAACGTCGACGCGACGACCGTCGACGTGAGTCGATTCGCGACGGTCGCGAGCGTCATCGCCTTCGCGCGGATGTTCAGCGGAAACACCTCCGACGCCAGCAGCCACGTCACGGGCCCGATGCCCAGGGAGAACGCCATCATGTAGGCGTTGACGCACAGGATCGCCAGCAGCCCGGAACTCGCCGCGAACGCGACGCCGAGCAGGAAGAGCGCCGACCCCATTCCCGCGAGCGACACGAGGAGCAGCGGCCGCCGGCCGAGCGTGTCCAAATAAGAGGCCGCCACAACGATGCAGCCCGTCTTCAATACGCCCGTGACGATGAGCGCGGCCAACACCGTCGTCCGGTCCATGCCCATGTCGAGCAGGATCCGCGGCTGGTAGAAGAGGAGCGACTCCTCGGCGAGGATCTGCTGCGCGAAGGCGACGCCGACCCCCGTCAACAGGGCTCTTTTGGCACCCGCCGTCTCCGGCCGCAGCACGGCCCGCCAGCCCGCCGCCGCGTCGCGCTCCCGAGCGACGGCGTCGCGGATCTCCTGCAGGTCGCCGTCCGACCCCGTGAGCTTCCGTAAAATCGCCCGCGCCTCGTCGTCGCGGCCCTTCAGCACGAGCCAGCGCGGCGTCTCCGGCATGACCGTCAGCGTCAGCACGAAGAGCGCGGACGGCATCACCGCGCCGCAGCCGAGCATGACCCGCCACGCCACCCCAGGCCTCAAATCCCGAAAGCAGAACGTCGCCACGAAGCCCAAAAGAATCCCCACGTTGATGGAGATCTCGCTCCAGCTCACGAGAGACCCGCGGAACTCCTTCGGCGCCACCTCCGCGATGTAGACCGGGTCGACGGACAGGCCGACGCCGACGCCGACGCCCGTGACGACTCGGAAAAACAGCAGATCCGTGAAGCTCTGCGACGCCGCCATGCCCACCACCCCAAACACAAAAACGACACAGGAGCACGTGAAGGTCCGCCGTCGACCGAGGTGGTCGATGACGTAGTGCGCGACGGCCGCGCCGCCGATCGCGCACCCGTTCAAAATCCCGACCAGGATCTCGACCTGGACGTCGGTCAAGTCCCAGTCCTCCTGGACGTAGAGCGCCGCGCCGGACATGACTCCAATATCATATCCTAAATTCGCGCTGTTTAGCGCGGCGACGAACGCGAGCAGGTACGCGTAGCGGCTCGGCGCCGACGGCCCTTCGACGTCGAACGGCGGGACGCGCTTCGGCGACGCGTCGCCGAGGCTCACGGTCCGGAAGCGGCCGAGCTCCGGGGCGTCCAAGGGCTGCCCGGGCGCGTCGCCGTCGCTGCTCGCGCTCGCGCTGCGGGACCGCGCCAGCGCCGCATCCTCGCGCTGCGGCAAAGCCTCGGCGAGCGCGTCGTCGTCGGCGCTGCCGCTCGCGCTGCGCACGGCTTCGAACGCGGCCGCATCGCTCGGCGCGTCGTCGGAGAAGCCGCGGAGCATCTATAGACGGTCGTTACCGCCTGTTACGACTTGCCTCCTACCCATCGCGTCGGAGCAGTGCACCATCGCCTCGAGCATCCAGAGCATCCACTGCGTCAGCGCGATGGTAGCCCGCTCGGCGTGCACGCGCGCGGCGCTCCTGCTCCTGAGCACCTCCGCCAATGCCCTCGCGCCCGCGTCGCGGCGCCGCCTGCTCAGCGTCGGCAGCGGCGCGCTCCTCGCGCCGGCGCTGGACCTCCGGCCGGCGAACGCCGCCGACGAGCCCATCGACGTCTACTTTGGCTGCGGCTGCTTCTGGCACGTGCAGCACGAGTTCGTCGTGGCCGAGAAGACGATCCTGGGCCGCAGCGACGCCCAGGTGACGGCGCGCGCGGGCTACGCGGGCGGCGCCGGCCGCGGCGACAAGGACAACGGCGACGTCTGCTACCACAACCTCCGCGGCCAGAACGACTACGGCAAGCTGGGCCACGCCGAGGTCGTGTCCATGACGATCCCGCGGTCGTCCTACGGCGCCTTCGCCCAGGAGTACTTCAAGCTCTTCGCCAAGGACGGGTCGCGGCCCGACCAGTTCGGCGACCGGGGCCTCGAGTACCGCAACGTCGTCGGCGTCCCGGGCGGCAAGGGCTCGCCCCTGGTCAAGGACCTGCTCGAGGCGACGCTGAAGCAGGGCGACAAGGTCGACTTCGCCCAGGGCAAGGGCAGCGACGCGGACAGCAAGGCGCTCGTCTGGATCATGGACACGGCCGCGCACCCGTCCTACCGCGCGGAGAACTACCACCAGTTCCACGACGGCTTCGCGCCGGGCGAGAACTACCCGAACTCGTACAACGACCTCGGCAAGGGGCCCATCAAGCTCGTCGACACGACGTGCCCGAGCTTCTAAGGACTCTTGGGAGGAGCGGCAAGTCCTGAGGCCCCGGGGCGGAAACCACAGGGCCGAAACTGTTACAGGTAGATTACGGGAGGCGCCGGCGGCGGCGTCGCCTCGAGCGGGCAGGGCGGGCACCGCGTCGCCGGCGACGGCGGCGGCACGCGCGGCGGCGACGGGATCGACGAGTTCGCGGCCCAGTCCCGCGCCTGGGCCGCCGCGCGCGCGTCGTCGCCCCGCGGCTCGCGGTGCTCGGGGCACGCCGCGCCGCCCGCGCAGTACGGGTAGTGGAAGGAGTGCAATTGCCGCCACAGCTCGACGGCCGGGGCCTCCGCCGCCGCCGCGACGCCGACAAGCCGCGCGGCCTCGGCGTCGTCCTCGACGGGCTGGGCCCAGCGCGTCGGCTGGGCGAGCCAGGCGAGCGCCTCGGCCGCGACGCGCTCCGCGTCCGGCCGCCGCCAGATCGCCGCCCGGTCGCCGCACAACGCGTCCAGACGCGCGAGCTGCGCGTCGGCGGCGGCGACGGACCAGCGCGCCCAGTCGACGGGCGGCGCCGCGCCGCGGCGGATCTGCTGCCGGTGCGCCGCGCAGCCCGCGCACGTGGGCACCGCGCAGCGCGGAAACTTTCGCCGGTGGAGCGCGTCGGCGAGGTCCGTCGCCGCGCGCGCCATGAGCGGCAGGCACGCGTCGACGGAGCGCCGCCGGTCGCCGCGCGCCCAGGCGCGCAGCTCGTCCTGGCAGGCGCGGATCTCACCGAGGGCCAGGGCCGCGCCGCGCGCGTCGACGGGCGCGCCCAGCGAGGCGCGGGCGCGCTGGAGCCGCTCCTCGACGCGGTGCGTCGGCGCCAGCGTGCAGCTCCGGTCGAAGAGCGCGGCGAGCGGGTCGTCGTCGTCCGTGAGGGCGTCCATCATCGTTGTGCTCGTGCTCGGAGCTCGGCAACAACGGGGGCAGCTGCGACAACGGCGACGGCAAGCGGTCTGAAGAGGAGCCTCGAAACCTCACCACATCGGCGCGAGCTCGCCCAAGCCAGAGGTGGCGCAAAGATGCAGCGATCGTGCCGAGATATAGACCGGCGGCCGATAGCGCTCGCGCCGCTGCCCCATCACCATGCCCCGGGGCGTGTCCTACGACGATGACCTGGACCTCGAGGGCGACGAGCCGGAGCCGGCGGACAACGACGCCGAGCGCAACTACCAGCTCATCGAGAACCTCATGTCGAGGCTCCAGAAGATGGAGTCCAAGGCCTTCGAGCGGCGCCGCGCCTGCGAGGCGGACCAGGACGCGACGACGGACATGTGCTCCTCGAAGGTGCCGAGCCTCCAGCAGGACATGGACGAGAAGGACGGCGAGGAGCGCCTGAGCCGGAAGCCGTCCATGTTCCTCTCCGACGACGGCTCCGAGATCAACGTCACGTTCCGGTCCGCGCCGGCGACGGAAAAGCGTGATTCAACATATCTTCACCTTTATGTTCCGCGCGCGCGCGTTCCAGAGAACACATCGACGCTTCGAGAGCGCTCCGAGAGATGATCGCCCGTCCAAAAATGAGCCGAAACGAGTGGAAGACGTCCGAGAGAGGAGCCTCCAAAGTTGGGCATGTCGCACTCTTTTCCCGTCCAGGTCCGCGCCGGCGACGGAGGCGGGCAAGCGCCTCGACGTCAAGTTCGACGACGAGGTGGGCCACATCCTCACGTCGGCGCCGAAGCACGCCAGCGTCGGCCGCGCGCGCCGCGGCGGCGTCTCCGGTTCCAGCGCCGCGCGGACGCGGCGCACGGACCAGCACAAGCAGGACGAGAAGAAGCAGGAGCGCATCAAGTTCGAGCGGCGGCTCCAGTCGAACCTGGAGCACTACGTCACCCGGGCCGTCGGCGAGCTGCGCTACGTGCGGCCCGGCGACGTCGCGCGCGCCGTCGACGACGACGACCTGCACCACCACCTCGCCGGCGTCGCCGTCGACGGCGGCGACGACGCGCCGGAGCGCTGGCCTATTCCGATTATGGCCCAGGAGATGAATCCGCGGTTACTGCTGTCCTACTCCTGCGAGCGCATCGTGCTGCCGAGCGGCGGGCGCATGTTCAAGCACTTCGTGGTCTGCCAACTTTCCTGCCACCTCTACGTCTACCTGTACTGGTACGTGCACTGCCGCTTCTTCCAAGATTCGTCCGTGGAGGAGCAGGAGCACCTGCTGCGCCACGTGGCGACGCTCTACGTGAAGATGCTGAGCTTGAGGTCTTTGGAGGCGCACCGCGATTTCTTCTTCAAGTACTACCCCTACGTGCTCGCGAACGCGATCTTCTGGGGGTTCTACTACCTGTGCCCGGGGTCGCGCCACCTCTACACGAACGGCTTCAAGAAGATCCTGTACCTGCAGATGGCCCAGATCATGACGGGCATGGACGTGTGCCCGTCGTCGGTGCAAGTTTTGCGGCAGCAGGTCTTCCCCGAGGAGGCCGCGGACGACGACGGCGAGGAGCAGGACTCGCTGCCGCCCCTGCCCATGCACGGCGCGGCGAACGCGGACAAGAACTTGAGGAACGCGCAGTCGGCGACGGTCATCGACGGGCCGCCCGACGGCAAGGCGCTCGCCGGGTCCGCGTCCGCGCCGGCGATCCTCCCGTCGGGCGAGGCCGACGACCTGCTCGACGACGCCCTGTTGGACGGTGTCGTCGAGGAGGACGCCCTGGACGCGTCGTCCCAGTCGCTCCTCGCGGCGAAGAAGAAGCCCGGGAGCTCCGCGAGCCTGCTGGGGGGCCGCGCGCCGTCGAAGCGCGGCGACACGGCCGGCAGCCGCCGGAGCGGGCTGCCGCGCCACCCCGTGGCCTGCTACACGGGCGGCCGCGACGAGCTCCGCTTCCGGCCCCCGGCGCCCCAGAACCTGCAGAACGTCATCCCGCGGCAGCGCAAGGTCAGCTTCAACACGTCCGTGACGTCGCCGCTCCTCCAGCAGTACCTCGAGCAGGAGCCCATGATGAAGCGCAACTCCGTCATCCGCACGAGCCCCGTGCACTGGTGCTACACGGGCGGCACGGAGACCTTCGTGAAGACGCCGTCGTCGCGCGAGATCCACGACGGCCTCCAGCAGGCGTACCGCGACGCGAAGCTCGGCTACCGCCGCGACTGCGCGGAGCTCCGGCGCAACTTCAAGCGCTCCCTGCGCCACCTCGACAACGAGAAGACGCGCATCCAGTCCGGCGGCGCCGTGTCCATCGGCCGCTACGCGCTCGACCGCGTCGTCGAGAACATGGCCGCGTCGTCGAACTCCGCGGGCGACAAGGGCAAGGGCAAGCCGCCCCGCGCGAAGGCCATCTAACTACACAGGGGGGGGTTACTGGAGCTCGCGGCGGATGCGCTCGAGGCGGAGCGCGGCCGCGAGGTCGCGGATCTGGCCGTCGACGGCGGCGAGGAGCGCCGCGAGGCGCCGCTTCGTCGACGTCTCCTCGAGGAGCGCCTGGCGGTCGCCGGCGCGGCCGAACTCGAGCAGCGTCGCCAGCGAGAAGCTGAGGCGCAGCGCGCGCCGCGCGGCCGGGTAGGACGGCGAGAGGTCGGGCCGCAGCGCGGCGAGCGGCGCCGGCAGCTCGAAGTCGCCCGACGTCCGCGACCGGCGGATCAGCGCCGCCAGGTCGTCGAGGCTCCGCCAGAGCAGCGTCTCCAGACCCTCGAGCGCGGGGTCCTCCGCCGACGCCGGGACCGCCGGCGCGCGGAACAGGTCGGGCGCCGGCTTCGACGCGCCCCGGAGGAACCAGCGGCCGTCGAACTCGAGGGGGTCGTCCCAGGCCGCCAGAGCGCGCGCGTCGAGGCCCCGCTCTTCGTCGTCTCGTAACGGCTCCAGCGTCTCCGCGAAGCGCACGAGGGGCTTGGCGCCGCCGGCCGCCGCGTCGACGCGCACCCGTTCCGTCGCGTGCGCCAGCACGAAGAGCGAGTCGCCGCTCTTGAGCGTGTCGAGCACCTGGACGACGCAGCCCACCCTCGACCCCTCGAGCACGTGCACGTACTCGCGGTTTTCGCTGCGCAGCACGACCTCCTCGAAGAGGTAGCGGAACGCTGGACGGTGCACGTGGATGACCTCCCTCAAGCCGGGGTACACGGCCCAGGGCGCCTCGTGCACGGGCGTGCCCTTGTCCTCCGCGGCGTCGTCGCCGGCGCGGATGAGGTCGTTGAGCTTCGCGACGGCGCTTTCACGAGATTCCAACGCCTCCGCAGCGGCGCGGCGCCGCCGGAACTCGTCTTCGGCCTCCTGCTGGTCGAACTCCTTCGGCTCGTCGAGCACGCGCAGGCGCGACAGGGTGGTCCGCGTGATCGGCGGCAGGAATGCATTGCTGGTGGCGACGAGACCCAGCGCAACGACGAAACGCGACGCCATGCTGCTGAGGCAGATGGGCCGAAGCAAGCCTCAACGCTTCAAGCAAACATATTGCGCGCATGTTGCCTTCAGCTGAGGTTACTCAAACCTTGCACATCAGTATGGACCTCGAAGACACATCTGGTGGGACACCATGGCGGAGTTGGGGGAGTGCTGCATTGAGATATGTTGCGATGCCGCGACGGACCGCCAGAAGCGCGAAGGCACACCTTCTCGCGCGCGGTCCTTCACGGAGGCGCTTCGGATGCTGCCCCAGGGGGAAGCGAACGAACAGCTCGTATGGATCCAGCAGGACTCGCAGGTGCTGACGGTGCTGAATCACACCTCAGACGAGCGCGGGGACGTCAGCGTCAGCGACGCCTACTGGAACATCACGAACGTCCCCATGGGCGGCGCCCTCGCGGACGCCGGGGTCGACGCCGCCGTCTACGGCGAAGCGCTCGCCGCCGTGGACAGGCGCGTGCGTCGCTTCTGGAACTCTGCGGTCCTGGAATGTTGCCTGGTCCTGCTCATCTTCTTCGCGACGGTGCTTCCGTTGGACCTGCTGGGCCTGGGCGAGAAGGTTTTGCGCGTCCAAAATTTCGTCGTGGCTTCGCTCGTGGCGCTTTGGCTCGGCGTCACGCTCGTGTCGATGGCCTGGAACCGATGCGTCGACGCGCGCATCTCGTCGGTCCTCAGACGCACGGTCGGCGACAAGATGCCGGGGGTGCGCGTCGAGTACGTCGCGCGCGGACGCTACTGCCTCGCCACGGGCAGGGCAGCACAAGAGAGCGAAATTCCCAACTTCAAAGGCTCATATCTCGGCCGTTTTCCACTCGTTTTGGCTGATTTTTGGACGAGCGATCATCTCTCGGAACGGTCTCGAAGCGTGGATGTGTTTTTCGTAACGCGCGCGCGCGGAACACTCACGTTGAAGCGACGTCGAATCACTCTTGTGCTGCCCAGGCCACGGGCGCGAGGTTCCTCCGCTTCACGGTCGAGGCCGGCGCGCCGGCGGCCAGCGTCGCCGCCGCGGACCAGATGGAGCGGGGCGGCGCGGGCGTCGACCCGCCGGGGTTGAAGCCCCTGGAGACGACTTCCACGCCGGTCGTGTGACGCGCCCCCGGCAGCGAGGCGCGTCGAAGGTCCGACCCTCAGGGTTTGTTGCTTTTCCGAAAAGGGCGGGTCCGCCGGCGGGCGGCCGCCGCGCCTGCGTCTTCCGCGCGCCCCGGGTGTGCAGGCTGGCCTTAAGACCCCTCGAGTACGCCTCCAGCTTCTACGACATCGGCCGGGCCCGGCCGAGCGCGACCGAGCGCGACGAGCTCGCCGTGGCTTCGGTCGTGTACCATAGCGATGAACGCTCTCTTTCCCTCCACGGCACTAGTCGGCCATTCTTATCGCGTCGAGTAGCCGAGGACCGTGGACTTCGTGCGGAGCAGGTCCGCGTCGAGGACGACGCCCGCGCGGCGGAGGAGCGGCTCCGCCGCGCGCACGGAGAGCATGTACCACCGCAACAGCAGCTCGTTCTTCGCCTCGTTGGACAGGTCCGGCTCGAGCCCGCCCGCGGCGGCGACGTGGGCGAGGCACGCGCCCACGGACACGCTCAAATTCAGCGACTCCGCGAGCCCCCGCATGGGCAGGTGCACGCGCACGTCCGCGCGGGCCCGCAGGTCCTCGGAGATGCCCGTCTCCTCGTTGCCGAAGACGAGGGCGTAGGGCTCGGCCGCCCAGTCGACGTCGCCGATCGGCCGAGACCCCGGCCCCAGATCCGTCGCCGCGACCTTGTAGCCCGCCGCGTGGAGAGCGTCCACGAGGTCGCCCGGCGCGTCGTGCTCGCGCAGCGTCAGCCACTTCTGGGCGCCCATGGCCGCGTGCATCTTGCGGTGCCGCGTCCGGTGCTGGGCGGTGGCGCCGGAGTCGACGCCGCGCGCCCTGGCGCGCTCGACGCGCGCCTCGAGCGTGTCCTTGACGACGTCGACGTCCTGGACGCCGAAGGCGTCGATGGTCCGCAGGCAGGCCCAGGCGTTCGCCGGGTTCGACGGCCGCTCGAAGGCGACGCGGAGGTGCGCCGTCCGTTGGCCCGCGACCTTCACGAACGCCGCCTTCCGCTCCGGGGACACGTAGGGCGCGAGCGCCCGGACGCCCGCGGCGACCTGCGCCGCGCTCGCCGACGCCGACACGAGCGCGAAGCCGACGTCGTCCTCGCCGGTTTTGTCGTCGAAGGGCTCCTCGCCGTACTCCCATTGCTCCGCGATGAGCGGCGCCTGCGCCTCGCGCACGCGCCGCTCCTCGTCGCTGGCGCCGACGCGCTGCCGGCCGAGCGTGACGGCGCGACGAGGGGAGCAAAGACGTCGAGATGCGCGGAGTGCGGCCACGTGCGCGGCCACGAACATCATGGCGTACAGCTTCATGCCCTCCTCGCTCGAGCGTCAACTTGACCTTCAATGCCATGGGCAACTTGCAAGCGAGAGGCTTCCGAGATCATTCCAAGGCGGCAGCCCAGCATGGTCCCAAAGCACACGCAAGGAGAGGACCCAAGCACACGAGCAAGCAGTGCCCGCACGGACCGATGCATGCGCCCAACGAAAAGATAACGATAAATGACGAGTCCGCGCCCGTCGAGGGCGAGCCGTCGCCGCCCGTCGAGCCGCGCTCTTCGCCGCCGCACGCCACCAGCTTCCGTGGTCGTGTGCGCGCCTTCTGCCTGGTCTCGTTCGTCGCCTGGCTGGTGGCGGTCGCGGCCACCTGGTGCGGCGTCGGCGTCGCCTTCCTGCAGCCCAACGAGCAGCTGGTGCTCCGGGGCCTCTCGGCCGTCACCGTGCGCAACGGTCCGGGCGCCGTGGTCTACGCGCCGCTGATCAACACCGCCAGGAAGCGGCGGGGCACCAAGCTCGACGAGCTGCAGTACATGGTCGTCAAGAACGAGCTGACCGGCCTCGAGTTCGCCGTCGGCGGGCCGCAGCTCTACTTTCTCGGCGCGCACGAAGTGGCGGACTGGGAACCGCGGCGCAAGATCGTGCTCGAGAAGCACGAGTACGTGCGGCTGCTCGACGCCACGAGCGGGCAGCAGCGCCTGATCAAGGGGCCGGCCAAGGTCGTGCCCGAGCCCTTCGAGTCGATGGTCGACGGCGACGAGCCCTCCAAGGCCACGAAGCTGTCCAAAAGGCAGTACGTGCGGGTCACCGAGACGCTCACCGGCGCGCGGCGCGTCGTCTCGGGGCCGACGCTCTTCTTCCCCGACGCGTACGAGACCGTCGGCCGCGTCGACGAGGCGATCGAGCTGTCGAAGCGGCAGTACGTGGAGGTCACCGAGACGCTGACGGGCGCGCAGCGCGTCGTCTCGGGGCCGACGCTCTTCTTCCCCGACGCGTACGACGCCGTCGGCGACGTCCCGCGAGGCGTTCGAGGTGCGGAAGCACCAGTACCTCAAGCTGCTCGACCAGACGACGGGCGCGCTGCGCGTCGAGCGCGGCGAGAAGAACGTCTTCCCGCGCGCGCACGAGGCGGCGGCCGAGGGCGGCGTGCAGGACGCGGTCAACGTGGACGACGAGACGGCGGTGCTGGTCCTCGACCGCGCGACGGGGCAGCAGCGGCTCGTCGAGGCGCGGGGGCTCTTCTTCCCCGCGGCGCTCGAGACGATCGTCGAGGTGCGCACGCTCGTGCGCGTCGCGCCGCACGAGGTCGCCATCGTGCGCGACAACGCGGGCGCGTACAGCTTCCACTCGGGCAACGGCACGGGCAGCGGCCGGGGCACGGCCTTCTTCCTGCCGCCGCACTGCGAGCTCGTCACGATGCACTGGTCGAGCGGCACGAGCGCGGAGGACGCCGAGTCGAACGTCGTGCGCAACGCCAAGGCGGTCAAGTACAAGGTGCCCGTCACCAAGGTCGACCTGCGGTCGCAGTACGCGTTCTTCGAGTACAAGGTCCGCACGAGCGACAACGTCGAGCTGCTGCTCGAGGGCACGATCTTCTGGCAGGTCGTCGACGTGCCGCGCATGATCGAGCGGACGGGCGACCCCAAGGGCGACGTCTGGTACCACGCGCGGTCCTCGCTGATCCAGGCGGTCTCGGCCGTGACGCTCGAGCAGTTCATGGCGAGCTTCAACGCCATCGTCTCGCGCGTGGCGGCGACCGACGCCGCGTTCTACGAGCAGCGCGGGGTGCGGCTCCACGGGCTCGAGGTCGTGCGCTACGAGTGCGCCGACGGCAAGACGGCGGGCGTGCTGCAGGAGATCATCCAGGAGACGACGAACCGCATCAACCGGCTCCAGAAGCAGAAGAGCGAGAACGAGGTCGAGGCCGAGCGGCTCTCGTCGCAGATCGACATCGAGCGGCAGCGCACGCAGCTCATCGAGGCGCAGACGGCCAACCAGAAGCTCCAGGCGGCGGTCGCGGGCGAGAGCGAGGGCACGCGGCTCGCGCAGAACTCGCTCGCCTTCCTCGAGCTGCTCAACGGCTCGGTGCCCGACGCGGCGACGCGGCTGCAGCTGCTCCGCTTCTTCAGCGAGCAGCACACCCTCGTCACGCAGACCGCGCACCTCGCCGGCGGCAACGCGACGCTCTTCCTCACGCCGGAGAACTTCCAGCTCCGCATGCAGGTGCCGGGGGCGAGCGAGGACTAGCGGGGCGGTATGTCGCCGCCGCCGCCGCCGCCGCCGCCGCCGCCGCTCTGCCGCCGCCGCCGCCGTCGTCGTCGTCCCGCGCGCGTGGAAATTATACCCATTGCGTACATTGCCTTCACCAAAACGAGTTGACGCGTGTTGCAGCAAACTTGCCGCGCTCCGTCGACGAGGTGGCTGTCGCGAAGCCGACAGACGCCGCTCTCGCATCACGCCCGACAGCCGTCGGGATCGCCATCCGCGTGCGTTTCACGCCCGACAGCCGTCCGGCCCGTGATTTCTCTCACCATGGCCGGCTGCTGCCCGTACGCTGCCTGCACCTACGCGGCGCCGATCGTCCTGGCGGCGCCATCGCTCCTCGCGAAGTTTCGGTCGTCGCCGCCGGCGACGCAGGCGATCTCGCTCGCCCTGCTGCCCTTCGTCTTCGCCGCCCTCGCGTCGTCGGCGGGCGTCGACGTCGCGGGCTTTGCGAAATGCGTCGCGAATTGCTCGCAGACGCGCAACACGGTCGTGACCGGCGCGCTCTTCTACGGCGCGTTCATCTACAAGTTCGCGACGGCCGCGCCGCCGCCGGCCGACGCCAAGGCCGCGCCGGCGTCGTGCCCCTTCTCCGGCGCCAAGACGGCGCCCGGCGCGACGTGCCCGGCGACGGGCGCCAAGTAGCCGGTAATCCTTTCGAGCACGTACGAGTAAAAGCCGCCGCGGGCTATGTTACACGCGCGCGAGCGCGCGCGTCGCACGGCCCAGCCCGCGAGCGGAAGAAAGTTCTCGAGAAGAATGTTTACGGCCCGAGGATCATCCCGAAGAAGTGCTCCGCGACCTCGGGCCGCGAGCGGACGCGGCGGCCGTCGTCGTGGAAGTAGTAGTAGTCGTACTTCTTGGCGGAGCGGCTGCCGATGCGGCGGCGCGTCGCGCGGACCGTGACCTCGGCGTCGGCCCGGGCGACCGTGGCCGCGTCGACGCCCTTGCCGCGGAGCCACTGGACGAGCCGCGCCTTGCAGTCGTCGCAGCCGCGGCGCGTCTCCGCCGAGTCGTCGTAGACCGGCGGGGCGCGGCTCGGGCGGGGGTCTACGACTCGCGCGGGCGGCGGCGACGGCCGGCGCGGCGGGTGCTTCCGCGGGAGGTGCTGCGGCCCCTCGGCCTCGAGCTCCTCGTAGATGAGCTCCCGCGGCGGCGGCCGCGGCCGCTTCGACCGCCGCGTCTCGCCGAAGCGGAGCCGGAGCGCGTGGAGCTGGTCCCGGGGCACGGTGCGCTCCTCGAGGGACGCCGCGTCCGCGGCCCAGTCGCGGTGCGCGTCCAGCAGCTCCGCGAAGCGCGTCAGGCGCTCCTCGACGCGCGACAGCACGCGCTCGAAGTCCCAGTACGCGTCGCCGTAGTCGACGGAGACGACGTCGCCGGCCGCGATGGGCCGCGCGGCGACGACGACCGTCGCCGCGCCCCGCTCGAGGAACGCGACGTTCGGCGCGCCGCCGCCGCGCCGCTTCGGCCCCCGCGCGTCGTTGATGAAGCACGCCGGGTTCCGGAGCTCGTCGACGAACGGCAGGAGCACGGTCTCGTCCTCCTCGCGGTAGATGAGCCACCGCCAGTAGCCCACCTGCTCCAGGGGCCCGAGGTCGCAGGCCGTCGCGAGCGTCGCCGCGGGTCCGACGACGCCGCCGTAGGGCGCCTCCGCGCCCGCGGGAAGGTCCTCCGTCGCGACGACGGCGAGCTGGCCGTGGAGCGGCGACTCGGCGTCGTCGACGACGTACGTCGCGATGGCGAGGCGCGGCCGCGGCTCCGCGAGGCCGTCGGCCGCGCGGCGCGCGTGGTCGACGACCGCGTAGCCGTCGACGTCGTAGATCAACGGCGCCGCGGCCGCGGCGGGCCAGGGCGCGGGCCGCCGCGGCCGCGGCGGCGCGGGCCGGAAGCGGTCGCGGCAGCGCGCGGCGGCCGCGGCGACGTCGCGGAGCGCCCGCCGGTCGAAGCGCACGGCGCCCTGGTCGTCGACGCCGTCGACGGCGGCCTCGAGCGCCTCGCGGAGCGCCGCGACGGCCGCGACGACGCGCGCGTTGAAGGGGAACTGCGCCGCGGCGTCGCCGGCCGTCAGCGCGTCGTGCGCGTCGCGCGCCGCGCGGCGAAAAACGAACGCGTCGGCGACGACGGCCGCCGCGTCGCGCGGGAACGCGGGCAGGAGGTCGTGCGTCGGCCGCGCCAGCGCCGCGACGCGCTCGTCGTCGCTCGGGACGTCGCCGCCGCCCGAGAGGTCGAGGAAGAGCGCGAGGCACCGCTTCGACCCGTAGCCGTGCGCGACGTCGACGGCGTCCAAGCCGTCGACGAGCTCGTCGTCCTCGAGCTTCGCGCCGCGCTGGAGGAGCACGCGCGCGTTCTCCGCGCGGTCGTGCGCCGCGGCGGCGTGCAGGGGCCGCCAGCCGTCGACGGACGCGGCGCGCGGGTCCGCGGCGCACGCGTCGATTAAAAGCGCCACGAGCGCCGCGGCGCCGGCCTTCGCCGCGAGCTGGGTCAGCACCTCGGACGCGGCGGGCAGCAGCGCGTCGCCCAGCGCCTCGGCGAGCGCCTCGACCTTGGCGCCGTCGCGCGCCGCGGCGAAGGTCCGCGCGCCCGCGACCGCGCGCAGCGCCGCGCGGCCGCGGCCCGCGCGGCCGCCGTCGTCGGCGCCGAGCGCGCGCGCCGCCCAGGCCTCGACGGGCTCCGCGTCCTCCTCCTCGGGGGAGACGCCGTCGTCGTCATCGTCGTCGCGGCCGCGCTTCCGGCCGGCCGCGGGCGTCGCCTCCGCCGCGGCGGCGGCCGGCGGCGGCGTGGCGAAGCGCCGCGCGCGCGGCGCGCCGAGCACGGAGCTCCGCGCGAGGGACGGCGGCGGCGCGGCGCCGCTTCCCGACCCATACTTTCGGCGCGCGAGGCACGCCTCGGCGGCCCGGTCCAGCAGGTCCTCGCGGCGCGGGCCCGGCTCCGCGAGGGCCGCCGCGAACTCGGCGGCGCCGAGGCCCCGGGACGCGAGGAACGCCTCGAGCTTCGGCCGCCAGTAGCACCGCCAGGCGCCTTCGATCTTGCCGTCCGGGCGACCGGGCACCTTCAGCGAGATCTCCGCCCAGCGGTTCCCGCGGAGGCTGTGCTCGACGATGACCGTCCGCACCTCCGGGATAGTCCAGGGTCCCTTCTTCGCCGCCGGATCGACGTGCGCGTGCCACCGGTACCTCAACTGCTTGGCCGTCCGCGCGGTGCTCATGTGCTTGGCGACGGTCTCCCAGTTGCCCACGTCCAGCGTCCGTTTTGTGCTTCCGTCCAGATGCCCGAACTCCGCGACCTTCGCCGCGAGCTCCGCGTCCTCGGCCGCGGTCCACGCCGGCGCGCCGTCGGCGCTCTCCGCCGTCGCCTCGCTCGTTTCGCGGACGACGGCGCCGGGCGCCGCGGGCGGCCGCCGCTCCGGGTGCGTCGGCGCGCCCGGCGGCCGCGGGCCCCCGAACTTGCACGACTTGCCGTGATGCACCGCCGCCGGCGCGTGGGTGAAGGTCCGCGGGCAGCCCGCGGGGCAGGGGTAGACGCGGTTGCGGTCGCGGGGGCCAAGGCTCACGGACGGCTTCGACCGGAACAGCTCCGCCAGCGAGCCCGGCGCGTCTTCGGCGCTCTCCGCCGTCGCCTCGCTCGTTTCGCGGACGACGGCGCCGGGCGCCGCGGCCTCGTCGCCGGGGCGCCGCGCCTCGTAGCCGGCCCCGCCGCCGCTGGGCCGGTGGCCGCTCGAGAGCATCAGCGAGAGCACGCTCATGGAGAGGCCCGGCGAGTCGGCGACCGCGGCCGTCTGCGTGTCGTAGAGGCGCCACAGAGCCTCGCCGGGCCGCCGGATCTCGCAGGCCTTCTCGCCGTAGGGCCGCGGGTCCGGCAGGCGCCCGCGCTCGGGCGACGGCTCCCCCAGGCGCCGCGCCTCGAGCCGCGCGTGGCCCTTGTCGCCGCGAAGCATCGCCGACAGGTAGGGTTCGCTGAGGTCGCCGTGCGCGGCCGCGGCCGCGGCGACGGACTCGTGGCGGGTCCAGGCCCGCGCGCCGTGGAGCCGGAGCTCGCAGGGCGCGCGGCCGTGGGCGCTGCGCACGGGCACGCCCGCGGCGGGCCGCTCCGGCGACGGCTCGCCGACGCGGCGCGCCTCGTAGCGGCCGTTCACCTTCCTCCTCGCGAGCAAATCCGAGAGCATGGTCGCGGTGAGGTGCTCGTTCGCCCGGACGGCGTCGGTCTGCGAGTCGTAGCGCCGCCAGGCGCCCGTCGCGAGGTTCCCGGCGCCGTCGAAGCCCACGTCGCGGACCTCGCAGGCCTTGGAGGCGCCGCTCGGCCCGCGCGCCTTCGACGCCGGCGACGGCTCCGGCGACGGCTCCGGCGACCACCGGCCCCGCGCGACGAGCGGCCGCCCCCGGGAGGACGTCTCGACGGGCTCCGGCGTCTCGCGTCGCGCCGGGGGCGCCCGCTCCTCGGGCGTCGGCGCGCGCGGTTCCGCCGGTTCGCGGGCCGCCGGCTCCGGCGACGATTCCGGGGACCGCCTCCGCGCGGGAAGGAGCGGCCGCCCTCGGGGGGGCGCCGCGGCCGGCTCCGGCGTCTTCGGCCGCGCCGGGGGCGCCGGCTCCGGAGTCGGGGCCCGCGCGGGGCGCTCGGAGCCGGCCGGGCTCGGAGAGCGGGATTGGCGGCCGTGGACCGCTTCGGGGTTGCCGACCTTCCCCCCGAAGCGGCGCCGCGGCGGCGAAGGTCCGTCCGACGAAGTGTGCGTCAGGCCCTCGACCTCGCTCATCGCGACGACTCCGACCGCCGCGCGAGGACGAGCTCTCGTGCAGCACTCAAGATTTCGCCATTCGTGAGGCGAGCGACCCCAGGCGAGGCCTTTGCGATGGCAGCCCGAGGCGGCTTGCGCGCGGGCAGCCCGTCAAACGAATCGACAGCAGCACGATGGTGCGGCGGCGCGACGCCGGCGAGGAGCAGCTCGGCGGGTCGCACTACAGCTGGGACGACCGGTGCGGCCTCGGCGGGTTCCTCTGCTACGAGTACGGCTCGGACAGCGACACGGCGACGAACATGGCGCACAACATCTTCGTGGCGCTGCTCATCGCCTGGGCCGTCGCCGTCGTCTGCGGCTACGCGGCCAAGGCCGGGGGCCGCACGCGCTGGAGCTTCTACTGGGTCGGGGCGCTCATGGTCGCGCTCTGCTGCGTGCAGTACTACTTCGTGTTCCTCGCGGCGAACACGCTCCCGCCGTCGGCGGCGGCAGACTACATCCGCCGCTACGACTGCATGTACAGCAACAAGGGCGGCAAGCGCAACAAGGACGGCGACAAGAACCGGCCCCTGACGAACCTGAACCCCTGCTGGTGCCACGAGCACGCCATCTGCCTCGACGCGGCCACGGGCGACGAGATCCACCACTCGGCGTGCCCGACGGACGGGTCCGCGTACTGCTACGAGGGCAACGGCGACCGCGTGTCGCTGAACCTCGGCAAGCGCGTCGTGTCCACGGAGCGCGACTGCTCCTACGGCCGCAGCGCCAAGTGCTCCAAGGAGCAGCCCTGCACGCCGTGCGAGGCCGACAGGGCCGTCCTCTTCGACGACTCGAGTTACTGCAACCTGTGCTCCGACATCAACCGGGGCAGGTGCGACTTCGTGCCGGGCGTCGGGCCCTACTGCTACGTCGAGCCGGGCTCCGCCGCCGTCGAGCCCTGCGGGCTGTGCTGCACGCACCTCGAGCCGTTTTTCGAGGTCGTGATCCCGACGGACGCGCCCTCGACCTACGGCCCCACGCCCTACTCCGAGGCGCCGACGGCGCCGGCGAGCCCGACGGCGACGGCCCGCCCCAGCGCGACGTTCAGCCCGTCGAGCTCGGGGCCCACCGCGAGCGCCGCGCCGACGGCGAGTGCCGCGCCCGCGGCGGGCCCGTCCGCGGCCCCGACGACGGCGGCCCCCACGACGGCGGCCCCCACGTCCGTCCCCACGACGGCGGGCCCGACGGCGCTCCGGGAGGCCCTCCGGCGCCGGCTCCACGAGACGACGTCGTCGGACGCGACGCTGTCGCCGTCGAGCGTCCGGGACTGGAGCGCCAACTACACGCACTGCGCCATCGCGACGAACGACGACTGGGGCAAGGGCACGCCGAAGCGCCCCATCTCCGGGCGCGGCTAAGCGCAGACCCAGGCGGACCGCGCCCCGTTCGCGCGGAGCTCGTCGCAGGCCGCGCGCGCGAGGAACGCGCGCGCGGGGTCGTCCGGACCGCCGTCGACGACGACGGCCGTCGCCCCCTTGGCGAGGACGCCGCCGCCGAGGGCCGCGGCCAGCTCGGCGAGGCCCGCGGCGGGGCCCAGGTGGAGCACGTCCGCGGCGGCGCCGCCCGCGAAGAGCGCCGCGGCCGCGTCGCCGCCGAAAACTCTCGCGCGCGCGCTCAGCGCCGCGCCGTCGACGTCGCCGGCGTAGACCGCGAGCGCGCCCGCCTCGTGGTGGCAGAGGAAGCGGTCCAGGAGCACCGCCGCGCCGCCGCCGACGGCGACGGCGGCGAGGGGCGCACCGCAGCGCGCGCCGCACCGCCCGCGCTCCGCGAACTCGAGCGCGGCTAAGAAGACGTCGTCGAGCGCCTCCGCCAGGTCCCGGGCGCTCCGCGAAAAGCGAAAGGCGCAGGGCTCGTCGGCGAACAAGCCCCGCCGCCGCGCCTCGTCGAGGAGCGCGGCCTGGAAGGCCACGTTGCGGTACGCGTGCTTCTCCGAGTTTAGCGCGGAAACGGCGTGGTGCGGCGCGATGAGCGGCTCGTCGCGGAACGCGTAGGCGGCGCCGGCCTCGTTCCCGCGCAGGCCCAGCACGAGCCGCGGCACGCCCGCCTCGTCCAACGCCAGCGAGATCCAGTCGTCGTCGACGAAGTAGGCCCCCGGGTGCCAATTGCCGTAGTCCGCGAGCCGCCGCGCGTCGAAGAAGCCGCTCCGGTAGGCGACGCCCGCGAGGCCGCCCAGAATGTGCACGTCGACGTCGACGTCGTGGTCGACGCTGTCCGCGTAGAGCAGGTTCAGGTGGCTGTAGTAGCCGTGGTCCAACGATTCGTTGACGTGCGAGAAGTCGAGGTCGCCGCGGCAGTCCGCGCGCGCGCGCCCCAGCACCTCCGGCGCCGGCGGGAGCCAGTAGCCGCGGAGCCCCAGGGCCGCGTCGGGCCGCCGCAGGGCGCCGGCGAGGAGCTCCGCGAGGAGCGTGCGCGGGTAGTCGACGTCGTCGTCGAGCGTCACGATGACCGTCTCCGGGTCCGTTTCGACGAGCAGCACGGGCAGCAGCTTCGTCGCCGGCCCCCAGTCCACGGCCGTCCGCAGCAGGCGCAGCTCGCCGCGGGCGCTCGCGGCCTCGAGGTCCTCGGGGATGGCGTAGGCCACGCGGTCGCGCGTCGAGACCTCGGGCACGACGACCTGTGTGGAAACCAAATCTTCAACACGACTTCCATGTGCGCGTATGCGAACGTTTCGACGCAAGCTCTTCTGCCGTGCTTCGAGAACCCAATGAGAGCAATCGATTCGTCCAAAAATCAGCCGAATCGACTTCGATTTGACCGAGATAGAGAGTTCTGAAGTTTGGTGGGGACCCCCCAAACCACTGGATGATTTCCACACAGGCGACGACGTAGATGTCGTCCGCCGGCCGCGTCTGCCGCTGAAGAAACCGCAGCTGGCGGCCCGCGACCATGGCGATGCGGCCCGGGAGCGTGCTCATGGACGCGACGAGGCGCGGGACACCGCGCCGGCAGGGCGCGACGTCGAACTCCGCGCGGAGGCCGTCCGCGAGCCGCGCCGCCGTGAGCGCGCGCCGCGGGCAGCGGTGCGCGACGCAAAAGGCCGCGGCCGCGCGGCCGAAGGGGTCGCCCGCGCAGCCGTCGTCGGGGACCACGGCCACGTCCGAGCCGCCCGGCGACAGCGGCGTCGGCCACGCGACGAGCGTTAGCGCGCCGTCCGACCAGTCGAACTCGACGGGCACCGTGGCCCGGGGCGCCGCGAGGGCGCGCCGCGCCACGTCCAGGGGCGCCAGGAGCTCGCCGGGCCCCAGCGCGCCGCTCGCCTCCAGCGCCGCCGCGTCGGCCTCGAGCGCGCCGCAGTCGCGCCAGCCGCGGATCGCGCATTCGCGCCGCGCGTCGCCGGCCGCGTCGCGCGCCGCGGAGAGCCGCAGCAGCGGCTCGAGGGGCAGCGGGAAGCGCGCGCCCTTCGAGATGAGCTCCTCGGCGAGCACCTCGTCGCAGTCCATGCCCTCGACGGACAGCGTCAGGTTGTGGTGCACGCAGAAGCGCCCCGCGGCGGCGCGCGGGTCCTCGTCCGGCGAGGCCACGAGCCGCTGCGGCGCGTCGTTCACCTCGACCTCGATGGTCAGGGGCTCGAGGCACCGCGCCAGCGCGAGCGTCAAGGCCCAGGCGAGGCGCGGCATTGGAGGTGCAAGGGAGGCTCAGCGGATAGGCGGCATCGCGCGGGCTGCCTCGGCAGCACGCCACCATCAAGGTGATCTCAGCTCATTTCAGCTTCGCTCGCAAAGGCTGTCAAAAGCCGCGCCTCGCCGCCGCAGAGCTGGTGTGCTCGCGCCCGCCAGCTTGCGCGATGCGCGCGTGGGATGAGGTCGACGACGATCCCGTCGTGAAGCCCACCAAGAGCGCCGACGAAAAAGAAAAGAAGCGCGGCGGCGCGCGGAAGCGCGGCCGCGGCAGCCGCGGCGGCAAGGCCAAGAGCGGCGAGGCCAAGAGCGGCGAGGCCAAGAGCGGCGAGGCCAAGAGCGGCGACGCCAAGAGCGGCGAGGCCAAGAACGGCGAGGCCAAGAGCGGCGACGCCAAGGGCGGCGACGCCAAGGGCGGCGACGCCAAGAACGGCGACGCCGAGGGCGGCGACGCCGAGGGCGGCGAGCCGAAGAGCGGCGACGCCAAGGGCGGCGACGGCAAGGGCAAGGACGAGAAGCGCGGCGACGGCGGCGCCCGGGGCGGCAAGCGCGGCGGCGCCAAGGGCAAGGACGAGAAGCGCGGCGACGCGAAGATCCCGAAGCGCGGCGCCGCGGCGAGCGACAAGACGCGCGGCGGCGACGACCGGCGGCGGAGCCGGAGCCGGAGCGCGTCGCGGCGCCGGAGCCGGAGCCCCGAGCGCCGCCGCCGGAGCCGGAGCCGCGGCCGGCGGTCCCGGAGCCGGAGCCGGAGCCGGAGCCGGAGCCGGGGCCGCCGGGGCCCGCGCGGCCGCGCGGCGGCGCGGCGGCGGTCGCGGTCCGCGTCCTCGGCGACGCGGCGCCACCGCGCGCGCGACGCCAAGGCCCTGCGGCGCGCCATCGACGACTTCATCGAGGGCCACGGCGTCGACGCGACCGCCGCGGGCCGCCTCCGGTCGCTGAGTCGGCCGGCGATGCGCGCGGTCCTCGCCGAGGGCAGCAAAAGGGTGATTCAACGTCGCTTCAACGTGAGTGTTCCGCGCGCGCGCGTTTCGGGAACAGCACCCACGCTTCGAGGCCGTTCCGAGAGATGATCGCTCGTCCAAAAATCAGCCGAAACGAGCGAAAAATGACCGAGATAGGAGCCTTTGAAGTTGGGAATTTCGCACCCTTTTGCTGCCCAGGTCCTCGCCGAGGGCCCGCTCGACGGCCGCAACGTGTCGGCGGTGCTCGTGTCGCGCATCAACCGCCTGCCCGGCGCCGAGCGCCTCGCGCGGTCCTACGCGACGCCGTCGCCGAGCCCGAGCTCGCGGAGCGCGTCGTCGGCGCGGCCGCGGCGGCAGAAGGAGTTCGTGCCCGCGGCGCGCTCGGGCGGCAAGAACATCATGGTCAACCCCTACCGCGCGCGGTCCTGGTCGACGTCGAGCTCCGAGAGCTCGTCGTCGAGCGAGTCCGACGACAGCGGCCGGCGGCGGCGCGCGAAGAAGAGCCGCGGCGACGACGGCAAGGGGTGGGACGCGGCGCCCGCGCTCGACGCCGTCGAGTCCGCGCTGCTCATGAGCGACCCGGCGGTCGCGGCGTCCATGGGTCTGGGCAAGGCCGCCGCGGCGGCCTTAGCGGAGAACCCGGCCGGGGGCGGCGGGCCCGTGTCCGCGTCGTCGGAGAAGCAGCAGCGCCGCCGCGACGTCTACGTCGGCAACCTCATCCCGAACACGACGTCCGAGGCGCTCACGGGCTTCTTCGACGGGCTGCTGCAGGCCCTGGCCCAGGCCCTGCCGGAGTCGCGGGCGGCGACGGAGCTGCTGCAGGGCGGCCCGCCCATCGCGTCCGCGCGCGTCTGCGCGCCGTCCGGGTCCGTCGAGGGGCCGGCGAACCGGCAGCGCACGGACCACGCGTTCGTCGAGTGCCGCGACGCCGACGTCGCGTCGACGTTGGTGCGCTTCAACGGCATGCCCGCGTCGGGCATCGTCTCCGACAAGCACAACGGCATCCGCATCAACCGGCCCAAGGGCTACGCGCCGCCGCCGGGCGGCGACGTCTGCCCCGTCGACATCTCGCCCGAGATCTCGGAGGCGTTGGGCCTGAAGCCGCAGCACCCGGTGGGCGGCGGCGCCGCGGCGGCGGCCCAGCTCATCGAGTCCATGGCCGCGGGGAACCTGGCTACCGCGGCGGCGCAGCAGGGCAAGGCGTCGTTGGCGACGCCGGGCCCGACGTACGTCTGCCACCGCTGCGGCATCGGCGGCCACTTCGTCCAGGACTGCCCGACCATCGCTTTGGGCATCCCGGGCATCGGCGCGCCGCCGCCGGGCTACGTCTGCCACCGCTGCGGCGTCGCGGGCCACTACGTGCAGGACTGCCCGCAGCTGTGTGGAAATCAAATCTTCAACCCGACTTCAATATGAGAGTATTCAAACGGCTATGATCAGACGCTTCTGCCGTGCTTCGAGAACTCGCCGAGAGCAATCGATTCGTCCAAAAATCAGCCGAATCGACTTCGATTTGACGGAGCTAGAGATCTCTGAATATTGGCCCCGACGTCCCAGCTCACTGGTTGATTTCCACACAGGCCCGCAGAAGGCTTTGGCGTCCGCGGCGCAGCTCGCGGCGGCCCAGCAGCCGCCGGGCGCCGCCGTCGACCCGGAGACGGTCATGATCCTCGCGGCGGCGCAGCAGCAGACGGCGCTCAACGCCGCGCGCCAGGCCGCCGCGCAGCAGCTCGCGGCGTCCGGCGGCTCCAACTTCTCGCCGCCGGTGCACCTGGACAAGCCCCCGGAGAAGGCGAGTGAAACGCCGGCGCGCATCGCGGCGCCGCCGCCGGCGTCGCTCAAGGAGGCGCGCTACAAGGCCGCGCTCGACAGCGGCCAGATCACGGAGGCCCAGTACCTCGCCGCGACGTCGGAGCCGCCGCCGCCGGTCGCCGACGACGCGAAGCCCGAGTCCCTCAAGGACCGCTGGGAGCAGCGGAAGAAGGCGGCGCAGCGCGACGACGACGACCGGCGGCCCGCGGCGCCCGGCGCGCTCGTGGGCAAGGCCGTGAAGATCACCTGGGCCCACGCGAAGCTCCACGCGCAGCTGGGCGTCGCGGCCGACTGGGACGCCAAGGCCGCGCGCTACGCCGTGAAACTGGCCAGGGAGCCCAAGACCGTCATGCTCATGGCGGGCCACGTCGAGGAGGTCCGCGGCGAAAACGCGGCCCGGGAGGTCTTCGACGCCCTGGAGGAGCAGAAGCTCCGGCGGGAGGCCGCGGAGCACGAGGCCGCGAACGCCGCGGCGCGCGCGGCCGCGGAGCCGCCGAAGCCGCCGCCGCCGAACAACCCGCAGGCCTACGTCGACCAGCGCCGCGCGTTCCTCACGGACCTCGTCGACGGCCCGCGGCCGCCGCACCGCGCGCCGCCGCCGCCGCGGCCCTTCGCGCCGCCGCCGCCGCAGTTCCAGCCGCCGCCGCAGGCGCCCTACGGCGCGCCGCCGCCGCCGCAGCCCTACGGCGCGCCGCCGCCGCCGCAGCCCTACGGCCAGCCGCCGCCGCAGGCGCCCTACGGCGCGCCGCCGCCGCGGGCGCCCTACGGCGCGCCGCCGCCGCCGCAGCCCTACGGCCAGCCCCCGGCGGCGCCCTACGGCCAGTACGGCCAGCCCGAGGCGACGTTCACGCCGCGGCCGACGAACGGCGGCGTCGACGGCACGTCCCAGCGCAAGGTCTACGTCTGCAACATCCACCCGGACGCGGCGGACGCGGACCTCGCGACGGCGCTGTCGGCCTTCGGCGCCGTGCGCGACGCGCTGGTCTGCCGCACGCTCCAGGGGTCGCCGCGCGGCTTCGGCTACGTGACGTTCGGCGGGTCCGACGGCGACCAGGCCGCGGCCGTCGAGCGCGCGGTCGCCGCGGGCGTCGCGACCGTCCACGTCCGCGACGACGGCGGACCGTCCATCATCACGACGACGGCGAAGATCGAGCGGACGACGGACCGCGAGGCGACGAACCAGCGGCCGCCGGAGCCGGCGAAGCCGCCGCGCGACATGACGAACCGCGTCTCCGGCATGTGCCTCTGGTTCGACCACGAGAAGAATTTCGGGTTTCTGGTGCCCGACGGCGGCGGCGACAACCGCTTCATCCACGGCCTGGACGTGCAGGGCGAGCGCTTCTCCAAGGGCGACAAGGTCACCTTCGCGCTGGGCAAGGACCCGGACGGCCGCGTCAAAGCGGTCGAGGCCGAGAAGGTCGACGCGAACCAGCAGCGGGCGCCCGCGGGCGGCCTCCCGGCGCTGTCCGGCTTCCTACCGGGCGGTGAGGCGCCGCGGCGGGAGGCGCGCCACTTCGCCGAGCCGCCCGCCGCGAACGGCGCCGTGCCGCCGCCGCCGCAGGCGCCGCCGCAGCAGCCGCCGCAGCCGCAGCAGCCGCCGCCGTTCCAGCAGCCGCCACAATTCCAGCCGCCGCCGCCGCCGCACTTCGGCGGGCCGCCGCCGGCGTTCTACGGCGCGCCGCCGCCGGCGCAGCCCTACGTGAACCCCTTCCTCAAGGCGAACCAGGCCGCGGCGCCGGAGCCCGCGGCGGCGCCGGAGCCCGCGGACTCGCCGCCCGGCGCGGCGCCCGAGCCCGCGGCGCCCGAGCCCGAGCCCGCGCCGGACCCCATGGACCGGCCCCTGCCCGAGCCGTCGCCGGGCCGCGCCGTCGCCTACGTCAAGTGGTACGACGCGAAGCGGCAGTTCGGCTTCGTGGGCCCGACGTTGGACGAGCGCGACAAGGCCGGCGACGTCTTCGTCCACGAGATGGACTGTTGTGCCCGCTCCTGCACCGGGGCGACATCGTCGAGTACAGCCCGGGCGAGGGCTCCAAGGGCGAGCCCAAGGCCTGCGACGTGAAGCTCGTGGACGCTTTGGCGAGCCGCCTCGCGCCGAAGCCGCCGGAGCCGCCGGCGGCGCTCGCGCACCTCCGGGTCCCGCGCGGCCCGCCGCCGTTCGGCCGCGCGCCGCCGCCGCCGGGGCCGCCCTTCGCGCCGCCGCCCCAGTTCGCGCCGCCGGCCGCCAACGCGCCCTTTGGCTACGCGCCCGCGGCGTTCGACGCGCGGAACCCGTCCGCGCCGCTCGGGCGGCGGGCCCAGGGCGTCGTCAAGTGGTTCGACAACAACGAGAAGAAGTACGGCTTCCTCCAGCCCGACGCCGGCGGCGAGGGCGTCTTCGCCCACCGCATCGACTTCCGCATGCCCGGCGGGGAGGCCGTGGGCCCGGGCGACCGCGTCGAGTACACCGCCGGCGTGTCGCCCGAGAACGGCCGCCCCAAGGCCTTCGAGATCGTCAAGGTCGCGGCGCGCCTCGGCGCGCCGCCGCACCTGGCCGTCGAGCCGGCGAAGCACCCCGCCGTCGTCGACGGCGAGTTTATGTACGGCGCGAACTTCATTCGGGGCGTCATGAACTGGTTCGATCCCACGAAGCACTTCGGGTTTCTGACGACGGAGTTCGGCGGCGAGGACATGTTCGTCCACGGCAACGACGTCCTGCCGGATCAGTTCCCCGTGGCCGGCGGCCAGGACGTCGTCTTCAAGGTCGTCATGCACCGGGGGCGGCCCAAGGCCGTCGAGCTCCGCCACGCGCCGGGCGCGGTGCCGCACCCGAACAACGGGCCCCCGGCCTTCGTCGCGCCGCCGGACTTCCGGCCGCTGGGCGCCGGCGGGCCGCCGCCGCCGCCGCCGCCGCCGCCGCCGCCGCCGCCGCCGCACCAATAATGGCGGCTGTGGATTGTTGGGTTGGTGGGGCCGCGGCGGTGACACGTCGACTGCAACCTGCGGCATCATCTCTGCGTGCACCGCAGCCATCTCTGCCTCGCCGGCGTCTCGAGCGGCGTCTCGAGCCGTCGACGCGCATAGCGCGCGCGCGCGCCGTGCGAGCGACGCGTGCGCAGCGACGATGAGCGGCCTCTTCGACAACCTGCCGCCGTCCGGCGGCCGCGGCGGCGGAACACCGAGCGGCGGCAAGGGCGCCAAGGGCGGCCGCGGCGGCAACCTGGACGGCCGCGGCGGCCGCGGCGGCAATTTGGACGGCCGCGGCCGCGCCGGCCGCGGCCGGGGCCGCGAGACGAACCTGCAGGGCCGCGGCCGCGGCCGCGCCGGCGCGCCGGCGATGATGATGCCCGCGTCGCTGTCGCGGAAGCCGCCGGCGTCGGCGAACGGCGCGTCGGCCGGCGGCATCGGCGGCGGCGGCTGGACGACGACGACGACGACGAGCAGCGCCGCCGCCGAGAGCGAGCACGACGAGGAGAACCTGCCCGTGGGCTTCGTGCTCCGCGGCGGCGCGGCCGGCGTGCCGTCGACCGTCGAGGAGCGCGTCGAGGACCCCTACGACCCCGCGAACCCGAACGACTACGTGGAGATCCAGAAGCAGAAGGAGCTCGCCAAGGCCTACGAGCGGCGCGAGAAGCAGCGCCAGGTGCACCTGGAGAAGCTCGAGGCGGAGCAGGCGCGCCTCGCCGAGGAGCGGCAGCGCGCCGCGAAGCGCGCGATGGAGTCCGGCGACCTCGGGGCCATGAGCGGCCTGGGCCTGGGCAGCGGGAATCAGATGGGCCGGGGCCGCGGCGTGTCCAACCTGCCCGCGTGGATGAAGACGCGCAAGGCCGAGCCGCCGAAGCCCGCGCCGGAGCCCGCGCCGGAGGCGCGCTTCGAGTCCGCGTTCGCCGACGACGACGTCGCGCCCGCGCCGGCCGCGGCGCCGTCGGCGCAGCCGAACATCGTGCCGACGCTGGCGTCGCGGCCGTTGAAGACGCCGACGCGCGTGCTCCTGCTGAAGAACATGGTCGCGCCGGACGAGATGGACGCGGAGTTCCGAAAAGAGACGCGGTCCGAGTGCGGCAAGTACGGCGCCGTCGAGGCCGACGACGTCTTCCTCGCGCCCCACGCGCCCGAGGACGAGGCCGTGCGCGTCTTCCTCGCCTTTTCCGAGAAGAAGCACGCCATCCGCGCGTTCCTCGACATGGAGGGCCGCTTCTTCGGCGGGCGCCGCATCACCGCGGGCTTCTACCCGGAGGACCGCTTCGCCGCGCGGGACCTCGCGCCGGGGAACGACCCCGTTTAAATTCGCCGCGTTTAGGTCGATGTGGGTGGTGGGTTCGAGGCGGCTTGAGGGCGCCGGGCCCGGGCGAGGCCTCGCGACCTCGCCGATCCTCGGGGCGAACGCCTAAAATTAAATCTCCACTGAGTCTCGGACACTGAGGCTCCACACAGTACTGGCGAGTCTCGCCCTCCGAGTACACGGCGCGACCCCGATCGTCTACGCAGCGCCCCGATTCATTTCCCGACGCCCGCACACATGGACAAGCCGGGAGAGAGAGACTGGGAGAAGAAGCAGCGGGAGTACGAGGTGAAGAAGGCCCGGGCGAAAGCGCTCAAGCTCCGTCTGACCTGTTCCATCTGCTCTGAAAAGGCCAAGCTCAATTGCCCATGTGGCACCACGCAGTACTGCTCGACTGAATGCCAACGAATCGACTGGCGCGACCGCGGCCACCGGAAGGCGTGCAAGAAGATCCGAGACGAGCGCGCGGCGGAGGCGGCGCGGGCGGAAGCGCCGATGCCCCCGCCGTCGCCCCCGGTCTACGGCCCCGCGCCGCGGTCGCAGGCCGACGAGATCCGCGCGCGCATCGCAGCCGAGCACGAGGCCGCCCGCGCGCTCCGCGAGGCGAACCCGGAGCCGGGGCCGACCTCGGCGCGGTGGGGGTCGCGGTGCCCGATCTGCTTGGAGGACTGGGACCTGAATGCTGGAATTCGGGTACACTTTTGTTGCTGCCGAAGGGTTTGTAGGTCGTGCTTTAACGTGACTGCAAGTGCGGGAAAGCCATGTCCTCTGTGTCGAGCGCCGGCTCTTTTAACCGACGCGGCGGAGCTTGCGGCAATTCGTCGCCACGTGGAGAACGACGTGCCGGAAGCGATCAACTCGTTGGCCACTATGTACCGCGACGGCCATCTGGGCCTGCCTGTCAATGAAAAAAAGGCCATGAAGATATTCAAGCGCGCCGTGGAGCGAGGAAACGTTGAGGCGATGACGAATCTTGGAACCATGTACGAGGACGGTAACGTTGTCAAACGGGACATTAAGGTAATCTTCAAGAAAGCAGAGCAGCTTTATCGCATGGGCGCGGACCGGGGATGCCATGGGGCGCAGCGCAGCCTCGGATTCATGATGCAAAGGAAGGGCGACTACGACAAAGCGATTTACTACTTTGAGATGTCAGCCAAACAGGGCTTCGCCCTTGCAGTGGAAGATCTCGAACGTGCGAAGCGGAGTCCGAGACCACCGACGGACGTGAAGCTACGATTCGGCCTCGGCGCGCGAGTCGAGTGCGCCATGGGCTTCGGATGGCTTCCGGGCCAGGTCGTAGCGTTGTGGTACCATGAGGAAGAAATGCCTGCGGGATTTATCTCGCCGTATCAGGTCGAGCTCGACAATGGCAACGTAATTTACACGCCGGGCGACGAAGACACCAGCATCCGCGCGCAACTCCGCTTCGCCATCGGCGAACGCGTCGAATGCTGCGAGCTGGGAATCTGGCACCCTGGCAGGGTCGTCGCGCACCGCGCTCTCAGGCATTTGCGGGGCTATCCCATCATGAAAGAAATGGCGTATGAAGTGTCGCGCGACGACGGCGAAGTCTGCTTCGCGCCCGAAGACGACGACCAATACATTCGACCCCTGCCTCCCTTCCGGCGACCCCGCGTGGGACCGGACGTGGCAGAACGCACCGGTGCGTTCAACGCGCCAGGCCTGCCATGACTAAGCGCATCGGATCGAGGGTCTTAACATTCAAAGCGCCGCGGAAGCGGGGTGGACTTGAGGGGCGCCCCGCGGCGATCGCCGCCGCGGTCCTACCACGACTTGGGCTTGTCCTCGGCCCAGTCGAGGCGGATCGCGCGGCCCATGAGCTGCTCGCCCTGCTTGGCCATGCCCGAGTCGGCCTCCTCCGTCGTCGCGAACTCGACGAAGCCGCAGCCCTTGAAGTCGCCGGAGTTGCGGTCCGTGACCCAGCGGATGGAGTTGAGCGTCAGGGGGTCGAAGAACGCGCGGACCGCCGCGTCGTCGATGTCGTACGACAAATTGCCGCAGTAGAGCTTGCAGCCGCCCTCGGGCTTGGGCTTCAGCGGCCGGGGCTCGCGCTTGGGCTTGTCGCTCTTGGGCTTGGGGTTGTCGAGGCGGCAGTACATGGTGCGGCCCGCGACTTCCGTCTCGTTGCACGCCTCGACGGCCTTGAGGGCCTGCGCGGCGGTCTCGAACTCGGCGACGCCCATGCCCTTGAAGCGGCCCGTGTCGCGGTCCTCGATCCACTTGATGGACGTCACCGTGCCCGCGGACGCGAAGTGGCTCGTCAGCGCCGCGTCGTCGATGGACCAGGACAGGTTCGTGCAGAAGACGGACTTGACGTCGCCCTCGCCCGCGGGCGCGGCCGCGGCGGCCTTCTCCTCGGCGGGCGCGGCGGCGGCCTCCTCCTTGGCGGGCGCGGCCTCCTCCTTCTCCGCGGCGGCCTCCTTGGCCGCCTTCTTGGCCGCCTTCTTGGCCTTCTTGGCCGCCTTCGCGTCGGCCTCGGACATCTCGACGTCCTTGGACGGCGTCGCCTCCTCGGCGCTCTCCTTCTTGGCCTTCTTCGCCGGCGTCGGCGACTCGACGTTCTCGCCGTCGGCCTCCTTCTTCGCCTTCTTCGCGGCCTTCTTCGCCTTCTTCGCGGCCTTCTCGTCGACGTCCTCGCCGACGCCCGCCTCCGCGGCCTTGCGCGCCTTCTTCTCGGCCTTGAGCGCCTTCTTCTCCTCCTTGGTCATCGTCGATTCGCCCATGGTTGCAATGCCTGCGGAGGAGGACCGGTGAGCGCGCGGGTCGCGGCGGGCGATGAGGGGCGTGGAACAGTCCCGCCCGCGGCGCAGGCGCCGGCGGCGTGCCGGCGCGCGCGGCGCGGCGCCGGCGCGCGGCGCGGTGCCAGCGCGCGGCGCGGCGACGGTCGGGCGGTGCTCGCGCCTCTCGCAGGGTGGAGGCGTCGCTCGTGGACGCAGGCAACACGCGACTTGGTTGGTGATAAGCTGTCTCACTATTATCGCGGAAAATGGCGCTTCGGATCGCCTCGATGCACGGCATGTTGAACGCCGCGCATGCCGCCGCTGGGCAGCGCATCCTTTTGAGGCAGCAGCCCACGCTGCCGCGCGCAAAGGCAGCCGCACTACCCGGGCGAAGCACATTCGAAGCGAGACCGGGCGACTAAAAACGCGCGCGCGCCGCGCTAGGGCCACGCGAGCGCCCAGGTGAGGACGGGGTAGATGTCGTCGGGGAACGCCGTCGGGCCCGCGATGGGCTGCTGGGCCTCCTCGAGGATCGTCGCGCCCGCGGTCTCGAAGAGCGCGAGGTAGTAGGCGCGCGTGCGGCACACGCTCCGGTCGTCGTCGTCGACGACGAAGGCCTCGTCGTCGTCGTTCGACTCGGGCGCGTTCATGCCTCTCAGGCAGTTGTCCTTGATGACGAGGAAGCCCCGGTCCGTCAGCGCCGCGCGGCACCGGTCGAGGAAGCGCACGAAGTGGCTGTCGGTCAGGTGGCCCACGCACCACTGCGTCCATATCACGTCGTACGATTTGGCCGCGGGCCGCCTGTGTGGAATTCAACACTGGTTTGGGGGGAACTTCAGAATTCTCTAGCTCGATCAAATCGAAGTCGATTCGGCTGATTTTTGGACGAATCGATTGCTCTCGTCGAGTTCTCGAAGCACAGCCGAAGAGCTTGCGTCGAAACTGTCGCATATGCGCACATTGAAGTCGGGTTGAAGATTTGAACTGCACACAGCGGGCCGCCACGTCTGCATCGCGCTCTCGACGAAGCGGCAGTTCGCGGCGTTTCCGCCCACGGCGACGCCGCCGCTCTCGCCCGGCGCGTCGACGAAGGCCGGCGCCGCCCGCAGCAGGGGCGCCGACTGCTCCAGGACGTCGACGCGCGCCGCGCCGCACGCTAAAAGCACGTGCTTGGCGACGCGCCCGATGCCCGCGGCGACGTCCGCGGCCACGAAGTCCATGCGCCGTGCCCCGCGCCGCGGCGACGCGCCGCAGCAGCGCGCGGCTCTCCGCCGCGTCCGGCGTGTCCAAGTTCGCGAAGCCCCCGAGGACGCCGTCGACCGTCGGCGGCGCCGCGTGATGGTCGCGCCAGTAGGCCGCGGCCCGATCGTACCACGTGCCGCGGTAGCTCGCGTCGCGCCACAGGGCGCTCGGGCTCGGCCACGTCGACGCGTCGGACGAGCCGTGCACCGCCGTGCGCTTCCGGGCGAGCACCTGCTCCACGAGCGCCGCGACGGCGACGTCGGCGTCGACGACGTCGCTCAAAGCGTGCGCCAGGTCCTGCGTGATCTGCGTCTTCTCGTCCTGGATGGCGACGTTGGTCGCCATGTTCTTGCTGCGCGGTGTGGGCGCAGGCGCTCCGGTGTGCGTCACGCAGCTGCAGAGCTGCCACACCTCGATCGCTTCTCAAGTCTGCTTCTCGGCTCGAGTTCAGCGAGAGAAACATGAGGGAAACATGGGCACCGAGCCGTGTGCAGATCCAAGCGAACCAAAAGCAGACGCCCAGCGTCGAGCGAAGCGAGGTGTTAGACGATCGGCGCGAGGATGGCGAGGGCCGGGCCCGGCGTGAGGGGCGGCGGGACGGCCGCGGCCGGCGGCTCGTCGAGGAGGGGCTCCTGGAGCGAACGGTCCCGCGGCCGGCGCTCGGCGAACGCGCCGGACCGCAGGTAGCACAGGTCCAGCACGACGAGCGCGACGTCGACCGCCGCGCCGCCGGCGCCGACGCGGAAGAACAAACCGGTTCCGACGGAGCGGCACCCGAACTCCGAAGCGCCGCAGTTCACCAGCAGCCCCGCCAACCCCCCCACCAGAATCTGCGCCGCGGTCATCGTGTTGTTGACGAGGGCCGCGGCCGTCGACAGCGCGGCCTCGTCGCGGGAGAAGCGGCGGCACAAGATCTGCGCGTTCGACGTGTGCGGCGCGAACGAGGCTCCCGAGAGCGCGACCACCACCAAGGTCGCGACGGGCCGCTCCGGGCCGAGCCAGCGGCTCGCCGCCACGGCGCCCAGGAGCAGGAGCTCCCCAAAAATCCAGACCGCCGCGGCGCCGAAGCACCGGTTCGCCCGCGGCAGGAACGGCCCGACGCCGACGCCGACGAACGTCTGCGCCGCCAGCGCGACGAGGGGCAGCGACGCGCCCCGGAGCTTCGTGCCCAGACCGAGCCACGTCGTCGACCAGAACGTGAACGTCGTCAGGCCGACCCAGCCCACGAACTGGATCGTCAAGACTAAAGCGAGCGCGGCCGTCGGCGCGGGCCGCGCCGACGAGCTCGCGACGACGTCGCCGTCGTCGTCGTCGTCGTCTTCGTCGTCGTCCTTGCGCCGCCGCGGCGCCGCGGCCGCGAGCGCCGCGGCCGTCGTCGCGAGGAGCACGCCCGCCGACAGCGCCCAGGACGTCTGGAAGTAGGACGTCCCCAGGAGCCCGCGCGCCGGCACGACGGCGATGGCCACCAACCCGAGGCCGCGGCCGAAGAGCTGGCTCAGCGAGTAGAGCGCGTCGCCGTCCTCGTCGTCGCCCGCCTCGGGCCACATGGCCACCAGCAGGCTCCGGCCCGGCACCAGAATCAGATCGTGGCAGAGGTCGACGACGCCGAAGAACAAGAAGCACGCCGCGGCCTCGTAGGACCGCGCGCCGATGAGCGGCGTCGCGCCGAGCGCCGCGATGCAGGCGAGGCCGAAAGCCGCGAGGCACGCGACGAACCTGCGCCGGTTCGAGAAGGCGACGAGCCGCCGCGCGGACGGCGACAGCGCGCGCGACCCGTCGGCGCGCCGGCCGACGAGCGGCGTGATGAGGAAGCTGAAGATCGGGTTCACCGTGTAGATGAGGCCGGCCACCGACGGCGCGAGCGCGAGCGGTCGCGCCAGGAGGTGGGGGATCATGACCGACTCGCCGACGGCCCAGCCCCACTCCACGGCGAAGCCCGTCAGGGAGACGCAGAGCAGGCGTACGGCGCTCATGATCGCCGAGGCGCCGGTGGCTGAGGCGCGCGAGGCGGCTGCCCTCACTCGGGTCGGGGCGAGCGGCGCAGGAGCTGCCGCATCGATTGCTACCATTTTGCCACTTCAACGACTTCAAGAAAAAGTGTAAGTTCGACCGCGATAAAAGTCCGGGCGCCAAGACCCGACCCTTCGACGCACTCGACGCGCTGCGCCGCCGCCCGCCACCCGCATTCGACAACCCGACCCTTCGACACGCAACCCGACGCGCTGCGCCGCCGCCCGCCACCCGCATTCGACACCCATGGCTCGCCGCGCCGCCGCCGCCTGCCTCCTCGCCTGCCTCTGCGCGACGGCCGACGCCTTCGGCTTCCGCGTCGAAGTCGCGCTGGGCGAGGAGCGCGACGCGGCGGCCTGCGCCGCGAAGGCCGTCGAGGCCGAGATCTGGAAGGAGGTCGGCGACATTCACCTGCAGAACTACGAGATGATCGCGAGCGAGCTGAAGTCGACGGAGGCGCAGCTCGAGCGCGAGCGCGGCGCGAACCTCCGCAACACCGAGGCCCTCGAGGACGAGCTCGCCGCCGCGTACGCGACCGTCGAGCGCGAGCGCCTCGCGCACCTCGACACCATCGACGCCTTCCCTTCCGACGACGCGCCCTACGCCGACGACGCGCCCTACGCCTACGCCGCCGCCGAGCGCGCGCGCCTCGCCACGTTCCTCGCGCTCGCCGAGACGCTGCCGTACCCGCACGCGAACGTGCCCGAGACGCCCGCGCCCACGGCCGACGCGGCGCCCGCGCCCGTCGCGACGCCGGCGCCCGCGGCGGACGTCCCCACCTGGGACTTCCCCACGACGGGCCCCACGCCGCCCCGGTACGCCACGCCCTACGTCGACGACGCGCCCTTCGCGACCCCAGACGCCTCCGCGACGGACTTCCCCACGGCCTCCGAGACCTGCTTCTACGACTACGTCGCCGAGCCCTTCGGCTACCGCCTCGACTTCCGCGTCTGCGGGGACGCGCACGGCGTCTTCGCGGCGCCGTTCATGGCCGTCAGCTACTTCGCCAACACGCGGGACTCCTTCTTCGACTACTTCGGCGCCTGCGTGGACACGCGCTACGGCACCTCCGAGTTCATGACGCCCGACGCGTGCGTCGCCGTCGCGCGCTGCTCGAAGACCGACTGGCACGAGATCGACGACGTCGACGCCTGCCCCTGAAAGCCCCTGAAAGCCCCCGCCCCAAGAGAGAGAGAACAGCGCGCGTTACCAAGGACGCCTCAGCACGACGTCGGCGAGACGATGAAGCCCTGCTCCTTGAGGTCGTCGCAGACGCCGCCCTGGCAGAAGCAGGACGTCTGCTTGACGTGGAGGCAGTTGACCTCCGTGTCCGGGTCGTCGAAGGGGCGGTACGTGTGGGCCGGCGCGAAGGCGAACGCGTTGGCCCCGAGCGTGACGACCTGGCCCTGCCGCCGCTGGATCGCGTCCAGCAGGATGAACTCCGGGTCGATGGACACGTCGGACGTCAGCGGGTCCAGGCGGCCGCTGGACACGACGTCGCGCTTCACTTGCGTCGTGTTCCAGAACATGAACGTGTCCTCGAGCGGGCCGTCGAAGTACGCCGGCGCGACGAGGGGCCGGAAGAAGGCGATCTTGTCGTTGACGCCGCCCCAGGTGTCGCAGGCCGACGTCACGACGACGCGCTCCTCGGCGTCGCCCAAGGTCATCTCGATGAGGGGCACGTCGACGGACCGCGGCGCGTACGCGTCCTCCCTCACCCGGACCATGGTCTCGTAGTTCGCGCCCCGCGCCAGCGCCATCTCCGCGAGCCCCCGGCCGCAGAGCGAGTAGTGGTAGTAGGTCCGCGCGTGGTTCTGGGCGCGCACGGTCTGCGGCGACCTGCGGCGCGCGAGTTTCGCGGAGGGAAAAGAAACGACGATTTCTCGCGCGGAGGGGCGCGCTCGTCCCAGGCGACCTTGCGGTCGAGGAGGTCGACGTAGTCCGCCGGGATGCCCGGCTTCACGGGCTCGTCGAAGGCGTACCAGTGGACGTTGGCGACGGACTCGCTGGACCGCACCTCGTCGACGATGGACGCGTGAGAACGAAACTCCGGGACGATGGCCTCCGGCTTGCCCTCGATGCTGTTCGTGTAGCGCGGCTCGACGTCGGCGAGGACGAAGAGCACGTCGACGGGGCCGTGGACCTCGGCGAGGGGCGCGACGAGGCGGTGCATCTTCGACTCGAGCTCGAGCCGGCCGACCTGGCCGGTGACGCAGACCGCGGCCCCGCGCGGCGCGGGCAGGTCGCCGCGGCCGAAGCCGTCGACGGCGAGCGCCCCGGGGGCCTCGGGCGCCGGCGCGCCGAGGCCGCTGAAGGCCGCGCTGCCCAGCGTGCCGCAGAAGACGAGGGCCGCCACGGACAGGCGCGTCGCCCAGGCCTTGGAGCGCAGGGCGTCGCAGGGGCCGGCGGTTTGTTTCGCCACGAGCGGCACGTCTTCGCCGGGGCGGCCGATGGGCACGTCGACGAAGGCGTCCATGGCGCCGCGGTGTGGGGCGCAGGCGCGACCACCGACGTCGGGCTGCCTTCCAAAGGGCTGCCCCTGGAATTGTTTCGGCGTCACGAAGGTTCTCAATTGATACGAGGTTCATGCAAATCTACGTTGCACATTCCCTAAAAACGACTACCCTCCCGCGCGCGCTCGCTCGGTCGGACACACGCACGAGTGCGAAGGACGCGAGTTAGAAAACGGACGGGACGGGGCGCCTAGTGGTCCTTGTCCGGGTGCTCGGGCTTCTGCGCGGAGCCCTTGGCCTTCTTCTTCTCGCGCTTGCGCTTCTTCGACTTGGAGGCCTTCGGGAAGGTGTCGGAGCCCATGCACTTGGAGACGTGGTCCTCGCCCTCGTGGTTCGGCGGGCTGCCGCTGCGCGTGTTGCACTGGATCGAGTACTTGAGGGACACGATGTAGTGGATCCAGTAGGAGGGGATGTAGAGCACCTCGCCCTCGCGGACGATCGTGTCGATGGCCTCGGCCTCGGGGAAGGCGAAGTGGGACTTGGCGTCGGCCGGGTCGGACCAGTCCGTCGTCGAGTGGCGGAAGGACGGGTGCTTGCGGTCCGCGATGAGCTGGAGCTTCGGGCACGACGACGGCGGCGTGAGGATGTAGCGCTTCGCGCCCTTCAGCATGGCCACCATGTTGCGGCCGCCGTCGTAGTGGGCCTCGGCGATGACGCCGCGCATGCCGAAGCGGCACTGGATGCCCTTGTTCAACGAAATGTCCGTGATGAAGAAGTTCTCGTCGTGCGGCGTGAAGCACTTCAGGTCCGACGTCACGAAGTGGGACCGCTTCACCTCGTCGCCGCGGATCAGCGACGTCAGCGGCGGCGTGCCCATCATCAGGTACTTGTGCTCCTCGGAGTGGTGGAGCTCGCCCTCGTCCGCGTGGTGCGCCAGGGACAGCCACTCGGCGAACGTGTGGGACACGATCTTCGTGGGGCTCTTCCAGTCCGGGTAGGCCTTCTTGCCCGCGGACGACGGGCTCCGCCAGTACATGAAGTGGTTCGTGTCGCTCTGCTCGACCTTGAACTGGGCGCTGTGCTTCTGGTCGAAGTTCTCCACCAGATAGCCGTCGGTCCACTTGTCGCGGACGACCTCGATGTCCGGCACGTCGAAGACCTTGAAGGGCACCTCCATGTTCCGGTAGGACTCGGCCATCTTCCGCTCCCGCGGGTCGCTGTAGTTCAGGACCTGGAGCTGCTCCTTGAAGGGGACGGGCATGGACACGTTGTCCGGGTTCCAGTCGCGGACGATCTCCCAGAGATTCCGCAGCGGGGGATAGCTCGGGCCGTTGTAGGGCCTGGGCTCGTCGCGCACGAAGCGCCCGCCCGCGGACCAGTCGTCCCACTGGATCGTCTCCGGCGCGTTCGGCGCCACGTGGATGTGGTGCATCTCGTGGATCGTCATGTCCAAATCGTCGTCGTCCTTCGCGGGCTTCCGGAGCCGCGACTTCGGCGCGCGCGGCCCGCTGCGCGGCCGGTGGCCGCCGGCGGGCGCCGGCGCCGCGCCGGGCGGGCCGTGGTTGATGTTCAGCACGAAGCCGAGCCAGGCGGAGAAGCCGAAGAGGGCGAGGCCCAGCACCGTCCGCCTCAGGGCGTCGCAGATCGTGGCCTTGTCGCCGTCGCCCATGGCACTTCGTGCGCCCTGAGGCGCGCGCGCGGGAGGCGCGCGCGCGTCTCGCGCGAAAGGACCGGGGCCCGCGGTCGTCGACGGCGGGCAGCGACGAAGCGACGCGACGCCGCGCGTGTGTTGGCCCGCGACGCTGCGAGACGTTTGCGAGAGGCCGTCAACATTGACCTCTCCGAGGAGTGCCGCGCGATCGCGACGCGCGCGGCCGGTCCCGGACGACGACCGAGCGACGACGACGCCGCGCGTGTCGTGGGCCGCGATGCGGAGCGGAGTTGCGGCGCCAAGCTTACCCCGGGACGTCGTCGCCGCGCGCCGCGCGCGGCCGGTCGCGGACGACGACCTTCGCCCCAGCGATCCGCGCGGCGAGGCCGCTGGCCCGGCCCGCGGTCCAGAGGTCGTCGACGAGGGCGCCGAGGGCGTCGAGGTGCGCCGCGACGCGCGCGGCCGCGGGCTCCGCGGCCGCGTCCGCGGCGTACGCGCGCCGCTGCTCGTCGAGCAGCTTGCCGTGGTGGGCCGCGATGCGCCGGGCGGCGTCGGCGACCGCGGCGGCGTCCGGCGCCTCGAAGCCCCGGCCCGCGCGGTACGCCGCGAGCGGCTCGCGCGCGAGCGCGTCGCCGAGCGCGCGCGCGGCCTCGGCCTCGAACGCGCCCGCGGCGACGTCGCGGCCGAGGAAGCGCCCCAGGGGCAGCGGCGCGTCGAGGGCCGCGTAGAGCGCCGGGTCCAGCTCGCGGAGCGCCGCCGGGTCGTCGAGGGGGTCGCCGGTCGGCCGCGCGGACCGCGCGGCGACGCGGAGGCTGTCGACGGACAGCCCGAAGTTCGACGAGCAGACGACGCCGAACGTCAGGTGCAGCGACGACTTCGACGTCGTCGACGTCGCGTGGGGCGCGCCCGCGGGGACGTAGAGCACGTCGCCCGCGTTCAGGACGTCGTCGAAGACGACGGTCAGGGCGCGTTCGTCCAACGCGTCGCCGCCCTTGCCGCGCGAAAAGGGGTCCGCGTCCGGCGCGGCGTCGACGGCCGGCGGGTCGTAGACGACCCAGCGCTTGCGCCCGGAGCACTGCACGACGAAGACCTCCTGGCGGTCCGTGTGCGGCGGCGCGGACGTCGCGAGGCCGCTCCCGGAGCAGTAGACGTTGACGCCCACGGGCAGCTCGAAGGCGTCGAGCGCCGCGGCGCAGGCCGGGCCGAGCAAGCCCGGAAAGGCCGCGCCGGCGTGGTTGAAGAGCACCGTGCGCCCGCGCATGGACGCGAGGACGCGCCCGAAGGCGCCGTCGCCGTCGCCGAGCTCCGAGTTCCGCCAGCTCCCGCCGTCGGGCACGACGCGCGCGGCGTCGTCGAGGCTCGTCGCGTCGGCGTCGACGCAGTCGCCCAGCGCGCCCAGCGTGATGCGGCAGCCCTTGGCCGCGCGGCGGCGCACGAGCGGCGACTTCCCAAAGGCGCGTCGCAGCTCCTCGTCGCGCGCCAGCGACTCCCAGAGCGCGGGCCAGTCGTCCGCGCCGGCGCCGCCGGCGGCGCGATGGAACGGCCGCCGCGACGCGGACGGCGCGAGCCACGCGCGCGCGGTCGCGACGCAGAGCAGCGCGGCGACGCGACTCATCATGCTTGCCACAAAAAGTTCAGCGCCGGTTCGTTGCCGTTCAACCACGCGTCCCTGGGTCGCGGCAGGCCCCCGTCCTGCCACAAAAGTCCGGCGTTCAAGTTGTAGTTCAACTTCGTTCCTTATTACGCCGCCCCCACGCGTCGCGCCAGGGCCCCGTCCGCGACGCGAGGCGCGCGAGGCCCGTGGCGCTCCGCAGCGTCATGAGGACCTCGAGCCCGAGCCAGATGCCCGGGAGCCCGCGCGTCGGCGCGAGCGCGACCATGGTCCACCCCGCCGCGCCCGCGCCGCCGAGCATGGCCAGCGCCGTGAACTTGTAGTCCTCGGCGGCGAAGAGCGCGCCGTCCACGACGAACGACAGGCACGTGAGCGCCTGGGACCGCGCGACCGCGGGCCAGATCGCCGCCGCCGCCGCGACGGTCGCCGGGTCCCTCGTGAAGAAGCGGACGATCGCCGGCCCGAAAACGCGCAGGCACGCAAAGTTGCCGGCGGCGACCAGCGCCCAGAGCGCAAGGGCCGTGCCCGCGACGCGCCGCGCGTCCGCCGGCCGCCGGTTCGCGAGCGCTTCGGCGAGGAGCGCCTGGAACGCCGCGGCGACGGCGTCGGAGAGCAGGCTGGCCGAAAGCCAGACCTGGAAGCAGATGGCGTGCGCCGCGCCGGGCACGGGCCCGAGCTTCGCGGCGACGACGGCGGCGTACTGCATGCAGACGACCGTCGCCAGCGTCCGGACGACGAGGACGCCGCCCGACCGAGCGACCGCGCGGCACGCGGCGGCCGGCGGCCGCGGCAGCCCGCCCGCGCGCTTCGCGAAGGAGGCGAGGAGCACGCCGGCGCCGAGGTACTGGGCCGCGGCCGTCGCGACGGCGGCGCCCGCGGCGCCGTCGACGCCCCGCACGAGCAAGGCGTCGAGCGCGACGTTCGCGGCGGACGACGCGAGCAGCGCCGCGACGGGCGTCGACGCGTCGCGCGCGCCCCGGAACGCGCCCTGCAAGGCCATGAGCGCCAGCGCCGGCGGCAGGGACCAGCAGCGATAGCTGAGGTAGGCCGACGCGTGGGCTCGGACCGCCGCGTCGCCGCTAACGCCGAGGAGCGTTCCGACCGCGCGGTCGCCGAAGCAGCGGAGCGCGAGCGCCAGCGCGGCGCCGGCGCCGACGGCGACGTAGATCGACCTACCAAGCATGTCGGTGACGATTTCTCATTGCTTTCCCACCCAAAATCTCTCGAAGATCGTCACCGCCACAGGACGCTGAGATCGACGCCGCCGCGAGCGCCGCGGACCGGTCGCAGAAGGTGCCGGGCGCCGCGTCTTGCGACCGCGACCGCGCGACGAACGAACACGTCGCGCTCTGCAAAAAGTTCATCGACTTGGCGAGGATGTTAAAAATGCTCACGGCGACGCCGACGCCCGCCAGGGGCGCCTCGCCGCAGCGGCGGCCGACGAAGGCCGTGTCCACGAGGGACGCCACGGGCTCGATGGCCAGGCCCAGGAGCGCTGGGATCGCGAGGTCGGCGAAGTCGCGGCGCACGTTGCGGTGGTGCTCGCCCGCGGCGGCCGCGGCGCCGCCGCGCGGGAGCGTGCGCAGCGCGAAATGTCGTGATGGACCGCGCAACGCTGTTGCGCAGGTCGCACAGAGCAGCACGATGGTGCGGAGGCAGCCCATCGTCACCTCGAGCAACGAGTTCATCAAGCTTTTACTTGCTCAAGCATCGCTCGAGCCGATGGCCCTGGCCGCTGAAGACGCCGTGCTCTGCAAGACCTTTGGTCTCCGCGGCGACATCGGGTCCGCAGCGCGCGAGCCGGTGTACGCCTTTCTGTTGTGTGCGCGCCACCGAGCGGGACCGAGCGCGCCGGGCCCGCAGAAGAGTCGGCTGCGGCGCTCGATCCGCTTGAGTAGTCTGCCGCGGGAGATTATTCAGCACATCGCGCGCGTGTTGTACGTGCCGCAGTATGTGGCGGAATTCGATGTGTTCAACGTTGGCTACCGTGACAAGATCTGGTTTGCGCCCGGAGCTCTCGCGAACTTCGTGGATCATCGACTCTCCGACCTCGCCGTCACATGCCTGGAGTTTCACAAGAGGGACGTGCTGGACAGTGTACGCTTGCTCAATCCGCTGGAACGCAAGCGGACCTACATCGAGCTGAAGATCTCGAAAGCATGGTACGGCACGGGCGTGCGGTGCGGGGGCGTCGAATTACGCTGCGATTGTTACGATGAAGAAGATGATAGGGAAGGGGAAAATTTGTCCGTGCAGGTGGGCGATCAGCAATATTATGTCCCCGCCTTCGATCATTCTTGGACCTGGCTTTCAGACCCGGTAATTTTCGGTCTTTTTGTGGACACGATCCGCGGCTGCGTGACCTTTCGCGTGAACGGCATCGACGGACTTTGCCTGGACAATTCGAATTTGAATTTGGATGGCTTTAGCGACACGACTAGGACTCTCATTTCAGTCCACGACTTCCCCTCCGATGATGTGCCGTCGATGCAGGTAGAGGTGTCTTCGCCGCCGTGTCCACCCTCGCTTCGCGCTGCAGCCCTCAAGAGCCCGGCCGATCATGTCCTCGATGGTTCCTTTGAGCCCTACGACGAAGACGACAGACAGGTGGATTAGGCCAGAGGAAGTAACACCTGAGCTCGCTCTCGTTAACAAGCCAAGTGATTTCGAAAACTATATAGGCTCACGTATAGGTTTCGCCCGCCCGCCTAGTAGTCGGCGTCGCGCCAGCTCAGGCCCTTCACGCGCACGGCCCGTGTCCTCGCGTCGCCGTCGGCGGCCGACGCGTCGAGGGGCACGGAAGCGTCCTCGTCGTCGATGCCCACGCAGGCGAAGGAGGGCCCGCTGCACATCATCGGCGCGAGGGAGCAGTAGACCTGGGCCGACGCCTCGGCCTGGCGGTGCTGGCGCTTGTAGCCCTCGGCCTCCGCGCGCGCGTCCTCCGCGCGCTGCTTGAGGATCGCGATCTCCTCGTGCGCGGCCTCGAGCTTGTACTGCAGCCCCGGGTCCGCCGCGGGCGGCTCGCTCCCCGAGCGCCCCGACCGCACGGACGCCGCGTCGTCGCCGCCCTCCTCGAGGAAGGCCTTGAGGCGCGCGTTCGCGGCGCGCGCCTCGGCCCGCGCGAGCTCGGCCTCCTGGCGCCAGAGCGCGGCCTCCCGCGTCGCGCGCGCGGCGTCCGCGGACTCGCGGCCGTCGAGCTCCTCGAGGCGCGCGTGGGCCTGGGCAGCAAAAGGGTGCGAAATTCCCAACTTCAAAGGCTCCTCTCTCGGCCGGTTTCCACTCGTTTCGGCTGATTTTTGGACGAGCGATCATCTCTCGGAACGGTCTCGAAGCGTGGATGCTTTTTCCAGAACGGGCGCGCGCGGAACACTCACGTTGAAGCGACGTTGAATCACCCTTGTCCTGCCCTGGCGTGGGCCAAACTCGCGGACGCGCGCGCCTGCTCCGCCTCGGAGCGCCAGACCTCGAGCTCCTTCAACGTCTTCTCCAACCGCGCGGCGGCGAGCGTCGGCGGCGCCGGCGGCGGCGCGGCCGGCGGCGCGGCCGCCGCCGCCGCGTCGCGGTCGTCGAGCAGCTTCGCGCGCGCCTCCGCGGCGGCCGCGTCGCAGACGGCCGCGCGCGCGACGAGCGTGCAGTGCCTCCGCGTCGCCTCCACGGCCTGCTTCGCCCGCTCGAGCATGAGCGCCGACTGCACGCTGATGCGCCGCGACGCCTGGGCCTCGGCCTCGCACTCCAAAGCGTCGTGGGCGGCGACGCGCGCGCGCCGCCGGTGCAGGCGCGCGGCGTCGCGGTCCTCGGACTCGGCCTCGGCGTCGACGCGCGCGTCCGCGGCGCGCTTGCCGCAGGCGTCGGCGCGGTCCCGCAGGGCCTGCTCGTCGTCTTCAGCGAAGAGCTTGGGGCGGAAGACCTTGATGTCCGCCAGGGGCACGGCGTGCTCGCGGGGCGTCTCGTGGAAGGAGTCTTGCGAGATGTGCATGGACCCCATGGACATGTCCAAGTGCTCCGGCTTCCAGCGCTCGCCGGCCGGCAGCTCGACGCTCACGGACTCGCCCTGAGCCCACGTCGCCATGGTCGGTCTTTGCAAGGCGGGCGTCGGGGCAGCGTCGCAACCTCTGCTGCACCAGACTCTGGCCACTCTTTGGTTGGATGACAGTCGAATGGGCAAGGTCTAAGGTGCAGTGCAACAACCGGATTGCGGGAAAAGCATGGATGCCTCGCGACCCATGACCTCGTGATGCTGCGCTGCGCCGTGCACACCTGGGCGGCGCTGCTCCAGGTGATCTCCGCGCTCGACGAGACCGCGCCGCGGCTCGTGCTTCTGGCGTCGAAGCCGTACAGCGGCAGCCACCTGACGCGGCGCATCATGGAAGCCGCGTCGGACCAGTGCACGCTCTCCGTCTACCCCGAGGGCGTCTCGCTCGGGCCGCGGCAGCACGTCGTGGCCGCGGCGCGGAGCCTCGACCGCTACCAGACGACGCTGTCGCTCTCCATCGACAACGAGCGCGAGCGGAAGAAGGCGGGGTTTCCGCCGTGCGAGCCGCCGACTGGCTGGTACCTCGTCAAGACGCACAACGACCAGACGACGAAGCCGCCCGGCGACCTCTTCGGCCACGCCTTCCGGAGCGTCAAGGTCTTCCGCCTCGCGCGGAACCCCTTCGACAACGTCATGCGCGAGATCCTCGGCGACGCGCGGTCGCGGGAGAAACTCCTCGCGCCCGTCGGCGAGGCGGCCGCGGCGCGGCCGGCGGACGCGAAGCGGGCCGCGCGCTTAGCGAGCGGTCCGCGGGCCTACGCACGCTACCACGCCTTCTGGGACCGCTACGCGCCGCCGGCGGACCAGCTCGTCGTCCGCTACGAGACGCTGTGCCTCCATCCCGCGACGACGGCGGACCGGCTCCTCGCGTTCGTCTTCGGCGGCGCCGCGCCGCTCAACGGCACGCGCCTGCGCGCGGCCCTCGCCCGCGAGGCGCGCGCCGTGCCCGACGCCGCGGGCCAGGTCGGCAAGGAGAGCGTGCGATTGAGGCATCGCGTATTCAAGGACGACGGCCGCGCGGTCTTCGACGGCCAGACCTTCGCCGCCATCGAGCGCGGCGCGCGGGACGCGATCGCGAACTTCGGCTACGGCGCCCTCGCGCGGACCTTCGGGGCCATCGTCGCCGGCGACGCGGCCGTATCGGACATCGACGCGGACCCGGCGGGGTTGCTCGAAGCGCCCGCGTCCGCGCTGGACGTCGTATAATACCGGACTTAACGTCGGTGTTCGATCAAAACGACGGCGGCGCGACGGCGTCCTTCTTCGGCGGCGCGAAGAGGGCCTGGCCCGGGAAGAGGAGGTGCAGCGGCCCCTTGATCTTCGACAGGCTCGGCGGCTTCGCGCCCGCGACGGCCGCGGCGACGAAGCCGAAGCACGCGGCGCCGACGAGCGCCGCGAAGCCGCGGACGAGGGGCTCGGCGAAGAGGTAGACGCCCGCGAGGAGCACGGACGCCGCGAAGAGCTTGCGCTGCAGGCCGACGATGTGCTGGACGTCCGCGGCGACGAACGCCTCCGGGACCGCGCGGCTCGCGGCCGTCTCGCCCGCGAGGTCCGACATCTTGTCGCCGAAGGACGACGCGGCCTTGATCGCGTTCGTCGTCCAGGTCGGGAGGCGCTCGACGATGTAGACGAGGCCGTCGGGGTCGTCGGGGAGGAGGAGGAGCGCCGAGCTGATGTTGTCCGGGGCCGCGCGGTTGATGGCCCGGAGCGCCTTCTTCGCCTCGAGGTACCACAGCGAGATCACGGACACGTCGGCGTCCAGCAGCTCGAAGGACTTGCGCAGCGTGCCGCAGACGCGGCCGTAGAAGATCATCTCGCGCGGCGTGTCCGTGAGCACGGGCATGATCGCCTGGGCGGGAAAAGGGTGATTCAACGTCGCTTCAACGTGAGTGTTCCGCGCGCGCGCGTTACGGAAAACACATCCACGCTTCGAGACCGTTCCGAGAGATGATCGCTCGTCCAAAAATCAGCCGAAACGAGTGGAAAGTGGCCGAGATCGGAGCCTTTGAAGTTGGGAATTTCGCTCTCTTGTGCTGCCCTGATGATCGCCGGGTTGTGCTGGATCGCGTCCTTGAGGAACTCCATGGCCTCGGGCCGCACGGCGCCGCTGCCCGTCGTCGACGAGTCGAAGAAGTAGTACATGAGCGCCATCTTGAGCTCCGGGTCGTCGGTGTTGAACTCGAAGTCGCCGTCGCCCATCGCGAGCGCCTTGTCGATCAGCGACGGCGACCGCGTCCGCAGCAGGATCACGACGTGGCAGACGGTGCGCAGCTGCTCCTTCGTGAGCCCCGTGCACTGGCCGAAGTCGATGAGCCCCGGCTTGCAGGCGTCGCCTAAGAGCATGATGTTGCCGGGGTGCGGGTCGCTGTGGAAGAACCGTTCCCGGAACATCGTCATGCCGATGCCCATGGCGATGTCGACGACGGCCTGGACGGCCTTGGCCTTGACCGCCGGGTCGTCGCGGTCCACGGAGCTTAGCGTCTTTCCCGGGAGGAAGGTCTGCGTGAGCACGGACGACGACGACAGTTCGTCGACGACGACGGGGATCGCGATTTTGGAAGCGATGCCGTGGCGGTGGAAGAAGAGGCGGCTCTTCCGCAGGTGGCGCGCCTCGATGCGCAGGTCCAGCTCCCGGGGGAAGGAGTCGACCTGCTCGTCCATGATGGAGTCGATCGTGCCCTTGACGGGGATGTCCATCAACTTCGTGATCTGCTGCGCCGCGCGGCGCGCGTTCGCCAGATCCGCCACCAAATAGCGGCGGATCTCCGGGTAAATGGCCTTGACCACGAGGCGGTCCCCCGAGCCGTGGGCGTTCGCCAGGTGCACCTGGCCGATGGACGCCGCCGCGAGCGGCTTCTCGTCGACGTGCTTGAAGTAGCGGTCGAGGCCGGATAAATCGCCGCGGACCGGCGGCACGCCCTCGCCCTCGAGCCCCTCGAGCAACGACTTCTTCATGACGGGCCAGGGCCGCGGCGGCATGGCCTCGAAGGAGCCCTTGAGCTCGTCGACCCAGGCCTGGGGCAGCAGGCCGTCGCGCGTCGCCCAGTCCTGCGCGAGCTTGTTGTACAAGCCGCCCATCTTGGAGAACAACTTGCGGATCTCCGCCGCGGCCTTCTCGTGCTCCTCGTCCCACATGGTCGTGCGCTCGTCGTAGTAGGCCTCGCGGTCGACGTGCTTCACCTTCTTGCGCATCTTGGACACTTTGCCCCGCAATTTCATGTAGCGCATCACAATAGGTACGACGCCCGCGGTGAATTTCGCGTTCCGATAGAGCTGCGTGCCCAAGGCGGCCTTGTTCACGTTCGTCTTCTGGTCCGCGGCGCCGGCGATCTCCTCGCGCTCGACCTTCTCCAGTTCGGCGGCGATCTCGTCCTCGGTCATGAGCTCCACCACCCCCGCGGACGCGGGCGCGAGCCGGACCTGGCCGTTCTTCTTCAGCGTGGCCTCGGACACGTCCACGGTCGCGGAGAACGTCAAATAGCCCGCGGCGTCGCAGATGGCGTCGAGCTTCTCCCGGCGCACGAAGCGCTTCGTGCCCGCGCGCGTCCGCGCCGTCACGTCCGCCACCGGCGCGAAGAGCGTGTCGTCCTCGGCCTTCCACGTGGGGCCGTTGGCGACGGCGATGGACGCCCGAGCGAGCACCTTCTTGCGGCCGACGTAGCGCACGTAGCAGGCGCAGTACTCCTTGTCGTCCTGGTCCCAGCCGTCGACGCAGACGTCCAGCACGAAGTCGTGGGGGCCCGCCTGGAACGGCTCGCTCGACGTCTTCACTTTCAGGCCTTTCCGCAGCTCGCCGAGGAGCACGCGCCACTTCATCGTGCCCGACATGGCCGGCCAGGCGGTGCGGCGCGCGCTTTAGCGCAACGAGAAAGCGGGATGCCTGGATCACAACAGGTCTGGTGGCCACGCTGCGCTCGTTTTTGGCGGCTCCGAGCTGCGAGCACGGCAAGTTCGACCGTGGCTGCTCGTCGAAGTCGTCCTTCCCCTCGCCGATCTGGCTGACGCTGCCCCGTTGCCGCCTCTCATCGAAGCGCTTCGACGCGCCGCTGCGCGCGCTCGCGGCCATGCGCGTCCTCGCGCTGCTCGTCGCGCTCGCCGAGGCCAAGTGGTTCGAGGAGGGCGTCTGGTACGTCGACTTCCGCATCAACCTGGCCGCGGGCCGCGAGCGCAGGTTCACCATGGAGGTGCACCCGGAGTGGGCGCCCATCGGCGCCGAGCGCATGGAGGAGCTCGTCGACGCCGACTTCTTCGCGGGCTGCCGCTTCTTCCGCGTCGTGCCCGGCTTCGTCGCCCAGTTCGGCATCCACGGCAAGCCCGCGGTGTCGGCGATGTGGCGCGACAGGACGATCCCGGACGACAACGTCACGCAGAGCAACATCGCCTACTACGTGTCCTACGCCACGTCCGGCGCCGACTCGCGGACGACGCAGATGTTCATCAACCTCGTGGACAACGAGCAGCTCGACGCCATGGGCTTCGCGCCGTTCGCGCGGATCACGACGGGCCTCGACACCGTCGACGACATCTACAGCGAGCACGGCGAGAAGCCCCACCAGGGCTACATCCAGCAGGACGGCAACACCTACCTGAAGAAGAACTTCCCGAAGCTGTCCTACGTCGTCTCCGCGACGAAGCGCGGCACCGGCGCGGAGTACTACGCGAAGGTCAAGGCCGAGAACAGGGCAGCAAAAGAGAGCGAAATTCCCAACTTCAAAGGCTCATATCTCGGCCGTTTTCCACTCGTTTCGGCTGATTTTTGGACGAGCGATCATCTCTCGGGACGGTCTCGACGCGTGGATGCTTTTGTCCGGAACGCGCGCGCGCGGAACACTCACGTTGAAGCGACGTTGAATCACCCTTTTGCTGCCCAGGCCGAGAAAGCCGGCGCGAAGGCCGACCTCTAAAAAAAGGGCGCCCCCTAGTCCTCGAGCGTCGGGTTCGCCTCGCGGAAGAGGGCGATGGCGTTGCGGAGCGCGATGTTCGGCACGACGTGCTTCATCTCGAGCACGAGGCCCGTCTTCGGGCTCGTGTCGTGCGTCTCGAGCCACTGCTCGATGGACGCGCGCTCGTACGTGTGGCCGTCGGAGACGATGACGGGGTCGACCATGACGCAGCAGGAGATGGGGCACACGAAGTCCTCGGGCACCGCGCGGCGCCGCGCGTCGCGCGCCGCGCGGACGCGCCGCGCCATGCCGTCGAGCTCCTCCTCGAGCGCCGCGAGGTCGCCGCCGGACGCGCGGGCCAGCGCGGCCTCCTCGAAGCGGCCGAGCTGGCGGAGCAGGGCGTCGCGATCTTCCGTGACCGCCTGGATGTCCTCGCTCGCCTTGGCCCACGTGTCCCTCGCCTCCGCCCACTCCTTCGACACCTTGTCCCAGGCGACCTTGGATGCCTCCGCGAAGCGCCGCCGCTCCGCGACTTCCTTGCGGAGCCGCTGCGCCTCGCCCCGCGCCGCCGCGACGTCGCCCGCGAGCTGCGTCGCGCGCTGCTCCGCGGCCTCGCGCTGCGAACCCAGCGTCGCGACGGCGCCTTTCAGCGCCCGGACCTCGAGGCGGTGCTTCTGCCGCTTCCCGGACGCGAGGTCCGCCGCGAGGCCGTCGGCGCGCCGGGCCTCCGCGTCCCTCGACGCCGTCGCCGCGGCGAGCGCGGCCTCGAGCGCGTCGACGCGCGCCGCCGCGCGCGCGCCCCGCATGCCCCGCAGGTCCTCCCGGATGCCGTCCAAGGAGCTCCGCAGGGAGTCGAGGACGCCGCCCGGCGGGTCCGACATGTCCGGGCCGTCCAGAACGTCGCGGATCGTGGACCGGAGCACGTCCTCGTCCATCGTCGGCGAGTAGCGCGGCCGCGGCCGCGCGGCGCGCGGCCGCGGCCGGTGGATGAGGTCGAGGTTCGCCGACAGGTCGATGGGGTCGCCGGGCGCGTCCCCGAGGCCGTCGCCCGTCGCGAAGGTCCACGCGCCCAGCGCCCCGTAGACGTTGCCGGGCGTCACGAGCCGCGCGCGGTACGTCGTCCGCGGCCGCAGCGTCGTCGCAAAGGCCACGACGTCGCCCGACCGCGACGCCTCGCCGTCGAGGTCCGCGCAGCACGGCGCGGCCACGCCGAGCGCGTCGAGCTGGTCCCGCGTGAAGTGCTCGGGCGCCGCGTTCGCGCGCGCCTGCTCCGCGGAGTCGTCGCCGCACGCGGCGTCGACGAGCGCGTCCACGTCGCCGTCCGGCGACTCGGGGTAGAGCCCCTCCGGGTAGTCGCCGCGCCGCATCTTCCGCGGCGGCGTCAGCGACTTCTCCGCGCCGATGGGCGGGAAGTCCTCGGCGTCGTCCAAATCGTAGGCGAGCTCCTCGGGCACGTCGCGCGACGGCTCCGAGTCGTCGACGACGGACACCTCGAGCCGCAGGTCCTCGTAGTCCGCGCCGGCCCAGACGCGGCAGGACACGGTCGCGCGGCCGGGGGCGACGCGCGCCGCGTCCTTCGCGGGGTACCGGTCGCGGAGCGGCGGCAGCACGGCGATCCCCATGCACCCCTCGTCGTGTAGAGACTCCGCGCCGTCCCTCGGGAAAAATACCGGGTCGTCGTACGCGAGCAACAGCTCCTTCAGCAGACCCGGCGCGAGGTCGAGGCGCACCACCGGCTGGGCTTCGATCAGACGGTGATTCAATCGGATCGCGAGGTCGCACGATTCCGGCAGCGTCGGCCACGCGGCCTCGGCGAGGGCCGCGAGCGCGTCCCGGTCCCAGGCGTCGCAGACGCGGTGCACGACGACGGACTCGTAGGGCCCCGCGCGCAGCGCCGCCTCGTGGCAGCGGTAGGCCCGGACCTCTTTCGACGCGTATTTGGGCCAGACGAGCTCGTCGTCCGAGATCCACTCGCCGTCCTCCGTCACGAGCTCCACCTCGGGCACGTCGGCCATGTCGGCCACGGCGGCCCGGAGATCCGCGCCCAGGGACGCCCGCGCGTACTTGGCGCCGACGACGGAAGACGAGCAGTCGTCGACGAGGAGCCGCACCAGTAGGACCCTCTGGCCGTCGGGCCCGGAGTCGAAGGCGCCGTCGTCGAGGGCCGCCTCGAGGCAGACGCGCACGACGCTCCCGGGCCCGATGCCCAGGTCGCCGACGGTCGCGAAGTTCGGCGGGCCGAGCGCGGAGACGCACCGGAGCCGCCGCCAGTGGCCGTGGCGCTGGCTCGCGAACCACGTCTGCCGCTCCGGCGGGCACGACCGGATCCTGGCGACGCGCTCCTTGAGCGACCGGAGCGTCGTCGAGGCCGCGACGCCGTCGAGGGCGACGCGCGACGACTCCAGGAGCCAGGCGTCGTCGCCGAGGGCCGCGGCCTCCTCCTCGACGCTGAGCTCGGCCTTCGTCGCGAAGACGCGCGCCTCGAGGGTCCAGGGCGCGGACCAAAGTGGGGACTTGCTCATGGCTCTGGGTGTTTTCGGTCACACGGTTGGGAGCGCTTGCTTATGTGTCGCATTCGCGGGTACCCATCACGGGCTGCCGAACCGCATTTACACAAGCGTCAAGGTCGGTGGTGCATAGATGGTGCACCACACAATGTCATGATTCCAGCCGTGCGATCGCTCCGGCGAGGTCTCGTCTGGGCGCGAGCAATCTGAGCGCCAGGACTCGCACGCAGCAGCCGACCGCGGACCCGCCGAGCAGTCGTCGTCGCGGAGCCTCGCGCGACCCCGCCGCGCCGCGGGCGCGCCGCCACACGCAACAGCTCGGATGGCCGGCGAGCGCACGGGCCTCCTGGCGCGGGCCGACGCCAGGGAGACGGAGCTGCGCGAGCGCGTCATCGGCGTCATCGACGAGGAGGACCAGCGGGCGAAGACGGGCAGCAACGCGTCCGTCGGCTCGTCGACGGCGTCGAAGGAGCCCGACTACGGCCTTCCGTTGGTCTTCGTGGGCTTCGTGCTCGCGTCGCTGGGCAACCGCCTCTTCCAGAAGCTCCAGACCGTGCCCATGTACAACTACCCCATCACCGTGAACCTCGTGTCGTCGGTCATGTACGTGCCGCTCTGCTTCGCGTACATCCTTCCCGCGCTCTGGTGCGTGAGTCCGTCGCCCATCTCCGAGGAGGAGCGGGCCATCCCCAAGTACAAATTCGCCATCATGGGCGCGCTCGACTGCGTGTCCTCGGTCATGCAGACGCTGGCCGTGAACTTCGTGCCGAACCCGTCGACGATCGTCCTGCTGCAGCAGTCGGCGATCCCGATCTCGATGGTCATCTCGCGGGTCTCGTTCAAGGGCGTGCGCTACGACGGCTGGCAGGTCGGCGGCGCGGCCATCGTCCTCGGCGGCATCGCCGTCGTCCTGGCGCCCCAGCTCCTGGGCGGCGGCGCCGCGGGGCCGCCGGAGGACGTCGCCGCGGCGGACGGCGGCGCCGCGTGGGTCTGGTCCGTCGTCATCATCGTGTCCTGCGTGCCCATGTGCCTCTCGTCGGTCTACAAGGAGAAGGCGCTGGGCGACCAGGACGTGGGCGTCATCTACCTGAACGGCTGGGTCGCCGTGTTCCAGACGATCCTCGCGTTTCCTCTGACGGTGCCGTCGGCGTACGCGACGCACCTGCCGCTGGCGGAGCTGCCCTACAACGTGCGCGACGGGTTCTACTGCTTGGGCGGCGTCGATTCGGTGCTGCCGGCGCGGCTCTACCGCGACGACGACTACGACACCTTCCGCAACGACACGAGCGGCTACGACCTTTTAAACCCGGCGGATAGCGCGCTGCGGCGCGCGGACGACTGCGGGTCCGCGCCGCTCTTCGTCGGCGTCTACGTGCTCTTCAACATCGCCTACAACGTGCTGACGGTGGTCATCCTGAAGAAGGGGAGCTCGAACTTGCTCTACCTCGGCTCGACGATCCTCGTGCCCGTGTCGAACGCCATGTTTTCGCTGAAGTGCCTCCCGGGCCACCAGCCGCTCCACGCGTCGGATCTGCAGGGATTGGTGGTCATCATGCTCGGGCTCTTACTGTACCGCTGCGGCGGCGCGCTCTTCGACTTTGTCGTCGCCGCGGTCGGCGCGGGGCCCCGGAAGTCGCGCGCGCGGAGCTTGGACTCGCCGGGCGACACGAAGTCGCCGAGCGCGCCGTCGCCGCTGCTGCGCGACGCGACGAAGACGCTGAGCCGGCGCACGTCCTTCGGGACGGCGTCGCAGCGCAAGGCGACGCGCTACTTCGGCCCGAATCAGCTCGAGATGCTCCAGCCGCTCATGGAGGCGCAGAAGCGGAACGCGAAGCACCGCCTCATCAAGACGAACGCGCAGATCCGCCACAGCTTCCTCCACAGGCTCGGCTTCACGCCGGACCTCACGGCGCACCCCGCGTCGGGCCGCCGGTCGCCCGCGTTCTACGGGTCCTCGCCGGGCGAGATGCGCCGGTCCATCGACGCGCGGCGCCACACGCCGCCGCCGCCGGAGGGCGCACCCTCCGGCCGCCACGTGCCGTTGGCGGAGCGGCGACGGACGCGCTCCTTCGGCGCGGCGACGGCGGCCCGGTGAAGCCTGAGCGGCGGGGGGTTTCTAAGCGTCCTTTATATTGTCCGCCGCGCGCAGGACCCACCTCCGCTTCGCGCGGCCGCGGGACCCCGACGGCCGCTTCGCCGACGACGGCTGCGCGAGGACCCAGCCCTGGGCGGCGAAGAGCCGCTCCGACGCCTCGTTGCCGCGGTTGATGAACGCGGTGCAGTCCTCGCCCCGGTCCTGGAGACTCCGCGTCGCCTCCTTGACGAGGCTCGCGCCGAAGCCGCGGCGCCGGTACGCCTCGTCGACGTGGAGCATGCCGATGCGCCCCCAGTCCGTGCGCAACACGGACGCGCGCAGCTCGCCGCCCTCCTCGACGCCGAGCGCGCCGACGCCGTGCGCGATGCGCCGGCGCACCGTCCCCAGCGACCGCTCGGCGCGCGAGAACTCCCAGCGCGCGTTGATCAGGGGCGCGTCGTCCTGCCGCAGCGGCCGCAGCGTCGCCGGCGCGAGCGCAATGCTCGCGGCCTCGGAGCGCGCGCGCGACGCGGCGGCGGCGCGCTGCGGGTCGAGCGGCCGCAGCGTCGCCGCGCGCGCTAGCCACGACGCGGCGACGAGGCATAGGAGCGCCCGCGACATCATGCAAATGGGTCGAGCAGAGCTCGATTAGAGAGCGCAAGTGACATCCATCATCATTGGTCGTATACGCATGCTGGAACCGATACCGCAGGCAAAAGCGCCGACACCGGGGCGAGCGCGCCGAGGCCGTCGCGCGCCCGTATGATGTGGCGATGGGCAGCTCAGATGAGGATCACCACTTGCCAGAGACCCCTAGGCTAGCCCCACTAGGGTAACACCCAGTGTGCCACCTTCTACGGGCTATGGGTTGTTCCACCGTGCTATAGCTCATTCTCTCTAGTAGCCGCCAATCCTCGAGACGGAGATCCGTCTCGAGGGCGATTTCGCTGGCGTTCGCGGAGACGACTGGGCTGCAATAATAAATCTATAGCAGCTCATTCTCTCTCTCTCCTTTGGGCGCTACTTCCTGGCTAATTATTAGAGAATTTTAGATTTGCTCCCAAATTTGGCCCTTTTGCAGACCATTAAATTTGGTCGCTGCCATTAAATTCGAAGATTACTGTACTTGGTACCGTCGCCTCGTGGAGACGCTGCCCACGTCGGTGCTCGCCACGCCCGAGGTCGTTCTCTGCCAACTCGCGTCAACGTAAAGTCTTGAGCCAGGGCCGTCCGGTATGGAGAGCCGCAGCGGCGAGCTCTAAGATGTGGGCTGACGAACGCCGCGCGATGAAGCGGCTCCTCCCGTGCCTGCTGGCGGCACTCGCGGGGAGCTGGGAGGTCGACGACCAGGGCCGCCTGACAGCGTCGCTGCAGGTCGCAACGCTCGATCCCGCCACGAGACGCCTCGACGTGCCCGAGGGCGCGCGCATCTGGCTCGAAGTTGGCACGAACAGCCGGAATTGGCTCGCCAACTGCGAGCTGCTCTGCGAGGGCTACGACGACGTATACATCGTGAGCTTCGAGCCGCTCTTGGAACACTACGGCCGCGTGGTCGCGGGCGCCGTCGCGGCGCCGAGCGGCGGCGCCGGCGGCCTCCGGCGCCTCGACGGCCGGCGCGGCGTCGCGCTGCCCTTCGCGCTCGACGCGGTCGACGGCGAGGCCGACTTCCACGTCGCCGCGCAGGACGGGTGCAGCGCGCTCGCGAAGCCGATCCCCGGCGAGCGGGCGTGCGCGACCGTCGGCGGCGTGCGCCGCGTGCCGACGATGACGCTGAAGTCGGTCTTCGACGTGCTGCTGCCCGTCGGTGCGCACGTCGATTTTCTTTACGTCGACGCGCAGGGCCACGGTTTGAAGATCCTCGAGGGCGCGGGCGACTCCCTGGCGCGCGTCGACGCGATCGTCGTCGACGCGCTCCTGCGAGACGAGGCGCTCATGTACGAGACGCAGAACGGCTGCGCCGCGACGGTCGAGTTCGCCGCGGCCGCGGGCTTCCACGTGCCCTTTGAGACGCGCGCGTTTTTGTGCGACCACGCTGCGGACCACGCGGGCCGCCTCGAGTCCGCACCGCGCGAGATCAACGTCTTCTTCGCCCGCGACGCGACGCGCGCGCGGCCCATCTGCCCCCACGTCCTGGATTACTGCATCGAGCGCGAGGACGTGCTCACCGTCGGCTTCCACGCGCAGCTGCCGACCTGCCGGGGCGACGAGCGCTGCGAGACCGACGTCTGCCGCGAGGGCGAGGGCCACTGCCTCATCTACCTCGACGCCCGGAACTGCTGGTGCACCACGTGGCAGAGTTGACCCAATGTTGCTTTAATCAACATCGCATTTTTTGACACTTGAGCAATTGCACTTGAGATGGGCTGCAGTGCATAGTTCAGAAGCCAACAACAATGAATGCGTGCTTCGGCGAGCTCCCAACCGCGCGCGACGACTATCCAGACGACTATCCAAAGAAGAAGGCGGCGGAAGACGACGGTCCGAAGAAGGCGGCGGAAGATGGCAGCATCACGCGCGAGGAGGTGCTGCGCTTACTGGGCGCCCACCAGGAGGAGGTCGAGGCCCTGCAGGCCGAGGTCGCGCGCCTCGCCGCGCGGGAGCCCGGCGGCGGCGACGACGGGCGCCCCGACGCGGAGTGCCTCGAGGAGATGCTCGACGCCGAGGGCGAGGGCTTCACGGGCCTCCCGGTCGACCGGCTCTACGAGAAGGCCGACGAGTCCTACTTCTTCCGCGTGCAGTGCATGGTCATGTACAACGGCTTCGACCTGTGGACGACGTTCCACTTCCTTTTCGTGGTCGTCGTCGTCGCCATGCAGATCGGCGCGCTCCAGACCGTGTGGCAGTCCGTGTGGCTGGTGACGGACTTTTCGCAGTGGGCCGGCGCCGACGACCCCGACGTCGTCGGCGAGTACTACCCGAGCGGCGTCCCCTGGCCGACGGACTACTGGGGGCTGCTCGAACACTACGACTCGCACAAGGTCTACGGCGTGCTCTTCATCGTCGTGTTCCCGCTCGTGTTCACTTGTGTCTGCGTGACCATCAGCCTGCGCGCGGAGATGGAGGAGTGGAAGGCCGGCTACGTGCTCTTCCGCCGCGAGCTGCGCAACTTCTACGACAACCGCGCGGCCGTCGACGACAAGGCGGCGGACGACGACGCGCCGCCGCGACGGAGGCCCAGCGCGAGCGAGGTCAACGCGGCCGTGCCCCGGCCCCGGCTCTTCCGGCGCCTCGCGGCGTGCCTCTTCACGCACTACGTCCGCGCGTCCATCGTCTGGTACTTCGTCGACGTGTCGGCCATGGTCCTCGGCACGGCCGACGGGCCCTTCAACCTGCTCCTCAACGCCGTCGCGCTCGTCTACGTCCTCGACATCGACGATCTGCTGCGCGTCGACATGCCGTCGAACAACTTGTTCGGCGTCGAGGACGCGCGCCGGCGGACGCGGTACCGCGCGCGGAATCGCCAGGCGCGCGCCGTCTTCCGCGAGGTCGTCGAGGCCGTCCGCGCGGCGCCGAAGCGGCTCCTCGACGCCTACCACGGCGTCGGCTGGCTGTCGCCCGTGTGCATCTGCCTCGCGCTTTTCCACATGTCCGCGCGGTTCCAGCGCCACACGCAGCGGGGGCGGCTCGTCTCCGCGGACGACGACTCGGAGCGGGGGGCGACGCACGTGTCCCTCACCGCTTCGTACAACTACACGATGTACGCGGTCCTCGTCGTCTTGCTCGTCGACGCCCAGACGGCCGCGTACGTCTCTCTGGCGGACGAAGCGCGGAGGTCGTGGAGGCCGATGGCGGAGGCCGCGGCCTGGTTTTTGGTCGATGGCCTCGTCCTCGCGCTCATCCGCCAGATCGCGCTGCGCTACGCCGTCCACTGCCTCCTGCCCTACACCATGTCCGAGGAGACGTGGCCCATGCGCTTCTGGAAGCGCCTCGACCCGACGCCGAATCGGCCCGAGCGGAGCTACGACTACTACCACTACGACGGAGCGACGGACGACGCCTATTCGTAAGGAGATAGGCGCCGCGTTGTGTGGGGCTCCAGTTTGGGAGGAGGGTCCATGTTTCTGAGAGCGGGTAGGGAAGGGGCTGCATAGTTAGTCAAACGAGTTCGTAGTCACGCGGTGTGCGCCAGTAGGTGAAAACGTGGACGAAGATTTCCTCGGGGACGCGCGTGTCGTGGAACAGGCGCTCGTACAAGGCGTCGCCCGACTGCGTCGCGCGGCCGCGCTCGCGCAGAGACGGCAGAGCCCGGCGGAGCACGAGAAGGTCGCGGCGCGGCGCGTCCACATATGGTCGCCAGCCGCCCGCCGCAATGACCTTGCTGAAGAGCTAGTACACATCATCGTGGGCTTCCTCGAAATCTTCGTCAAGGTGGTTTAGAGGATAGGGGTGTGTGCCCTGAGCATTGCGCGCCTGTAGCGACGCACCACGAGAGAGGAGCAGCTTGCACATTTCAACGTCTGCACGCCAGGCAGCACGATGTAGCGCTGTGCCCTGCCCTGAAACACCTTCGCCCGCATCCACTCGTGCGCCTGCGTTGAGCAGCATAAGTGCCGCGTCGTGATGTGGTTGCGAGCGATTGCGATGGTACAGGGGCGGCAGTGCGATCGTCCGACCGAGACGAGCTGCTACCTGCAGTGGCGTCGAGCCGATATCTGAGTGGCGACCATGGACGTTGGCCCCTTGATCTAGCAGCCATCGTATGGATGAGCACCACCCGTGTGTTGTTGCGTAATACAGAGGAGGACTTGTAAAGCCGAATCGATTGTCGTCGGGCAAAAGAAGATGCGGCTCGAGATCCGCATCGAAGTCGAAGTTTTCGGAGGCGGCCTGTGTCCGTAGCTTATCGAGGAACTCCAAATCAGCCTTTACGCAGAATATTTTAGATAGATCCATGCGTCTGGCGCGTCGTCGTCTTGCGACCCGGCCTATGGCAAAACTTTGAACGTCGCTAAAAAAGTGTGGACATTCATGGCCAGGACGCCGCGCCCGACTCCCGCGGCTCTCCGGTGCGCCTGTGAGACGCCTTGGAGCCACCTGAACTCCGCGGCTCCTCCCGGGATCCTACGCTTAGAGACGGACATTCATGGTTTTGCGCCGCCTCGTACTCCTTGTAAGCCTGTCCGTGGTACACTCCGATGAGGAAGTCGTCGCTCTCTGCATGATCGCGACGGGGACCGAGGTCGTGAAGACATCTCTCGCCCGCCTCTTGTCCTCGATCGTCGATTTCGCGCCGCATCACGAGGTCTTCCTCCGCGCCGACGGCGCCGCCGCAAAACGCGTCGAAGCCCTCGAACGGAAGCCCTCAAAGCTCAGAATCACCGTGGCGCTCGACGCCTACGCCGGCCGCAGCCGGCGGACCATGGAGCGCGGGTGCCCGTCGCGGACCGCGGAGCCGTGCCTCTGGACGCGGTACCAGCTCGAGAAGACCGCGGTGCTGCGCGACGCTTCAATGGCGGATTCGCGGCGCGGCGCGCTCTACGTGGACAGCGATCTCGAGCTCTTCGCGCCGCCGCCGCCCTTCCCCGGCGGGCGCGTCGCGCTCTCGCACGCGCGGATGCGCGAGGAGACGCGAAAGGCGTTCGGCACCTACAACGGCGGCTCGATCCTCGTGCGGGACCCCGCCGTCCTCGACGCGTGGCGAGCCGCGGCGTCGGCGACGGACTCGTCCTGCTGCCAGGACCAGGTCGCGCTGGACGCGGTCGCCGCCGCGTTCGACGATGTTTCTCTGCTGCCGCTCGGCTGGAACCTCGGGTGGTACAGCGTCTACGCGGACCTGTCCGAGGACGCGCGGGACCACCTCGCCGACGTGTCCTGCGCGGGCGGCGCGCTCGTCTACGGGCGCGCGCCCCTCTACAGCGCCCACTTCCGCCACGGTTCCCGCGCGAGGGACCGCCGGTCCTTCACGCGCCGCGTCCGCCGCGCCGCCGCGAACTGCACGGTCCTAAAAAGGCCCCCATAAAAGCCCGCCCCGCGCGCCCGTCACCCGAGGAGGCAGGGCGTGCCGCCGAGGGAGCCCTGGGTGTTGCGGCCGCGCTCCTCGGACTGCTGGCTCGGGTGCGCGAGGATCTTGTTCGTGCGCTCCGTCACGGAGGACGGGAACTGTTCGACCTTGGCGTGGGTGACGACGTCGTAGGACTTGCCGAAGATGTCCATGTCGCGGAGGTGCTGGCGCCGGTCCTTGTTGACCGCGTGGTCGCGCTTCATGAAGATGCGCGCGTTCGTGTCCGCGTAGGGCCTGGGCGGGAAAAGAGTGATTCAACGTCGCTTCGACGTGAGTGTTCCGCGCGCGCGCGTTCCGTAAAAAGCATCCACGCTTCGAGACCGTTCCAAGAGATGATCGCTCGTCCAAAAATCAGCCGAAACGAGTGGAAAACGGCCGAGATGGGAGCCTTTGAAGTCGGGAATTCCGCTCTCTTTTCCCGCCCCGCGTAGGGCGGGTGGCAGGCCTTCTGCTGCATGAAGTAGATGTCGGAGCGCGGCGTCGGGTCGTGGGCGAAGGGGTCGTAGCCGTGGCGCTGCTCACCGACGAGGATGTTCGACAGGTTGCCGCGCCGCCGGTCCGCGTGGTGCGTCCGGTAGCTCGCGAGGTCCTGCATCTCCGCGGCGTGCGCGCCGTAGACGGCGGACTTGCGGTTCGCCGTGCTGTCGACGCCCAGCACGCCGTTGGGGTGGTGCGCGCGCATGTACTGCGTCAGCCGCCGCGCCTGCATCTCCGCGCGGCGGAGCACCTTCGCCGCGCGCTGCTGCTTCACCTCGAAGTTCAAAGCCTCGACCCGCTCCCGCGGGGCCACGAGCGCGCCGCCGAGGTCGTCGGCGATGCCCGCGGCGAAGACCTTGGGCACGCAGGCCGGCGTCGCGACGAGCCGCACCTCCGCGGGGACGACGTGGTTGTTGTCGAAGCGCGACACCTCGACGACGGCCGCGTCGCCGGCGCCCGGCATCCGCGCGCAGGACTCCTGGGTCTCCGTGAGCGGGATCGTGCCCGTGTACTGCGACGGGCCGAAGCAGAGCGCGCCGCCCTCGGGCGACGGGCCGAGCTCGACGACGCGGTGGCCCGCCATGCCCGCCGATAAGGCGTGCTTGCCGCAGCCCGGCAAAGGCTTCGTGTCGAGCCGGCTGAAGGGCCGCGGGTCCACGCTCAACCCGTCCCAGGACCGCGCCGGGTCGTAGAGGCTCTGGCCCCGGCCGGCGCTCAACGCGCGCGACCCGGCGCTCGACAGGCCCACGCTGCCGCTGCCGTACTGCGGCTGGTACGAGTCCAGGAACTTGTCCAGCAGCGCGGGATTCATGGCCTTGGTCTTGCCCATGGCCGCCGTCGGCATGGGGATCTTGCCCTGCATGGCGGTGGTCGCGGGCAGCCCACACACACCTCGCGCTGTTATCACAATGCAAGGTATCGGGGGTGGTCGGCGTTGGTGATGTCGAAGCGCCAGTTATATACCTAGGTATAAAACTTCACTCACTTCATATAAAACTTCAAGGCTGAGATTTGAGAGCCGCGCCTCTCGCTGGGTGCGCGCGCGCTCCGCTGAAGCCGCTGATCCCGGCGTCACAATCGCCTAAACGCCCTCTCGAGACGCTCACAGGACTTCCTCGCCCTCTGCGCACCCCCGCTGCACGACCTTCCCCGCGGCATTCGTGCGGAACGTATCCGAACGACCCGGGGAACTTTCCCGCGCGACGAGACCACTTCCCTCGACAATCTTCGATGGCGGGCGCCGTGCTGACGCTGCGGGGCCGCTGCGCGTCGCGCACGGTGCCCGAGAGCATCGAGATCGAGGGCCGCGGCGACGCGGTCATCGTCGGCCGGTCGCGGAAGGACGCGGACGTCTGCCTCGACCTGCCGCCGCCGAGCCCCGCGTGCCTCATCAGCCGGCAGCACGCGAAGCTGCGCCGCGTCGGCGGCGGCGCCTGGGTGTTGAGCGACCTGGGGTCCCTCAACGGCGTCACGCTCAACGAGACGCGGCTCAAGGCCGGCGTCGAGCGGCCGCTGAGCGACGGCGACGTCATCCGCTTCGGCGGCGCGGGCCTCCCCGGCGGGCCGGGCGACGCCGGCGAGCTGAGGTTGGGCGAGTGCGCGACCTACGTCTTCCAGATGTCGGCCAAGCGGCCCCGCGGCGACGACGACGGCGCGCGCGCGCCGGAGCCCGCGACGGAGTCGCAGGATTCGCGGAAGCGGCCGCGGCGGCGCCGCGCGGGCAGCGACGAGAACCTCGTCGGCGGCGGTGGCGTGTCGTCGCCACACTCCCCGAAGCGGCTCCCGTCGCCGCGGCGCATCGCGGCGCCGGAAACCGCGAGCAACGACGACGCGCTGAAAGCGGCCGCGGCGTGCTTCGACGCCGTATCTCGAGACCGCGACGCGCTGACCGCGGCCCGCGCCGCGGCGCCCGCCGACGGCGGCGCGGCGTCGGGCGCGGCGGCCCTGCGGAGCGCGGCGCTCGCGCAGCTGCGGTGCGCGCCGTGCGGCGAGCCGCTCGCGTGCGCGTTGGTGCTCCCCTGCGGCCACGCGCTCGACGAGTGCTGCTTCATCCGCCGCTGCTTCGACCGCCAGTGCGACGCGGCCGTCTGCCCCTGCTGCGGGTCCAGGTTCGCGCCGGGAAGACACGCGCTGCGGCGGTCGGGGCAGCTCGACGCGGCCGTCGAGGCGCTCGTGTTGGGCGACGCCGCGCTGCTCGCGGCCCACGAGCGGCGCCTCGACGCGGCGGCAGCGGCGCGCGCCGACGCGGGCAAGCACCTCGCCGCCGTGCCGGACCCGGACCTGCGGGATTTGCTGGCGGACCTGGTCTACGACCAGACGCCTTCTCAGTGCGCGAAGGCGCTGCCGCTCGAGCGGCCGGACAAGCTGCTCATGTTTAAGTGGGACACGCGGGCGGCGGACACCGACGACGACGACGAGGAGGACGAGGATGAGGAGGAGGACGAGGCGGGCGTCGTCGTCTGCAGCGGCTGCGGCGAGCGGGGCCACACGCAGGACGAGTGCCCCCACCGGTCGGACATCTCCGACGACGAGGCTATCTCCGACGACGACGGCGAGGACTTCTCCTAGGCGGTAAAAGTGAGCGTCGGCCCCGTCCGTGTTGGAGTCGATGGATCGCCGAGCGCGCAGCGGCGCGGCGCCACGCCGTGTGGGGCGCAGCTTCAACGTGCAAAACGCTGAAGGCAAACTTATTTTGGATGAAACCAACCACAAAAAATCGAAGGCTGCTGGGCTGGCAGCTCTGCCACCCGAAACACCATGGAGGATGGCGACTGCGACGAGAAGGAGGAGCCGAGCGACGATGACGAGGAGGACGAGGCGCCCGCGGGGGTCTCGGTCTCCGCCGCCGACGTCGACGTCCCCGACGACGACGTCGAGATGATGGGCAGCCCGCCGAGGCAGGACAAGGCGCCGCCGTCGCCGTCGGCCCTCTTCTGCGCCGGCGCCCTCGACGGCCTCCAGTTCCTCGGGTGCTCCGCGGACCACGCCGAGGAGATCGCCGCGCGCGCGCCCATCGTCGGCGGCGCCGCGGAGCCGCCGGCGCCGGCGCCGGAGAAGTCGCGCGCGGCGCCGCGGCTGCGGCGCAAGACCCCGGAGACGGCGGGCGTGCCCAAGATCTACAACGGCGCCGTCTACGCCGGCGCGACCATGGAGCAGATGCCCTACCTGCGCGTGACGCCGCGGCCCGCGGCCGGCTGCTGCGGCGGCGGCGCCCGGAGCTACGACGTCCACGGCGGCGAGGACGCGGACTCGAAGCTGCGCAAGCTCTTCACGGCCGAGGAGGAGTCGAAGCTGTGCACGCGGTGCTTCTGCCGGCCCTTCCACTCGCGGTCCGTGCTCTTGAAGCACGCGGGCTCGCACGAGGTTTTAGTGACAATCGAGCGGCCGGGCGTCGAGTGCTGCTGCGACCGGGGGAGTCTGGGCGCGAAGCCGTGCCTCTGCGGCCCGAACTGGGCCGACGCCTGCTCCGACGGCGTCGTCGTCCACGAGGGCCGGCCGGCGGGCGCGCCGGGCTTTTTGCCGCTCGACCGCGTCGTCGGCGTCGTCCACGAGCCCCAGAGCTGCGGCTGCGTGCCGCGCTTCGAGGCGCTCGACGAAAAATACGACGTCGTGGGCTACGTCGAGGGCCGGCCCTGCTTCGGGGGGCTCTGGGACGCGTGCCTCGACAGCTCGTTCGCGTTCTCCAAGGCCCCGGGCCGCGCGGGCGACAAGGGCCACATCACGCACGTCAAGTCCCTCTGCGGCGACGACGAGCTCATCGAACTGGAGCTGAACATGATGGCGGGCAAGGACAAGCTGCTGTCGCTCGCGTCCGTCATACTGTTGGACGGCGCGTTCTTCGAGCGCGACAACCGGCTCTGCCGCTTCCGGAAGCGGCGGGGCGCGTGCCAGGCGACGTGCTGCCTCTGCTACGCCGGCGGCTGCTACTGCCCGCTCGCCGTCTCCCTCGGGCCGGGGGGCGCGCCGCCCGCGGCGGACGCGCGCGAGCCCGCCGCGGTCGCGCCGCGCGCCATGGACCGGTCATAAGCCCTACTTCGGAATTCCTAGCGCTACTTCTTATCGCGGGAGACGCCCGCGTGGCGCCGCTCGAGCTTCTTCTCGTCGCCGGCGCCCGGCGGCTTGGGCCGGAGGTCCGGCGGCAGCTCCGCGTTCTCGAGGTCCGCCATCTTGAGGCGGTAGCTCGCCTCGATGCGCACGTCGGGGTCGAGCATGGGGTTCTCCTCCGTGTCGTGGATGTCCTGGAGCTTGTCGAGCGCGCGGATCTCGCGCTCGGCCTCGACCTTGGCGAAGCTCCGCATGCCCGCGCTTTTCGCGGGCGGCTTCGGCGTCCGCGGCGGCCCGAGCGCCTCGCCGATGGCCCCGTCGCCGTCGACGAGCTTCTCCAGCGTCGCGAGGAGCGCGCGCCGCGCCTTGACGGCGGCGGCGGGCTCCGTCGCCGCCGACGCGGCCGTGAGGAGCAGCGATCGGAGCTTCGACGCCTGGGCAGGAAAAGGGTGCGAAATTCCCAACTTCAAAGGCTCCTCTCTCGGCCGGTTTCCACTCGTTTCGGCTGATTCTTGGACGAGCGATCATCTCTCGGGACGGTCTCGACGCGTGGATGCTTTTTTTTGGAACGCGCGCGGGCGGAACACTCACGTTGAAGCGACGTTGAATCACCCTTTTCCTGCCCTGTTCGACGCCTCGAGCTCCGTGACGTCCGGCAGCGGGTCGTTGGCCCGCTGGAGGATCCACGCGGACATGGCGTCGACGGGGTCGCCGTGGCAGCTCAGCGCGTCCGTCGCGACGGCGACGAGCACCGGCGGCACGGCCGCGTGCGCCGTCGACGGCCGCGCGCCGCCGCGCGCCGCCGCGAGTTCGATGCCCAAACCGCCGGCGCGCTCCTCGTTCGCGTAGGCGAGGTCCCGCAGGCCCTCGACGGCCAGCCGGTCGCGGCGCCGCTGGCCGCTCATGAAGGCGCCCTGCACCGTCTCCAGCAGCGCGACGCGCGCCGCGTGGCGCGTCAAATTGTCGGCCTTGTCGCCCGTCGCGAGCGAGACGACCTCGAGGAGCCGCGGCCCCAGCGACGGCGCCGACAGCGCGTCGCGCTCCCGCTCCTCGAGGTCCCGCGCGGCCTCCTGCAACGCCTCGAAGACGTCGCCGCCGCTCTCGAGCGCGGCCGTCGCGACGGCCGCGAGCTCCGCGGGCATGTCCTCCTCGTCGGCGACCGCGTCGAAATCCAGGTCGATCTTCGGCGATTTCCCGCTCTTGTGCGGCGGCGACGCCTGCTTCGCCGCCGCGGCCTCGCGGGACACCGCGAGGAGGTCCTGCAGGTTCGCGACGGCCTTGAGCGGCGCGGACTTGGGCCACTCGACCCTGGGCTTCGGCGCGGGCTCCGTCGTCGCGGGCCGCGACGACCCCGGCTCCGAGTCGACGGCGACGGAGCCCGCGCTCGGCGGCGGCAGGGCGCTCTGGACGAGGCTCGGGTCGTAGGACGCGACGAAGGCGAGCGCCTGCTGGATCTCCAGCGGGATCATCGCGGCCGCGCCGGCGCCGTCGCCGGCGGGCATCGCGGCCATCATGGGCGGCATCATCATCGGCGGCGCGCCCGCGGGCAGCTGCCCGCCCATCATGGGCTGCCCGGGCATCATGGGCTGCCCGCCCATCATGGGCGACGCGCCCATCATGGGCTGGGCGCCCATCATGGGCGGCGCGACCGCGGGCGGCTGCCCGGGCAGCGCCATCGGCGGCGGCGCGCCCGCCGCGCCCGGCGGCGCCGGCTGGGCGCCGAGCATGGGCGACGCGCCCGCGGGGCTCCCGGGCGGCCGCGCGGCCTGCATGCCGAACATGACGGGCCCGCGGACCTGGGCCCAGTGCGACATGGGCTGCGGCGCGAGCGCCGGCGGCGGCGCCGCGGCGTCCGGCGCGCTGAGGTGGTGCTGCACGAGGTCCTCGGCCGACGCCGTCGCGTGGCGCTGCTGGTCGAGCAACTGCTGCTGCTGGAGCGCGAGCTGCTGCTGGAAGTGGGCCTGCGCGTGCTCGTAGCGCTCCCGCGCGAGCTCCTCGGCCGTCGGCTCGGGCCGCGGCTTGTGCTCCTTGATGGCCTTCAATTTCTCGAGCATGTCGCCTAAAACCTTCTTCGTCGAGTCGCCGCCGGAGCCCGCGCCGAAGTGGGGCGACGCCTGGATCGCGAGCATGTCGCCCATGAGCTCCTCGATCTGCGCCTCGATGTGGGTCACCGTCTCCTGCTTCTCCACCTCGAGGTCCTCGGGCACGTCGCGGCCCTGGTCGTCGTAGACCTCGTCGATCTCCCGGATCTCGCCCAGGAGCTCGCCCATGAAGGCGTCGAACTGCTCCCGGCTCTTCGCGAGCGGCGTCGCCGCCTCGGCGACGATCGACGACCGCCGGCCGCCCTTCTGCGCCTCCCGGAGCTTCCCCAGGTCGCTCTTCAGCGCGAGGAAGGACGCGTTGCGCTTCTCCTTCTTCGGCGGCGGCAGGTCCTCCGGCGGCGCCGCCAACGCCAGCCGCAGGTCGTCGATCTGCTCGCCGAGCTCGACCATGTGCTGCTCGCCGATCGCGCGCCGCTCCGCGTCGCCCATGGACGCGACGGCCGCCGTCAGCGACTGGAGCTCGTCGTGCATGGCCCGCGTCGCCGGCGCGGTCTTGCCCGCGTGCGCGCGCTCCAGCGACAGCTCCTTGACGTAGGCCGCGAGGTCGTCCTTGATCGTCTCCAGCGCCGCGTCGCCGCTCATGCCCCCGTTGGACCGCACCTCCTCGAGGTCGCTCAGCACGCTCCGGAACTTGCGCTGGCGCGCCTTGCCCAGCGTCTCGGCGGCGATCGACGCGCGCATGCGCGTCTTCAACACCGACGCGCGGCTCGACACGTCCGCGTAGCGCGCGCGGATCTCCTCCGCCTTCTGGATGGAGCTCACGTCGCGCTGCTCCGCGATGCGGTCGTACTGCTGGCGCAGCGCCTTGGCCTCCGCGTTCGCGGTGACGTAGGACCGCCGCGCGGCTTGCGCGGGCGACTCGGGCTTCGGCGGCGCCGCGGCCCACGGGGGCGTGAAGCCCATGACGGGCGCGAAGCCCGGGTGCGCGCCGGACTCGCGGAGCGACTGGGGCTGCCCGGCGAAGGGCCAGGGCTGCTGGGGCGCCGCCGCCGCGGGCGGCGGCTGGCCCTGGGCCTTGGCGATGGCCGCCTTGAGCTCCTCGGCTTTCGCGGTCGCCGCCACGTACTTGTCGCGGTAGTCCGCGGCGGCCGCGGCGAGCGCGGGGTCGCCGGAGTCGGCGACGGACTCGTACTGCTTCCGCAGGACCTCGGCGGCGCCGGCGGTCTCGACGTACTGCGCCTGCATCTGGAGCACCGCGCCCGTCTGGAGGTTCGACGACGGCGGCCGCGGCTTCTCGGCCTCCGCGGCGGCCGCGGCCGCGGCGGGCTTCTCCTCCTTCTTCGGCGTCGTGGCGCCGAGCGACCCGCCGAAGGACCCGGCCATGAGCGACACGGGCGCCTTGGGCTTGGAGAGCACGGTGCCCCGGGCCTTCGCGGCCTTTTGCGCGTCCGCGCCCCGGGGCTTGCCGCGCGACTCGGGCTTCGCCGCGGGCGCCACGGAGAAGCCGTTCTCGGAGCGGATGAGGTTGCCCTGGAAGTCGCTCAGCTTCTCGAGGTTGCCCTCGGGCACGAGCACGTACTCCGACCTGTGTGGAATTCAACCACTGGTTTGGGTGGTTCTGACCAAACTTCAGCATTCTCTAGCTCGGTCACATCGAAGTCGATTCGGCTGATTTTTGGACGAATCGATTGCTCTCGTCGAGTTCTCGAAGCACAGCCGAAGGGATTGCGTCGAAACTGTCGCATACGCTCAAATTGAAGTCGGGTTAAAGATTTGAATTCCACGCAGACTCCGACGTGTCGCTCCAGAGCAGCTCCTCGCGGTCCAATTTCCGGCTGACCATGATCGTGTGCTGGTTCTGGAGGCAGCCGTGGACCCAGCTCAGGTCGGTCTGGATCTGGCGCATGCACACGAGCTTCGACGCCGTCTGCGTGTCCGCGTCGAGGCCCACGGTGGACGCGCCGACGGACCGCGGGCCGCTGCTCGGCCGCGACGAGTTGGGCGTCCGCGCGCGGTTCGCGTCCCGTAAGTTGGTCTGGAGCTCGTTGTAGGCCGACGTCATGCGGTCTAACACGCCCGAGAGCTTCTGGGCCCGCGAGTGCGTCGCGAGGTAGCGCCCGCGGATGGCCTCGAAGAGCGACGACACGCGGGCGAACGTCTCCTGGAGCTTCGTGAGCGCCTGCTGCTGGGGGCTCAGCCAGAGCTCGCCGAGCTTCGCGTGGGACCGGTGCCGCAGCCACTCGTCGTTGACGACGCGCTCGATCTTCTTCTCCATGGAGAAGCGGCGCACGCGGACCGTGCCCCGTCTTTGAGTTCCGCGGACGCCCGCGGCCGGCAGGGGCTCCTCCTTCGTCGACGACGAGTCCTTGGACGCGTCGTCGGCGTCGTCGCCGGGCCGGGGCACGGACTTGGTCCGCTCTTTCGAGTCGTCGCTGTCGCTGGAGTCGGAGGTCTCCCGGTCGCGGCGCTCTTTTCGCGCGGCCGCGAGGCGGCTCTTGGGCGGCTCTTCCTTCGGCGGCGGCTTCTCCTCCTCCGGCGGCGGCTCCTCGGCAGGCGTCTTGGGCTTCTCCGGCGGCTTCTCGGCCTCGGTTTTCGGTTCGTCGTCGTCCTCCTCCGCGTCTTCCCGGATGACGTTGCTCTTCTGCTTCTTCAGCATGTCGCGCCGGTTGTCCGCCTGCGGCGGCGCGCCGGGCGCGCCGCCCTCCGTGGACTTGCGGCGGTTGCCGATGTTCGTGCCCGCGGAGCCGCGGCGCAGCTGCGACGTCTGCCGGCCGAGCGCGAACTTGGACATGCCGCGCTTCACGCCGCGCTTCTTCGCCGGCGGCGCGGACGGCGCCACGGTCGCCGTCTCCGTCGTCGGCGGCGGCGCCTCCTCGGCCTCGCGCGGCGGCGGGCGCGCCGCCTCCTTCTCCGCGGCCGCGCGCGCGGCCGCGGCCGCGCGCGCGACGTCGTCGGCCGCCGACGGCGCGTCGACGAAGCCTCCCGGGTCCGCGACGGCGATGGCGCGCGTGACGGCCTCGGCGGCGTCGACGGCCGCGTCGGCGACGTCCGCGACGGAGACGAGCGTCGCCATCTCCCATCTTCTAAGCTCCCGGCCCTCGCAGTCCTCGAAGGCCATCTGCGCGACCTCGGACGCGAGGCCCGCGGACGTCTGGTGGACCTCCATCGTGTCGTGCTTCGTCTCCAGCGTGCGCCGCATCTTCCCCAGCTCCGCGTCGCAGGACTGCTTCAGGCGCCGCGCGTTCATGACGAGCTTCCGCCGGTGGTTGTCCCGCTCCTCGAGCACGGCGAGGTGCTGCTGGTCCATGCGCTCCGCGGCCAAGACCAAGTTCTCGCACCGCGCGGACGCGGTCGCGTAGCGCGCGGAGTGCTCCGCGATCTGGCGGCTCATGAAGTCCCGCACCTCCGCGGCGACCTGCTGCTCCCGCGCCGCCAAACCCAGGGCCCGCCCGAGCTGCGCGAGCGCCGCGGCCGCGGCCGTGCCCCGCGCGTGCGTGAACTGTTTCGCGTCGCGCGCCGCGACGCAGTGGAGCCGGTCCGCCTTCCGCGCGCCCAGGGCCTCGAGGCGGTAGCCCGCGGACGGCAGCAGCTCGCGCGCGTTGCCCTCGCGGAGCCGCAGCGAGTTGTGGAGGAGGAGCGGCGGCGCCTGCGGGCCCTCGGCGGACTGCAGGATCTCGCAGCCCGCGCGCGCGTGCGCCACGGACGCGCGGTCGAGAAAGTCGCCGTAGCCGCCGAGGAACGCGGCACCCAACACGTCCAAATCGATGGGCGGCCGGATGACGTCCTTGTCCACGGCCTTGTCGCAGCCGTCGACGACCAGCACGTCGCCGGGCCAGTGGGGCATGATCTTCGCCCTGGACACGTAGCCGCCGCCGTCGTCGTCGTCGCCCTTGACCCGCTGCTTCAGCGAAAACTTGACGAAGCCCGCCTCCTCGCCGTGGGCCAGGGCCGTGCGCCGCCGCCAGTCCTCGACGTCCTGCTGGCCGTGGCGCCGGTGCGCGTCGAGCATGTCCGAGACGCCGCCCGTGACGTCGTCCAACAACCGTTCCAATTCCCGGACGCGCCGCCGCTCGAGCTCCAGGTCGACCTCGCGCGTGCGCTTCAGCTCCGCCTTGAAGCCGTCGCGGCTCGCCGTGACCTCCTGCATGCGCGCGGTCGCCTGCTTCCGCGCCTCGCCCGCGACCAACAGCTCGACGCGGTGCTCCTCGACGATCTTCGCGCACCGCAGCTCCGCGTCCTTGATCATGCCGACGTCGTCGTCGACCTGCTTCTGTAACGCGAAGACCTCCTGGCGGCTCTGGGACGCCATCTCGCGGGCCTGCTCCAGCTCGATGCCTAAGTGCGTCGTCGTCTTCTGCTGCACGGCCATGCGCTCCCGCAACACCTCGGCCTCCATGACGGCCGCGTGCGCGTCCTCGGACGTCTTCACGGCGCGCTCCGCGTCCCGCAGCTTGAACTCGCACATCTCGAGCTCCTCCTGGACCTCCCGGAAGTCGCGCTCCGTGTCGATGTTGTGCACTCGCAGCGCCTTGAAGCTCGCCGCGGCCGCGGGCACGGCCGTGATCTGCCGTTCGAGGACGTCCGCGCGCGCCTTCGCCGCGAGGCACGCGGCGTCCTTCGCGATAAACATCTGCTCCCAGACCTCGGCGACGCACGTCGCCGCGGCCTTTTCGGCGGCGGCCTGCGCGGACGCCATCGTGTCCTCGGGCTCGCGCGCGACCTCCTCGAAGTTTTCGAAGCCGTGCATGAAGGCCTCGGCCGCGGACCCGGGCAGGAGGTCGTCGTAGCCCCGCGCGAGCTCGCGGTCGCGCTCCTCCTCCTCGCGCTCGAGGCGCTCCTGCTCCTTCTGGCGGAGGAGCGCGAGCTCCTCCTCCAGTTCCCAGAGCTTCGCCGCCAACACGTGCGTGACGGGCTTCGCGGCCGACGACGCCTCGTCGTCGTCGTCGAAGGTCCCGGCCCGTTGGGGTTTCGGCGGCGACTCGGGTCCGCACAGGCGGTCGATGAGATGCTCCACGGTGCCCGTCTCGTCGAGCAGCCGCGCGTGGCACATGGCCTTGAGCTTGTCCTTGCCCCGGTGCTCGTTCGCGACGACGTGGAGCTCCTCGCGCGTCGGCGGCGGCGGCGCCGTGAGCGTCGACGCCGCGCCGAGGCGCTCGATGGCCTCCGTGCGCGCCTCGGAGGGCTCCCGCGCGCCGTCGAGCTTCAGGCCGTCGGACGACAGCGGCCGCTCGTAGGACGCCGTCACGGGCCGGCCCTCGGACGTGTGCGTCTTGCGCTCCGGCTGGTCCTGGAGGCCCGCGTCGGCGAGGGCCGTCAGAGCATCCAGGTCCCGGCGCATCTGCTCGAGCTCGCTCTCGGACTGGTAGTGCGCGACCTGCTCCGCGTGGAGCGCCGTCTCCGCGACCTCGCGCGCGTCGCGCGCGTCCTGGGCTCGCGCGTTCGCGTCGCCGAGCATGGCCCGCGCCGCGTCGCGCTGCGACTCGACGTTGACGACCGTGGCCGTCAAAGCCAGGATGTCGTTGCCCTGGGTCTCCAACACCATCTTGTGCTCGCGGTTCTCGCGCTTCACGTGCGCGAGCTCGGCCATCAACTTCTTGCCCTCGGCCCGCGCGGCCCTGAGGAGCGCGTCGGAGTCCTCCAGGGCCTTCTCCGCCCTATCCTGGAGCGTCTCGGCGGCGAGGAGCTTCGTGTCGTGGGCGACGGCGTCCTCGAGCTTGGCGCGCCTCATCGCGGCCACCAAAGCGTCGGACTGTTTCTTGTCGGACGCGAAGGCCGCGGCGGCGGCGTCGTGGGCCGCGTTGAGGTGCTCCGCCTTCCGCCGCGCGCGCTGCTCCTCGAAGTACTTCTCCTTGACGCGCTGGACGCGCTCGAGGCCCGCCTCGCGCACCTGCGTGACGACCGTCGCGTAGCGCGCGTCCTCGACGGACTCGCCGAGGTGGAGGTAGAGCAGCCAGAGCGCCGTCGCGAGCTGGCGGCGGTGCTCCGGCGCCGCGCGGCGGCAGGCGCGGCGCACGAACTGGTGCGCGCCGACCGTGTGGCAGTAGAGGCCGTTGTACGTGTCGTCGACGAGCCGGTGGCTCAGGCCTAAACGCAGCAGCGTGCTCCGGTCGAGCCCGAGCTTCCGCAGCTCGCCCACGGGGCAGAGCTTCTTCGCGCGCGCCGCGCGCAGCTTCGTGCTCTCCTGCTGGCTCAGCGTGTAGGCCGCGCGGAGCAGCGCGTGCGGCTCCGTCGACTCCGGGCGCTGCGCGGGCGCCTCGGGCTCCGGGTCCTCCGAAACCTCCGGCGCGCCCGGCCGCGCGCCTAGACCGCGGAGCCAGGCCAGGGCCGTGCCCGGCCGGTCGTCGTCGGTCTGGTCGAAGTTGGGCTTCGCGTAGGTCGAGTCGTCGAGGCTCGGCGCCGCGTCCGTCAAAACCGTCGCGCCGCCGCCGTCCTCTTCTTCGAGCCGCGCCCACGCGGGCTCGTCCGGCGCGCCCTGCTCCAGCTCCGCCGTCAGGTCGTCGTCAAAAAGCGCCGGCGGCGCGTCGTCGTCGTCGTGGAGCGTCGGGGGGAGACCGAGAGCTTCCCGCATTTCGATGACGTTCTTCGGCAGCACGTTCAGGCGTTTGCCCGCGCGCGCGACGACGGTCGCGAGCCAGGCCTCGACGTGCGTCGCCGGGAGCCGCGCCTCGGCGAAGAGCGTGTCCTTCTCCAGAGATCCGGCGAACGCGCGGAAGGGCGGCGCGTCGCCCGCGGAGCCCAGCGTGCCCGAGCGGTCCGGCAGAGCCTCGTCGCCCTCGAATTCGACCCTCCGGGACTCCCACCAGCGGTCCAGCGTGCCCACGTCGGGCACGAAGTGGGGGTCCCGCGCCTGGGCGTTGTCCTGGGTCATCTCCTGCTGGATCAACGCCGAGATCTCGCCGAGCGACGGCGGCGGGCCCTCGAGGGACGCCTCGGCCGACGCGCCGCGGCTCGCGGCGGCCGGCGACCGCACCACGCGCGCGCCGCCGCCGGGCCTCGCCTCGCGCGGCGCCGCGCTCGACGCGGGCCGCAGCGGGCCCGGGAACTCGTCGTCGGGCGGCCGCTTCGCGCGCTCCTTGGGTTTCGCGGCCGGGAACTCGTCGTCGGGCGGCCGCCGCGCGCGCTCCTTCGCCTTGGCCGCCGCGTCCGCGAGCTTCTGCGCGAGGCCCAGCAGCTCCTGGTCCGTGCGCCCGAAGGTGCGCCCGAGCATGACGCACTTGAAGGCGCTCGGGTCCTCGCCGGACTCCTCGCGCTCGCGCCGCAGCAGCTCCGCGCGCTCCCGCGTCTCCATCTCGAACTCGCTCCGCGCGCTGTTGCGCGGGTGCGCGGACCGCGACGCGGCGCGCGGCTCGTCGGCCTTGGCGCTCGCCGCGGGCGCGGGCGCGCCCACGCCCAGCGGGGGCAGGTCCACCAGAGGGGGCATTGGCTAGGCGGGCTCCATCGTTATCGAGAGAGGTTTCATCAGGGATTTCAGCCGATGTTGCACAACTTGCAGCCCCCGATGGAGCCAGCAAATATCGTGAACGCATAAGCTGAAGTGAGTGGATTACGTGCGATGGTGCTCCCCGAGGGGATCGTGCGTGTCGTGGACGCCGTCGGCTCATGGGATCGACGCGTATGTGAGGAGGCATGCGCAGCACTCCCTACACTTTTGGAGGGCTGGATCCAAGGAGGCGGTGATGTGAATGAGCGAACCGCGGATGGAGAACCGCTGCTCGTGTACTTGCTGGATGCGGCTCGTTCAGCGAAGGCACCAGTAGAAGCCATTAAAGTTGTGCTGGCGGCCGGCGCCGACCCTGACGCGCACTTGAACGACATGGAATCGTCCGAGACACCGTTCACAGCGGCACTATGGTTTGCTGGCTTGGGGATGGATCATGGTTGGCGCGACGTCGTCTGTGAGCTCATCGCACACGGAGCGCAGCTGGATTTACGGGACTGCGACGGCGATACTCCGTTAAAGATTGTTCTTCAAATTAGCTTTGATTACTCAAAGATAAAGTTCGATTTGTTACATCTTTTGCTCAGACACGGCGCGGACTTGTCAAAGTCAGAGACGTTGATGGATCTGTTCGACGACACAGTAGTCGACTCCCGACTACGTCATTCGGGGGTCGATTCGGGGGTCGATTACGAAAGCGTCGTCGAAGCCCATTACAGGGCGCGCGCGCTCCTCACAGCCGTCATCTCCGCGGGAAGCTGGAGAAAATACCTCCACGAGCCCCGCGTTCGGGTCGACACGCTCCGCGTGCTCTGTGCGCGCGGCCGCGCGGCGCCGCCGCCAGGGCCGCTCGCGCGGCTCTTTCCATGCGATGCGCCGTGCGCGGGCAGCGTCCGCGCGCGACGCGTCGTGCCCCTCGACGTCTTCCGGAAGATCCTTGGCTTCTGGCGCAGCGATCGCGACGAGTTACCGCCGCTGGATGATCCGTTTCCCGCCGAGGCTTCCGCGGCCGTCGGCAGTCCGTCGGACTCGTCGCCGGAGCTGGAGTCCCCCTTCTCTGAGTCCGGAGAAGCTTAAGCTCCCACCGCCCGCGCCCGCTTCTTCTTGCGCTGCCGCGGGTTGGGCCGCTTGCCCTCGCGGAGCTGGCCGCCGCCCGCGAGGGCCGCGCGGGACCGGTGCGCCGCGGCCGCCGCGCCCGGCGCGTAGGCCGGGAGCTTCGCGACGGCCTCGAAGAGCGCGGCCGTGGCCGCGGCGCCGCGGCCCGAGTCGACGACCCAGGCGCTCGCGAAGGGCGCGGCGGCCTTGCCCGTGCCGTGCGGGTGCGCGTACTCGTAGGGGGGCCGGCCGCGCGCGGGGCTCACGAAGAACGGCGCCGCGCCCGTTTCGGCGCACGCGTCCGCGAAGTACTTTTTTTCGGCGACGTACGCGGGCAGCAGCAGCGCGAAGGGCCGGCCGCAGGCCAGGGCGAAGGCCAGGCACCGCTCCTTGTGGTCGCCGCTGTAGGGCGGGTTCGTCACGAGCGCGTCGAACGTCGACCGGTCGCCGGGTTCTCGGTACGCGCGCGACGCGTAAAAGTCCGTCGCGGGGTTCGTCGCGTTGCGGAAGCCCAGGGCTCGCAACCGCGTCTCCGCGGCGCCGTCGCAGTAGTAGGGGTCGAGGATCGCGGCGCCGGCGCCGTCGCCGCAGAGCGCGCGCAACGCTGGAGCGACGTCGCGGAAGGCCTGCTCGCTCGTCTCGAAGTGGTCGCCGTAGTCCGTGTCCCAGGCGTACTTGGCCGCCAACGCCGTCGCCGCCTGGCCGCCCGCCGCCGGGTGCGGCGCGTGTGGTGGACTCAGCTTGCGCTGCTTCTTCTTGCGCTTCGCCGACGGCGCTGCCGCGCCGCAGGCCTCGACGAGCGCTGAGAGCTCTGCGTCCGCGGCGCGCTTCTTCTTCTTCTTGCCGCCGCGGACCAGCGGCTTCGTCGCCTTCGACGGCTCCATCCGCTCCTCCTCCTCTTGGCTTCAAGATTGGTTCAACAGCCTCATGTTGCCGAAAATTACGCGTCGCCCTCGACGGCGAGGCCCGGCCCGAGGCTCGTCGTCACGCCCCGCTTCCGCAGCTCCTGGAGCTCCTTGTGCCGGCGCTTCGTCGTCCACAACTTCTGCTTGTTCTTCGTCGGGGTGTAGCGCCAGCCGCCGTCGCAGCCCGAGCACTGCTCGTGGCAGGTCGGCGAGCCGGCGACGTCGACGCCGCGGGCGCCCAGCCCGTCGAGGATGGCCTTGCCGAGCGCGTTGTCGCCCGAGAGGAGCTCGTCCGCGACCTGCGCGTGCAGACACTTGACGTCCTCGAGCTTGCCCTGCGAGATGCCCGCGATGCCCGAGCCCATGGCGTGGGAAAACGCGTCCTCTCCCAGGCGCTCGACGGCGCGCCGCTCCGCGTCCGTGCCCTCGACGAGGCTGCGGCGCGTCGCCGCGTGGCGCGCGTTGACGCGGTCCAGGGAGTCGCGGTGTTTCGAGGCGTCGGCGCCGTCGACGAGCAGCGCCTTCGACACGGTCCGCACGGCGTCGTCGCGCTCCCACGCGTCGATGGCCTCGCAGAGGTGGGGGCACGTGAGGCGCACGAGGCCCGCGCCGAATTTGTGGACGGAGGGATCCTGGAGCGTGGCCTGCGGAAATCCGCGGCGGCAGAGGCTCGCCGCGGGCACGCCGATGGTCTGCGTGCGATGACCCAGCTGGTGCGCCTCGATGGCCTCGACGTCCGGGGCCGCCGGCGGCCGCGTCGCCCAGCGGGATGCGATCTCCGGGGCGAGGCGCCGCGTCGGGAGCGGCGGTGCCGGCGGCGGCGGCGGCGCGGCGACGTGCGCCGCTGGGACAGCCGCTTGTCGCACCATGCAGGTCGACAACATGCGCCGCCCCGTAATTGCGAGCATGGCTAGGAGGAACCGGGCGCTCATCAAGCTACTGGGACGCGAGCGCTCATCAAGTAGCACCCAAGACTAGGGCAACCATCGACGAGCGCTGCACCGACTCTTCAACGTCCTTCACCAATCCTGGGAGCAGTTGTAGCGAAACTTTGGGCTCTGGGCAGCCTTCCGCCATCAAGAGATGGCGACTGCAATGAAGATCGTGGCCGTAGCCTGGCTCGTGGCCTTGGCCAGCGCCCAGACCGGCGGCGGCGCGCCGCCCGACGACAGCGGCGGCGCGCCGCCCGACGACAGCGGCGGCGGCTCGGCCCCCGACGACAGCGGCGCGGCGTCGACGTCCTGCGCCACGGACGGCTCGTCGGCGACCTACACGGAGTCCATCGCCACGGACGGCCGGAACATCGCCGTGCGCACGATCACGACGTCGACCTGCCCGAACCACGAGAGCTACTGCACGGGCAAGTCCGCCGTGTCCGGCTGCGGCGCCGTCGGCGAATCCGGCGACTACACGGAAGCGACGGACCAGGGCGTGAGCAAGGCCGTGCCCGCGGAGCCCATCCTCAAGACGACATACACGCCCGAGGACGTCAAGTGCGAGATGGGCCCCATCGCCTACGCGCTCAACGGCGTCTCCATCTTCTCCGGGTCCGTGAGCAGCGACTGCGAGACGCTGGACGTCGAGGACTCCATGGCCGAGTGGAGCGGCTTCGACTGCTGCAGCGGCCATTCGGAGACGTCGGGCATGTACCACTACCACTTCCCGCCGTCGTGCCTCATGGCGCAGCTCGACGACTACAGCGACGGCCATAGCCCCCAGATCGGCTGGTCCTTCGACGGCTTCCCCATCTACGGGCCCCTGGGCCCCGGCGGCGTCGAGATCGCCAATTGCGGCGTAGCCGGCGCGGACGCGACGTACTGCCAGGACGAGTGCGGCGGCTACGAGGGCGCGCTCGCGGGCGTCGACGACTTCACGTACCGCTACTACTTCACGGGAAAGACGTCGGACCTGGACAGCCTGCCGTCGGACCCGAAGCCGGACGACGCGGACTACTACTATCCGTTCACGATCAACTGCTACCGGGGCTGCACCTACGACGAGATATCCTCGGGCTCCTGCGACGGCGCGTCCGGCGTCGTGAACGGCTACGTCGCCGAGCCGAACGCGGGCGTCACGGAGATCCTGGGCGTCCAGTGCCTCGACGGCCTCGGCTACGACGACTACGTGTCGACGGCGTCGACGGACGACGTCCCCGCCGCGGGCGCCACGGACGACGGCGGCGGCGGCCAGTGGGGCGCCGCGGACGACGGCGCCGCCGCGGGCGCCGCGGACGACGGCGCCGCCAGCGGCGGCCAGTGGGGCGCCGCGGACGACGGCGCCGCCGCGGACGACGGCAGCGTCACGGCGTCGAGCCAGATGACGAACACGTACGCGCTCGACAGCTCCGAATGTTACGCGCCGACGGAGGAGGGCGGTTGGGGCTACTGCGGCGCGCCGACGTGCCGCAACCAGTACATCACGTGCTCCGACGAGGGCGGCGGCCCGCCGGTGGTCAACGGCGTCTACGGCGAGTACCGGTCCGACTACGCGGCCGACGGCTCGGACTGCACGTCCTTCCTCGACATGAGCGACTACGAGGAGATCACGGACTGGGGCTTCAACGGCCGCTGCGACGACACGTGCACGCAGCGCACGGACGGCGTCTGCGACGGCGCGTTCCTCGAGCAGGTCATCCAGGGCCCGTCGATCAAGTGGGCCTTTTGCAACGACAAGTGGCTCATCCTCATGACCTCCGGCGAGGGCGGCGTCTTCGAGCCGCACCTCAACAACGTGCCGAGCCCACCGCTCGGCGTGTCCGGCGGCGTGACCTACTGCACGGGCGACCCGACGCGCACCGTCGACCGCTACTACAGCCTCCAGTACCCGCTCGACGTCGTCGACTTCGACGAGGGCGTCTGGACGAACAACGTCGACCTCTTCGACGGCACGGCGGGCAACGAGGGCATCCCCTACCTCTACGACGACGGCCTCGGCATCGGCACCTACGGCCTGCCCGACGGCGCGGGCGTCGGCATCACGGTCAACGGCATGCAGAACTGGGTCACGCAGAACAACCGCGGCGAGTGGAACCAGCCGACCTGCGAGACGTCGCCCTGCAACCTCCACGTCGGCCAGGGCGCGGGCCAGCCCCACGTCCACGGCGACCTCTTCAGCGACAGCCACCAGTGCCTCTACGGCACGTCGAACTACACGTCCACGGCGTCGCACCCGCCCATCGTCGGCTTCGGCGCTGACGGCCACCTCATCTACGGCCGCTACCTCGGCGACGACGCGCCGGGCTTCGCGTCGCCGCTCTTGGACGAGTGCAGCGGCCACACGCACGACGACTCGACGACCGACGAGTACGGCGTCGACCTCGGGGCGACGTACCACTACCACACGCAGATCTTCGACTACACCTGCGGCATGGGCAACGACCGCTGCGACGACGGCGACGAGGTCGTCATCTCGACGACGGGCCCGCTCTTCTGCTTCCGCGCGGACCTGAGCCAGCAGGAGGGGTCGAGCGCGCTGCTCTCGTTCACGACGTCCGACGCGTACGCGGAGGACCTCGACATGATGTACGCCTGCTGCGACATGACGGACTACTACGCCATCACGGGCCTGGACCAGAAGGACGCCTCCGACTTCTTCTCCGACGACTCGACGTGCGTCGTCGCGGCGCATCCGGACAACGGCGCGTACGCGTCCGACTTCTGCGAGCCCGGCGACACGCTCTACAGCGGCAACGGCTGCCACGTGGACTGCGACGACGGCTACGCGGCGTCGGGCATCACGCGCTGCGTCGAGGGCGCCTTCGTCGAGTACGCGACGTGCGAGGCCGACGGCACCGCGGACGCGGCCGGCGGAGCAGGAAAAGAGTGATTCAAGCTCTCTTCAATATGAGCGTTCCGCGCGCGCGCGTTCCAAAAAAAAGCATCCACGCGTCGAGAGCGCTCCGAGAGATGATCGCTCGTCCAAAAATCAGCCGAAACGAGCGGAAAACGACCGAGATAGGAGCCTTTGAAGTTGGGAATTTCGCACCCTTTTGCTGCCCAGGCGGCGGGCGTCGCGACGACGACGCCCAAGCCGACGCCGCGGCCGACGGCGGCGCCGACGCCCTGCGGCGACGGCGCCTGGGTCTCGTCCAAGGGCGGCTGCGACTGGGTCGCGGGCAACGCCGACAAGCGCTGCGGCAAGTACGACGACGACGGGAAACTCGCGTCCGACGTCTGCTTGACGACCTGCGGCGGCTGCGTGGTGCCGCCGTCCGCGGCCCCCACGGCGGCCTGCGTCGACTCCGTGTCCTTCCGCATCTCCGGCAAGGCCTGGAAGGACTGCGGCTGGGTCTCGGACTACCCGTCGCGCTGCGCGGAGGTTTCGGACGAGGGCGAGCCCGCGGAGACGGCCTGCGCGGTGTCCTGCGGCACGTGCGGCGGCGCGCCGCCGACGCCCGGCCCGACCGTGTCGCCGACGCCGCGGCCCGTGGCGACGCTGTCGAAGAAGAAGAAGAAGAGCGGCTCCGCGAATTCCGCGTCGACGGATTTGGTCGCGGTGCTCGCGATCTTCGCGGTCGCGCTCGTCGTCGCGGCGGCCGTCGCCCTCGTGCGCCTGGAGCACGCGACGGGCTACTTCTCCAACACGGGCGGCAAGGTCGAGACGGACAACCCGAAGCCGCCCGACCCGTCGCTCAACGACTTCGACGCGATCGAGCTCGAGGAGCCGCGGCAGGAGGAGAGCGAGGACACGCGGCTCCACGCGTCCCACTTCTTCCACGCGGCGCCGTCGGTCGTCAAGGCCGACGCGCGCAAGGTCGCCGGGGACTGGGCGCTCAAGGTCATCAACTCCGAGATCGACGACGACAAGTACGGCCAGGGCCACCACGAGCAGATGATCAGCCTGAAGCGCCTCATCCGCAAGGGCGACGCCGACGCCCTCGACGAGTGCGTCGAGATCAAGGAGAAGTACGGGGGCCTCGACGTCGACGCGCCGGAGATCCGCGCCAAGGCCGCCAACGCGATGCTCCGCTACCACGCCGTCGTCGCCAAGGGCCAGGCCCACCCCTGGAACGAGGCCGTCACGCAGGCGGGCACCACGGCCATCTGAGCCCGTGTCGCCCGGCCTTCACCCCGAACTTAACGCCCGAGGAACGCGCGGAGCTTCGTCCGGGGACCGAGCGGGAGGCCCAGGTCCCGGAGGTCCTCCGCGGAGAGGAGCGCGAGCGTGTCGAGGTCGAGGATCTCCTCGCGCTCGAAGAGCTCGACGTACTTGGCGCCCGCGACGGCCGCGACGACGGACGCCACCGTGTCCTCGGCCGCCGGCGCGGGCGCCGCGGCGCCCCACGACGCCGCGAGCGCCTCGAGCTCCGAAAAGTCGCGGACGACGGCGTCCGCGAAGTCCGCGACGACGGCGTCCCGGCAGTAGGTCTTCGAGCCCATGGCCGTGAACGTCGACGTCGACCCCTCCGTCGGCGGCCGCCGCTCCTCGCCGACGTCGACGACGTCGTCGCCGTCGTCGCCGTCGAGGAAGAAGACGCTCCGCATGCCCGCGGCGCGCGCGGCGAGCACGTCCTCGCGAAACGCGTCGCCGACGCGGCACCACGCGCCGCCGCCGTCGGGCGGCGCCGCGCCGACGTCGACGGCGAGGCCTCTGGCCTCGAGCGCCGCGCGGCACGGCTCCCAGCCCTCGCGCGCGGCGACGGCGGCGGACGCGGACACGGCCGTCACGCCCCAGAGTTTCGCGTCGTCGTCGTTCGCGTCGGCGCCGGCGGCGCCGGCGGACCAGGGCTCCGGCGACGACGACCCGGCGTACATGGCCTCCCATTCCGGCTGCGCCGGCTCCTCCCGAAACTCCGCCGAGCTGCGCCGCCGCGCGGACCGCCGCCGCGCGGCCGGCCGGCCGGGCGCGAGCGCGCGCGACACGCAGACGGCGGCGGCGAGCGCGAGCGCGCGCATCGCTTTGTGGCGGCTGGCACTGCTGGCGTCGAGCCGCTCACGCCTGCCTCTTCACCGAGTTGGAGCTGCCAGATGGTGCACCGTAATTGATGCGACACGATGCGGCGCTAACAATGGTCGAGCAGCCCCAGGCTCGACGCCGCGAGAGAGGCGCATAGACCCGTTTCGAACATGCTCGCCGCCCTCGCGTCGTCGACGGTGCTCACGGCGCCATCGCCGAGCCGGCCCATGACGCCGGCGAGCCGGCCGAGGACGCCCGGGTCGCGCCCCCTGAGCCCCATGCTCGAGCTCGTGGCGACGTCGTCCCTCGCCACGGCGAAGCTCAAGAGCCAGCTGAAGCCCAACATCTACCGCCAGCACACCGTGGACCGCCTCGAGAGCAAGCTCGACGCCATGCTCGCGCGCGACCCGAAGCTCGGGCGCCGACCGCGGCCGAAATCGGGCGACGGGACGAAGCGGAAGAAGGTCGAGCCCTTCTCGCGGCCCGAGGCCTTCGACGCCGTGACGGCGCTCTTCGACGGGCGCCTGCACCTCATCACGGACGCCTTCGCGCCGCGCCTGCCGGACCTCGCGGCGTTCGTCAAGAGGCAGTTCAAGGCGACGTATCGAAGCGACCACGTCGTCGACGGCAAGCTGCGGCGCTTCGCGGCGGCGCTCGACGCCGTGCCGCCGCCCGCGCCGCCGCCGCCCGTCGACGCGAAGCGGCCGCCGTCGCCGGGCCAGCCCCTCGTCAAAGAGGAAAAGAAGGCGGACGTCGTCGCGGAGCGGCTGTTGCTGTTTTCGCGCGTTCTGAAGTCGCGGAACTCGCTGAGCTGCTTCGACGCGCTGACGGTCGTGCTCACGGAGCTCGGCGGCGGCGTCGAGCCGCTGCTGCAACTCTCGCCGGCCGTCGGGCGCGTGCTCATCCCCGTCGGCGGCGGCACGGTCGTCTGCTGGCTTCCGCGGGAAGCGAACGCGGACGCGGACGCGCCTCCCCGCGTCGCGGCGCTCGGCGCGCAGTGCGGCGCGCTCCTCGACGCCTGCCGCGCCCTCGTCGTCCACGGGCTGTGCGCCCCCGGGGCGTTGCTCGCGCTCCTGACGGAGGTGCGGGTCGTCGACGGGCCCGACGCGCTGGACGCGGCGCTCTTCGCGCCGGAGCCGGAGCCGGAGCCGGAGCCCGAGGCCGCGGAGCTTCCGGACGAGGCGTCGACGGCGACGACGCCGGCGACGTCCGTGGAGCTCCAGAGCTCCCAGTCGAGCTACGCGGGCGACGACGGCGGCTCCGTCGGCGGCTCCGTCGCGTCCGGCGGCTCCGCCTCGGGCGGCTCCGCCGCGGGCGGCTCGCGCGCGCCGTCCGAGGGGTCCGCGTCGCCGGCGAAGCCCGCGGCGCCGCCGGAGGACCGCGCGGCGCCGCCGCCGGAGGACCCGCGGGGCCGCGCGCCGAGCCGCGGGCGGACGCCGTCGCCGAGCCGCGCGGCGCGGACGCCGTCGCCGGGCTTCCGGGACCCGCGGACGCCGTCGCGCGGGTCCGCGCCGCGCACGGAGAGCCGGGCGTCCGCGGGGAGCGGCTGGACGGGCGTCCGCGAGCCCGACGAGCACCTGCCGCCCCACCTGCTCCGCCTCGGCGCGCGGCGAGGAGGATTGTGCGTCGAGCTCCACTGGGTGCTCCACGCGCTCTGCGCGCTCTACGAGGAGGTCGCGGACCTGTCGTCCCCGTCCTGCGGCGACGCGCTCTTCCCGCGGGCGCCGCCGCCGCCCGCGGCCGCCGCCCGCGCCCGCGGCCGCGCGGGCCGCCGCGCCCGCGCCCGCCGAGGCGACGCCCGACAGGGGCGCGCGGCGCCGGTCCACCGTCGCCGAGCGCAAGGCCGCGGCGCTCGCCCTGCAGGCGCGCATGGACGACGAGGAGGGCAAGGAGTCCTGGGAGCGGAGCGAGCTCCGGGGCGTCGGCGACGGCTTCCGCGGCCCGGACGACGACGACCGGCCCGCGCCCGCGCCCGCGCCGCCGCCCGCGCCGCCGCCGCCGAAGCCCGTCGACGACGGGCCCGACGTCTTCGCCTGCGCGAAGCGCCTGCTCAAGTCGAGCGACGGCACGGACCTGTCCTTCGAGGAGATGCGCGCGATGACGTTCGTGCTCCGGCGGCGGCGGCTGCTGACGGCGAACTGCGCGCTGCCGACGGGGCGCCTCGTGACGATCCGCTACACGGCCGACGAGACCGTGGCGTCGGCGCAGGCGCGGCTCCACGACCTCCTGGGCCTCGACGCCGTCGAGCGGAGCCGCGCGGTTTTGCTCGCGCCGACGTCCGCGCCGCTGCCCCTCGAGGACAAGCTCTCGAGCCACACGGAGCACAACAACGCCACCCTCAAGCTCGTGTCCGCGGACCTGCTCGACGCCGCCCTGCCGCCGCTCCCGCGGCCCGCGGCGCCGCGCGCCGCGCCCCACATGTCCTACACGCGCATGCTCCGGAGCCGCACGGACGGCATCATCCGCGGCGACCTCGGCAAGGACCTCAACAACCGCTGGGGGCCCACGCGCCTCCGGCCCATGAAGCTCCGGCCGAGGCGCCGCGCGGACCGCGACCGCGGCCGCGACATCAACCAGGGCGACCGCTACGCGAACCGCAAGTACAACTACGTCTCCTCCTTCCGCGGCCACCGCGGGCCGTCGACCGCGGACGGCGTCCTCCTCTAAGGTGGCGGCGCTGGTATGTTTCTACTGGTATGAACTTGAAAGTCTGAAGGTCGAAGGCGGCCTACCGCCGGACGAGAGATGCCCGAAAATTACGCGGGTCGCTGGGGCCCAAACGCCGCCGGCGAGTCGCGCGCCGCGTCGACGGCGCAGCGCCGGAGCGTCGCGAGGATGTCGCGCGCGTGCCGCGGCGTGATCCCCGCGCGCGCCTCCACGGCGACGGCGCCGTAGCCCGCCTCCGCGGCGGCGACGATGTTCTCCGGCCGGTCGTCGACGAGGACGCAGCACTCGCGCCGCGCGACGCCGCCGTCGCGCATGATCGCGCCCATGTTGTGGACCTTGGACGCGGGCACGTCGACGAAGAAGTTGCGCAGCATCCACGACGCGCCGTCGTAGCAGTGGTGGTCCGCCTTGGCGGCGATGTGGAGCGTCTGCGACGGCTCGTCGCAGTAGCGCGGCGGCCGGGCCGTGTTGATGGCGACGTGGGCGCCGCTCGCCCTCGCCGCGGCGACGAGGTCGTTGACGACGCGCTGGTCGGCCGTCGTGATGGTGCCGTCGATGTCCAGGGCGAGGGCCGACGGCGCCATCAACGACGGACGACGCCGATGGCTGGTGGTCGCGCTGGTGGTCGCGCTTGAGGGCCGACGGACGGCGCCGATGGCTGTGGCAAAGTCAACGCCGCTTCACCATCGCTTCATCTCGAGGCCGAAGCCGAAGCGCCGGGCGATGAGCGCCGTGGTGGAGCTCTCGACGCCTCCCGCGCCGCCGGCGCGCGCCGAAACGGATGCGCAGGCGTCCGCCGCGCCGCCGCCCGCGCCCCTGGACCCGGAGCCGTCGGTCGCGACGCCCGTCGTCGACGAGGCGGAGGTCGCGGCCTGGCGCCCGCTGGCCGAGGTCGAGGCCGACAGCGGCGACGAGAACGAGTACGACGTGCTCGAGTCGAGCCTCTGCGGCGAGTACTCGTCGACGGGCGGCGTGGCCATGAACCACAAGACCCAGAACGGCGTCGTCAAAGCCCAGAAGGCCGCGATCAAGGTCGCGAATTACCAGGGCCGCGACGACCGCGCGACGTCCGAGCAGGTCATGGACCCGCGCACGCGCCTCATCCTCTTCAAGCTCCTGTCGCGCGGCGTCTTCGAGTGCATCGACGGCTGCCTGTCGACGGGCAAGGAGGCGAACGTCTACTACGCGCGCGGCGGCCCCCAGGCCGCCGCGCTCGCGGAAGCCGCGGGCGATGCCGCGGGCGCCGCGGCCGTCGCGGACCTCGCGGTGAAGATCTACAAGACGTCCATCCTCGTCTTCAAGGACCGCCAGCGCTACGTCGACGGCGAGCACCGCTTCCGCAACGGCTACTCCAAGGGCAAGAACCCGCGGAAGATGGTGCAATTGTGGGCGGAGAAGGAGCTGCGCAACTACAAGCGCCTCGTGGCCTGCGGCGTGCGCGCGCCGAGGCCCGTGCTCCTCAAGGGCAACGTGCTCGTCATGGAATTTATTGGACACGACGGCTGGCCCGCGCCGCGGCTCCGCGACGCGACGCTCAACGAGCGGCGCGTCCGCGAGGCCTACTGGCAGACGTGCCGCGCGATGCGCGTCATGTACAAGCGCTGCCGGCTCGTCCACGGCGACCTGAGCGAGTACAACCTGCTCTGGCACGACAAGGAGGTCGTCGTCATCGACGTGTCGCAGTCCGTCGAGCACGACCACCCGCGCGCGTCGGAGTTCCTCCGCAAGGACTGCGCGAACGTCAACGACTTCTTCGGCAAGACCGTGCCGCACCCCATCGAGCCCCTGTCGCTGCGCGAGCTCTTCGACTTCGTGACGGGCGACGGCGCGGCCTTCGCGACGGACGCGGACGTCGACGCGGACCTCCAGGCGCGCATGGAGGCCGCGCGGTGCGGCGACGCGCAGGACGACGCGGTCTTCATGAACGCCTTCCTGCCCCGGTCGCTCAACGAGCTCGGCTTCAACACGGAGCGCGCGCAGCGCGAGCGCGACGAAGGGGCAAACGAGGCGTGCTACGACGCGGCTTTGGACGGGCTGCTCAAGGCGGAGGACCCGGCGGACGACGACGACGCGTCCACGGGCGACGAGGAGGAGGAGGAGGAGGAGGAGGAGGACGACGACGACGAGGCGGACGCGCGGGGGCGGCTGCCGGACGGCGCGGAGGACCGCGCGCGCGCGAAGGAGCGCAAGAAGGCCGCGGCGAAGGCGCAGAAGGAGGCGCGCCGCGAGAGCCGCAAGTCCAAGGTCAAGAAGCACGTCAAGAAGAAGGCCTGCAAGGGCCACAAGAAGGTGTAACGCGGGTTTTGTTTTTTGTTGTTGATGTGCGGCAACTTGCCGTCGTGGAGCAGCGATGGTGAAGCTCGACGCATCGAGGTGAGCGCTGCTGACGGTGCGGTCTCCGCGCGTCTGTCGTCTGATTTGGTCGAACGCGTTCGCAGCTGCGTGTGCCAAACTCTCACAGCTGCGACGGAAGCGATGGCGCCGCTGCTGCGCGTCTGCTGCGCGCTCGGCGTCGCGTCGGCGCTCGAGCTCGCGTCGCCGCGGCGCCGCGCCGTCTTCACGTCCGGCGCCGCCGTCGCGACGACGCGGGCGCTGCCCGCGCTCGGCGACGAGCCCGCGTACGCGGGCACGGCCGAGGAGCGGCGGCAGGCCGTCTTCGACCGCATCAAAACTTTGGGCATCCGCGGGTTCGCGGAGCCCTGGCCCGAGACGCGGCGCAACATGCTCTGGGCCGGCGGCCTCAAGGACGAGCCGCGCACGCGCGGCGCGTTCAGCGACTACAACCACTGCGACCTCGTCTGCATGCTCCCCGCCGTCTTCGACGAATCGAACGCCGACGGCGCCGTCAAGGGCATCTCGACGTCGAACGCGCTGGGCGAGGCGATCCGCGGCGCGAGCCTCGCGGAGTTGGGGGCCGGCGGGTCCTGGGCGACGTGCATGCTCGGCTGCGGCTCGGAGCCGCCGCGCGACGTCGCGCACGTGCAGTTCCGGGCGCGCATCGCGTTCAAGCTCGTCTGGTGCCCGGGCGCGACGGACTCGTACCGGCGCTTCGTGCTCGTGGGCGACGACGGCACGCTCCTCGCGTCCGGCGCGCCCACGGGCACGAACTGCCGCCCCTCGAGCAGCGGAAGAAGAACTTCGCGATCGTCGAGGGGTCCAAGTACGCCCAGGCCGCGACGGTCTTCCGCTGGCCCGACGTCTACGACCCCACGTACAGCGGGGAGCAGAGCTAATGGATTGGATGTTATCGTGAGTCGACTGGGGGCGAGGACCGCGAGGAGTAGACGCGAGGAGGCGTGCGAGGTGCCGAACGAGGCGTCGAACGCCTCGGGCCCACTCGAGTCCTCGCTCGGCGATCGTCAATTCTGCCACTACTTGAGTAGGTCGTCTAGCACCAGTCTAGCACCAAGCACGCGGCTGGCCTTGCACCACTTCGTGACGACCCCCGCGTTTCCTTCGTGTCTCTGGCGCTTCGTGTCGCCCTGATGGACAGTCTATCAGAAGATGCGCTGTCGATCGTCTCCGGCTGGCTCTTTCGAAAAGAGCTTCTTGTCGTTCGGGCTCTGTCTCGCACCGGGCGGAGCGCCGTGCAGCTCGCTGTGAGAAGCCAATGCAAATGCCGAACGTGCACATTAAGCGAGTTTATGCCGGACAAGTCAGGAATGTCGGTGGAGAAAGCCGCGGCGCTCGGGCGCGTCTTCGGCGGCGGATGTCGAAGCCTCCACATCTACTTGTACAACGACCGGGATGCGTCTGAAGATACAAAGACGATGTTGCTCGAGGCGACCCGCGCGTTTCATGAGACCATCGCCCCCCCGGGCTTGGAGGAGCTCCATATCCAAGTCGTCATGCCGGAAAAGATGCTTCTCGAGATTTGTGGCGCGAACCCGCGGATGGTCACGCTATCTATCAACACTGGTCCCCTCCCGCGAAGCGTCCTGGCCAGCGTCGGCCTGGTATGCCCGTTGCTGACAAGAGTGCATCTGTCAACTGGAGGGCTCTGCGAGGCGGAAGCTTACGCCATGCATTTTCCGAGACTTGAAACGCTTCGTTTTGGTGTCCGGGGCGAAGGGACTCAATCAAACCGCTACATTATACAGCCTGCCGGACTGAAGCTAATCGAAGAGTCTGCAGCGCGCTGCGTCGAAGCAACGGGATGCGACTTTGATGAGTGTGTCGTCACCCCGGCGTTGGCGGAGTGCGTGCTGCGGAGCTCGTTGCCTTCGCGCGTGACGTACCTGAACCTTTACTGTTCACAAGTCACTATGCAGACTGTTCTTGCATTCGCCGCATCCTTCCAGAACCTGACTTCACTCCTCCTGCCTCCCACGTTCGCTGTCTTGCCTTTCGATTCCGACGATAGAGAGTATGGGTCGCCAGAATTCTACGAGGCGATCTGGCGTGCGCGCCCCACGATCACGGAAATGGACGTTAGCTATGCCGATGGCGCCGATCTAGAGGTCGTGTGTCGGCTTTTCCCGCTGAAGAATCTCACTGTTACGCATCATACCTTTGAATTTGGGTCAACCACGCTCGTCGACATCATTCTCGCGAGTCCGTGCCGCGACACGCTCATCGAGGTTGGGATTTCATGCACGAGCGCAACTGAAGTTTTGCGCCTCATCACGACGCTGGAAAATGTGAAAGAATTCTACTACAATGATATGACCCAACCTGATCCTGATGAACCTGAGCCCGATTCAGACGAAATCTTTGACCGCATCGACCACATTATGAAAAGCCGCGGCGGGAGATGCTACTAGCACGGCTAGCTTAAAACCTCCCTAGCAGGGCTACTCCAGATCCACGACGATCTTGCCGACGTTCGCGTTGGACTCCATGTAGTCGTGGGCGTCCTGCGCGGCGTCCAGGCCGGTGAAGACGCGGTCGACGACGACCTCGTAGCCGTCGAAGCCCGCCTGGAAGCGCGTCGCCGCGTCGAAGGCCGCGACGAGCTTGGCCTTGTAGGCGATGGGCCGCGCGCGGAGCGTCGTCGCCAGCAGCGACGCGCGCTTCGCGAGCAGCTTCCCGAGGAACGTCGCCGCGACCGCGTCGTCGAGCTTCGGGCCCGTGAGCACGGAATACAACACCCAGCGGCCGTCGACGGCGAGCGCCTCGACGTTCTGCGACGCGTAGGTCGACGCGACGCAGTCGAGGATCACGTCGAAGCCCTTGCCGCCGTTCGCCGCGACCGCGCCCTCGAGCCACTGGGCCGTCGCGCCGCCGACGCGCGGCGCCGCGACCGCGCCGACCGCGCCGAGGCGCGTCGCGACGGCGCACTTGGCCTCGCTCGACGCCGTCGCGACGACGCGGCCGCCGTGCTTCGCCGCGAGCTGCGTCGCCGCGCAGCCGACGCCCGACGCCGCGGCGTGCAGGAGCACGGACTCGCCCGGCGCCAGCGCGCCGACGAGGAAGAGCAGCTGGAACGCCGTCAGCCACGTCTCCGGCACGGCCGCGGCCTCGCGGAAGCTCAGGTTCTTCGGCTTCCGCAGCACCGCGCGCGCGTCGACGGCGACGCGCTCCGCGAACGCGCCGCCGGACACGAGCGCGCAGACCTCGTCGCCCACGGCGAAGGCTTCCGCGTTCGCGCCGACGGCCGCGACGACGCCGGCGACCTCGAGGCCCAGCACCTCGCTCGCGCCGGGCGGCGGCTTGGCCTTGCCCTTGCGCTGCAGCGTGTCCAGCCGGTTCACGGCCGTCGCCTTGACCTCGATGATGAGGTCGTCGGGCGTGCACACCGGCTCCTCGACGTCGACGACGACGCACTTGCCGTCGCGGGCCACGACGCCGCGCATCGTGATGAGTTTGCTGTCGATACCTTTCGCCGCTCGATTGCAGACCTTCAGAGACGAGCTCGCTCGACGCAGCTGCAGACCTTCAGAGACGAGCTCGACGTCGGAACTCGCCTTCAGAGAGAACCCACCTCCGTGCCCGTGGCAAGAAAAGTGCATCATCGCAGGTTGCGGCAAAGATGCACTTTTACGCGGGCAGGTCGACGACCATGTAGCCGTGGGTCGGCGCGTTCGGGTCGTCGTTGAGCGAGGGGAACCCGAGCTCGAAGGCGACGGCGACGGACGGCTCGAGGTTGAGGACCGCGTGGCCCCAGCCCGCGGGGACGAAGACGACGTCCCCGGCCTCCTGGACGACCTCGTAGGGCCGGACCGCGAGGCGCGGGTACTCGGCGACGAACCACTTGAGCACGGGCGTCCCGAAGGGCAGCGGCTCCTCGCCGCCGAGCGACGCCGCGAAGGCGTCCACCGTCGAGTCGCGCGGCTCCCAGAGGAACCACCGCTTCCGGCCGCTCGCGAGGTAGTTCCACGCGGCGCCGTGGATGTGCGGCGGCGAGCCGCTCAGCGCCGGCGCGAGGGCGAACTGCTTCATCGTGCAGTCGTCGTCCTCCCGGAGGAGCGGCCGCGCGCCCGGATCCGCGTCGACGGCGAACGGCGGCGCGTCGGCCACGTGGCTCCTCTGCTGCACGAACGCGCGCGGCCGGTGGCCTGCGTGGGACGCAAATCTGCGACATACGCTCTCTCCGTCGAGACCTCGATGACAGGAAACGACTCGTCCAAAACGATTCGACCGTGCCCGAGAGTTTCGAAGTTTGGTCGGGACGTCCCGAACCGGCGGTCGATTCGCGCGCGGCCGGTGGCCCGTGGGCGCCGCGAAGTGGGGCGGCGGCGGCGAGACGTCGGCGAGGAGGCCCGGCGCCAGGGCGGCCGTGAGGCGCTGGAAGACGACGCGCGGCGGCGGCGCGCGGAGCGCCGCCGCGCACGCCTGCCTCGCGTCGCCCGTCTCCGCGAAGGCTTCGCACGCGGCGCGGAGCGTCGCCGCGTCGCCGCGGAACTCGTCGGCGACGTAGGCCCCGAGCGTCGTCCACGCCGGCGGCAGGCCCTCCGCCGTTTCCACGGGTTTGGGGTCGGGCACGTAGGGCGCGCGGCTCGGGCGGACCGCGACGTCCGAGAGGTACGGATCCGCGAGGAAGTCGCGCCGCCGCCAGCGGCCGCTCGCGCGCCAGGCGGCGAGCTCCGGGAGCCGCAGGACGACGGGCCCGCCGCTCCGCCGCAGGTGCGCGCGCCGGAAGCCCAGGAAGTCGTCGGCGTAGTCGTCGCGGCGCGGCACGAGCGGCGCGGTTTCCGGGAGGACGGCGAGGGCGTCGGAGAGCGCCTTGGTGAGCTTTCGTGGTATCGTGCGCGGCGCCCAGCCGTCGTCGTCGTCGTCGAGCTGGGCCGCCATTGCCGCAGCCGTCTCACGATGGGCTACTCCTTTTTGCGGCCATCGTGGGCTGCGGGTTCAACATCATCTCCCGATGAAGCTGAACCCCAGCATGCCGGCATGACAATGTGCCGGAGCATGGGGAGCGGAAATGCGAAGATCTTGCGCTCATAAATTCGAGACGCTGCGCCGATAGATGCGCATCGTCTCCTCGGTCATCGGCATGTCCTCCGTCATCTCGCGCCTGCCGGTCGGTCCTCACGCGCGCGGCCCGCCGAAGGGCCAGCCGTCGACGCCCTACGCGCAGCCGGTCGAGGTCGGCGCCTTCAGCCGCGACCGCGCCGGCGGCGTCCATTACGACCGGCGCGCCCTGCGCACGTACCGCGAGCCGCGCCTGCCGAGCCCGCTGTCCGCGGGCTTCAACGACTTCGTGCCGAAGCGGAACGACCTCGCCGCGTCCGAGGCGGCGCTCGTCGCCGCGGCGGAGAAGTTTCCGGACGCGAAACGCGCGGCGTTCGTGACCTACCGCAACAACCTCAACAAGCTCTGCGCGACGCCCTACAGCGACGACGACTGGGAGATGGGCGTGTCGCGCCTCGCCGACGGCCGCGCGCTCCTGAGCGTCCGCGAGACGGAGCGGCGAAGGCGCAACGACGCGGCCCAAACGGACGACGAGCGGCTCTGGTCCTTCTTCGGCTACCGCTTCGAGGCCCTGTGCACGGACGACGACGCGACGCGGCCCGTCGACGCGAACGAGGAGTTCGTCGGCGTCTTTGCGTGCAAGCTCGGCGACCACCGAGTGTGCGTCGCGGCCGAGATCGACTGCGAGGACGACGGCGGCTACGTCGAACTCAAGACGAACAAGCTTCTCACCACCCCCCGCCAGGTGCGCACCTTCGAGCGCTTCAAGCTCTTCAAGTTCTGGCTCCAGTCGTTCCTCGTCGGCACGCCGGCCGTCGTCGTCGGCTTCCGCGACGACGCGGGCGAGTGCTCCAAGCGGCAGCGCTTCGACACGCTGAAGCTGCCGGCGCTGGGCGCGAAGCACTGGCAGCCGAGGGTCGCGCTCCACTTCGCGGACAGCGCGCTCTCGTGGCTCGGCGACGCGACGCGGGCCGCGTGGGCCGACGAGCCGGACGCCGAGCTCGTGGTGCGCTTCGAGCCGTCGGAGCGCAGCGTCGTGTTATTGCGAGCGGACCGCGCGAAGAAGGCGCGGACGGACTAACTAGGCGCCGGTCTGAGCCAGGAGGCGCGCGGCCTCGGCGCGCGGGTCGGCCCACTCGAGGGCGCCGACGAGCGCGAGCGCGGGCGGCCGCCGCTCCGCCGCGAAGGACACGCGCGTCTCGTCGACGACGCGGGGCCGGAGCACGGCGGCGCCGTCGTCCGCCGCGGCCCGGACGACGGGCGCGACGGGCCCCGAGGCCACGAGCGCGCGCGCGACGGCGCCGAGGAGCCGCGCGTCGCCGCGCGGCGCGACGCCGGCGACGTCGTCGACGCGCGAGAAGGCGTCCGCGGCCGGCGGCGGCCGCCAGGCCCAGGCCGCGCCCGGCGGCCGCGCGCGCGCGCAGGCGGCCGCGGCGGCGGCGACGCGCGGCGGCGCGCCCGCGAAGAGGTCGGGCGACGGCGCGCACTCGACGCGCGCGAGGCTCTCGCCGTCGCAGACGAGCGCGACCAGCGCCCAGCCGCCGTCGTCCCGCGCGAGGCGCCGCACGGCGACGACGTCGCAGAGCGCGCGCGCCGGCCGCTCCGCCGCGTGGGCGGCCGCGAGCGACGGCGCCGTCGGCGCGCGCGGCCGCGGCGCCGCCGGACGGCGCGGCCCGAGCCGAGCGACGCGGCCCGCCGCGTCGACGCCCGCGAAGGCGCGCGTCTGCGCCACCAGCCGCGCGGTCGGCGGCGCCGCCGCGCCGTCGACGACGCGTCGCGCGGGCGTCGGGGACCTGCTCGCCCCTGTTGACACGACGAGGTCCGCGCGGTCGCAGACGACGGCGCACCGCGGTTCGCCGTCGACGTCGCCCGCGACGACGGAAAAGGCGTCCAGCGCCACGGGGCCGTCGAAGGCCGACCCGTCGGCGACGCAGAGCGGCACGCCGTCGACGAAGCCGTCGCGAGCGACGCCGACGAGCGCGGGGCCCGGGTCGTCGAGGACGTCGAGGGTCGCGTCGCGCGGGAAGAGCTCGGACCCGTCGAGCTCCCGCGCGTCGCCGCGCCGCGCGCGCGCGAGCGCGAGGGCCCGCGCCGCGGCGGCGCGCGGCGTCGCGACGCGGACGCGCGGCGCGGGCTCCGGCGCCGGCGGCGAGAAGAACGAGCCGCCCGCCGCGTCGCCGTCGTCGCGGCGCGCGGGGCCGCCCCGCAGGCCCCAGAGCCCGTCCGCGAGCTCGGCCGCGGCGGCGCGATCGTCGCCGAGCGCGTCCCGCGCGTCGAGGACGAGCGCGGCGAACGCGCCCGCCGCCGCGACGCGCGCGCGCGCGCCGCCCGCGCCGAAGACGACGCGGCCGTCGACGACGAGCTGCGACCGCGCCGATAGACCGACGACGCCCTCGCAGACGCGCACGGGGTCGCGGATCACGACGCTTTGGCCCAAGGTCGCCGGCGCGCGGCCGCCGGCGAACCAGCGCGGCGCGAAGACGCGGACGCCGTCGGACAGCGAGACGAGCTTGAGGCTCGTGGAGACGCCCTTGACGACGCCGCGGATCGCGTCGCCGGACGCGTCGGCCTCGGCCTCGACGTCGCAGGCGCTGCCGTCCGTCGCCTTGACGCCCGCGCGCGCGACGCCGGCGACCACGACGAGCTCGGCCGCCGCCCGCATGCGCGTGAGCCGCACGCGCCGGCCGACGACGAGGTCCGCCGCGATCGCCGCGCCGACGCGCGCGAGGACCGCGCCGCGCGCCGTCCGCAGCTCGGCAAAGTGCCGGTCCGTAGGGCCGGCCCACGCGGACACGGCGACGACGACGCCGCGGACGTCGGTCGCGGGCGGTCCGGCGGGCGCCGGCGGCGCGGCCGGTGTTGCCGCCGGCTCGGACTTGCGTCGAGGCAGGAACTGATACTTGCGCTGCAGGTCCCAGCTCAATCTCTTTGGTTTTGGTTTTGCCTTCGGCGGCGGCTCGACGCGCGCGACCTTCGCCGGCGGCGCCAGCTTCGCGCGAGCTTCATATTTGTCCTTCATTTTGTTGAAGCGCTTCATTTGTGCCTGTTGCGCTAGTCGAGCGCGTCCGTCCAGGACGGCCTCATCGGGCGGATCGTTCTCCCCGGACACAAATGCACAGTGAGGCGATGTTGCCTCAACGTTGCCGTAGCAGGCCTCGTCGCACCCGTACGCCCCGGGGCCCGCGTCGCCCACGGCAGAACGTACGCCTTACCTCGACGCGTTGCGCTTGGGCACGTCCTTCTCGGTCGCGAAGCGGAAGACGAGGCGCTTCTCCGCGGCGGAGTAGGTCCCCCAGAACTTGTGGTCGTTGATGTCGTGGAAGACGTAGTGGGGCTCCTGGTAGGGCACGGGCACGACGCCCGACGCCGGCGCGTGGACCTCGTCCGCCGCGCCGAGGTACGCGGCCCACCAGGAGTAGGTCGACTCCGTGACGACGAGGCGCTTCGCGCGCGTCATGTACAAAAAGTCCGCGGCGACGGACCGGTGGGGCTTCTTCGACGTGCCGTCGGCGATGGCCGTGAAGACGCGCTCCGCGCCGAGGCGCTCGACGAGCTCGCGCACGACGCCCGGCTTGCGCTCGTCGCAGCCCGTGACGACGCGGATCCGCGCCGGCGCCGGCTCGAGGTGGCGGAAGATGTGCTCGAAGTAGTTCTCGTAGGAGTAGTACTTGTAGAAGTGGAGCGGCGAGTCGCAGAGGCGCACGTGGACGACGACGTCGTCGGGCCGCGGGTCCTCCGTGAGCTCCACGGCCTTGAACTTCATCCACGACCGGAGCAGCGTCGACACGCCCGCGAAGAACGCGTACTGCTGGAAGTAGCCGATGGTCTTGACGCAGCCCAGGGAGCCGTCGGCCGTCTTGAGCAACAGCGCCTCGAGCTGCTTCGCGAGGCGGACGCGCCGCGTGTCCGCGGGCCGCTCCGCGAGCAGCAGCGTGCCGTTCCCGAGGTACTCGCCCTTCGTCGGCGTCAGCTCCGCGCAGGTGTCGTAGGCGTGGCGCCGCGCGCCCAGGGCCGACTTGTCGAAGATCTCCCTGAACGCGTCCCAGGACTGGGCGCTGTGCGGCGGCATCTTCTCGTTCATCGGGCCCTCGCGCGCGTCGACCAAGACCGCCGCGAAGTCGGACCCGAGGGACCAGGCGAGGAGCCGCCCCATGGCGTACTGGAAGAGCTGGTTCCCGAGGCCGTTGTGGTGCACGGCGACCGTGACGAAGGACTTGGAGCCCGCGGGCTCGCGCGGCGCGAACGTTCGGGGGTCGAAGCCGCACGCGCCGTCGATGGCGTCGTGGTGGTCGCTGCTCCCGATCTTGTGGTGCGTCGACTGGAGCACGAGCGACGCGCGGCAGAGCCAGCCGCCGCGCTTCAGCGCCGCGAGCGTGACGCCGTCGCGCGACGCGGCGATGCGCCCGCAGTGGCGCAGGGCACTCTCCGACAGGTCCGCCGCCTCGCAGCGCGCCTGGAGCGACGGATCCGGCGTCCCGGCGCCGTGGCGCGGGCGCGCCGGCTCCGCGCTCCGCGTCAGGGCCGCCGGGACCAGGAGCAGCGCGGCGCGCGCGAGGCGCGTCGTCATAATTGTGGCTGGGTTGAATAAAAAGCGGGATTTGTGATGCTCTTGAAGTTTTTGAGTTATTGGCTCTGCGCGCAAGACGACGGTGCCGGCTTTCAGATGCAACAAGAATTTTGCAAATCGGTGGCCATGGCGCCGAGATAGAGCTTGCCAAAGGTGCCCATCACCACTGGCGGAGCCCTCTTTACCATCGATTTTCTCGAAAGCGTATCCCTTTGCTCGATCCCGGATCTTAAACAACCCAGCCACAATTGGGGCTGCCCGGCGACGGGCCTGCCTTGCGGCACCATGGCGGCGATATCAACCCGCGGCAGGGCATTCTTGCCCTTTTGGCTGCCGCTCTCCGCCATCCAATCGTGTCTTCCTCGTCCCGACGGCCAGCCCCTCCAGCGTGCCCGCGCTGTTTCCTGCTCCTAGCCAGCCCCTCCGTCATGCCCGGTCGCTGTTTCCTGCTCTTCGCGGCCTTGGCGGCTAGCGACGCCGATGGGAACGCCTTTACCGAGCACGTCATCACGGCGCTCGCGGACGGCGCCCTCGAGGTCTTCGCCATCGACGTCGACGGCGACGGCGACACGGACGCGCTTTCCGCGAACTGGAACGACAACACGGTCGCGTGGTACGAGAACGACGGGTCGCAGTCCTTTTCGGAACGGGTCATCTCGACGCTCGCTGTCGACGGCGTCCGGGGCGTGTTCGCGATCGACGTCGACGGCGACGGGGACGTCGACGCGCTTTCGACACTTCAAAACGAAGACACGGTCGCGTGGTACGAGAACGACGGGGCCCAGTCCTTCACGGAGCGCATCATCTCTGACACGGCGGACGGCGCCCTCTCCCCCTTCGCGATCGACGTCGACGGCGACGGCGACGTCGACGCGCTCTCGGCGTCCTTCAACGACGACACGGTCGCGTGGTACGAGAACGACGGCTCCCAGTCCTTCACGCAGCGCATCATCACCGACTCGGCGAACTACGTCTACTCCGTCTTCGCGATCGACGTCGACGGCGACGGCAACGTGGACGTCCTTTCGGCGTCCCGATCGGACAACACGGTCGCGTGGTACGAGAACGACGGGTCCGAGTCCTTCCACAAGCACGTCATCACGTACTGGGCGACACGCGCCTGCTCAGTCTTCGCGATCGACGTCGACGGCGACGGCGACGTGGACGCGCTCTCGGCGTCGTCGTTTTTTGATGGTGCCGTCAGCGACAACACGGTCGCGTGGTACGAGAACGACGGGTCCGAGTCCTTCACGAAGCGCGTCATCACGACCTTGGCGGACGGCGCCTACTCCGTCTTCGCCATCGACGTCGACGGCGACGGCGACGTCGACGCGCTCTCGGCGTCCTTCAACGACGACACGGTCGCGTGGTACGAGAACGACGGATCCCAGTCGTTCACGAAGCGCGTGATCACCGACTCGGCCGACGAAGTTTGGAGCGTCTACGCGATCGACGTCGACGGCGACGGCGACGTCGACGCGCTGTCGGCGTCCGAACAAGACGACACGGTCGCCTGGTACGAGTCTTTGATGACGCCGGCTCCGACGATGACCCCGGCGACGAAGGAGCCGACGGTGGCTCCAACGCCGTCCCCGAATCGCGACGACGACGACGACGACGACGACGAAGCTGCGCTAGCTTTCACCGCTCTGCTGGCCGTCGTGCTGCTCGCCGTCTGTCTGTTCGGCTGCGGCGCCGGATTCTTCTTTTTCTACGCCCGCTCCAAGTCCGCGGGAAACGAGAAGGAGGCGTCCTCGCAGGAGCTGCCGGGTCTCTTCAAACATTCTAGCAAGGTAGAGCAAACGAGCAAACCGCCGATGCCCCTCGTGTGAGCACCCCCATGATGACGCGGCCTCCGCTCCCTGTCCTAAACACTGCCGACATTTGTCAGCTGGGCGCGCCGCGGCCGACGGACTGGGACCCGCGCGGCGTCCTGGGAGTGCACCGTCGGTGAAACTTGCAGCGGTGTTGCACTAACCTTGCAGCGCGATGGCTTGAGTAATGCGCGAGGCTTCCGCTGATGCAGCTGGCGATGATGCACCCAACGCTTCAAGCGCTGCATCCATCGATGCAGCTCCGGCGGAGGCCACGACCGTCGTCGACCTCGGCGTCCAGGTCACGAGCAAGCGCGTCGTCGAGCCGCTGCGCTGCGTGAGCGTCTGCCGCGTCGTCAAGGCCGACGCCGCGGGCGTCTTCGCGGTCGGCGACGCGCTCGAGGTCGCCGGCGCCGGCGCCGCGCTCGCCAAGGCGCTGAAGCGCGGCGCGCACCTCCTCGCGCGCGCGACCGTCGCGCGCGCGAACGACCGCGGCCGGCGCGTCGCGACCGTCGTTGACTACGGCGGCAAGTACGCGGCCGGCCCGGCCGCCGGCGACGCGGACGCCTGGACCGGCGCGGTGCCGCGAGGTTTGGAGTGGATGAAACCGCCGGACGAGCTGCCCTACGCGACGGAGACGCCCGGAATCGGCGGCTCCATCAAGGCCGCGTGCGGCGACTTCGTCGTCGAGGAACTGTTGGACGGCGAGCCCGACGGCGTCGTGCACCGCGGCGCGTACCACCACTGGCTGCTGCTCCGGCGGGAGAACCTGACAACGGAGTCCTGCCAGCGTTTGCTCGCGCGCGCGTTCGGCCTCGACGACTTCCGGGACGTCGGGTGCTGCGGGCGCAAGGACAAGGTCGCGCGCGCGACGCAGTGGTTCTCCGTGCCCTGCTACTCGCCGACGCTCGAGCGGGTCGTCGACGACGCGGCGTCGCTCGTGCCGGCGCCGCTCGAGGTGTTGCGCGCGGAACGGTGCTCGCGGAAGCTCCGGCGCAACGGGCACGCGGGCAACCGCTTCGAGGTGACCGTCACCGACGTGAAAGACGTTGCGGCGGCGCTCGAAACGTGCGCGCGGACGGCGAAGGCGCTCGACACGCTCGGCGTGCCCAACTACTTTGGCGCGCAGCGCTTCGGCAACGGCTGCCGGACGGCCGCGCGGGGGTTTCGGCTGCTGGCGGCGCTCGGCGCCGCGCGCGGGCCCGAGCGGCGGCGCCTGAAGAAGCGGCTCGCCAACGGCTTCGCCGAGAGCTTCGCCGTCGCGGCCTTCAACGCCGCCGTCTTCAACGCCTACGTGGGCGAGCGGCTCCGGGACGGGACGTTCGCCGCGTTCCTCGAGGGGGACGTGTGCACGCGGCGGAATCTCGCGCCCGGCCGGCGGCCGGCGGCGGACGACGCGTTCGACGCGGCGGCGCTCGACGCGGACTTCGCCGCGGGCCGCTGCTCCTACACGGGCCCGCTGCTCGGCCGCGCGCTGCGGTCGCCCGACGCGGGCACCGCGGCCGCGGCACTCGAGGACCGCGTGCTCGCGCGGTGCGGCGTCGCCCGCGAGACCGTCGCGCTCGTCGCCGAGGGGTCGCGCCGCGCCGCGCGGCTCCCGGCGCCCGGCCTGTCCCTCGCGGCGACGCCGCGCGGCCTCGTCCTGGCCTTCTCGCTGCCCCGCGGCAGCTACGCGACGTCGGTCGTCCGCGAGTTCACAAAGGCGCCGACGCCGCCGCCGGCGGACGGCGACGACGACGGCATCGACGTCCCGCCGCCGCCGCCGCCGCCGCGCCGCGGGACGTCCCGCGCCGGCTTCGCCGCGTCGCGCGCCGCCGCGGGCAAGGGCCGCCGCCTCGAGAAGTGGCTCCTCCACCGCGTCCGCGGCGCCGCGGACGACGACGCGCCGGACGACCACGGCGCGCGGCGGCTCCGGCTCCGGCTCCGGATCCACGCGGAGCTGCTGCTGGGCCGGGGCGCTTCTCAGGCTTAGTTTTGTTTTGTGCTCGAGTTTGATCTTAGACGTCCGCCTCGACGTCGGCGGCGCCGCGGTCGGCGCGCGTCGGCGTCTCCGGCGGCCCGTCGGGCGGCGCGGCCTTCGCGGGGGCCGCGCGCGTCGACGGCCCCCCGCCGAAGCGCGCGGCGACGCGGCGGCCGTAGGCGAGGAGGCGCTCGGTCATGGGCGCCTTGCCGAGGTGGGGCTGGGAGCAGAGCTTGAGGAGGACGACGGCCGCGAAGCGGCTCGTGACGCCGAGGAAGAAGAGGACGGGCCAGTTGAGCCACTCGTTCTTGATCCATTTTCCGTCGATCTCGCAGACGCCGTCGTTGTTCGGCGTCTCTTTGAGCCTGAGGTCGTAGAGCCAGCCCTCGTGGAACGTGAAGCCGAGCACGATGGCCAGCGCCGACTCGCGCTGGGGCTTGCCGTAGAAGTAGGGCGGCATCTTCCACGCGTGGCTCAGGTGCCGCGTCTGCTTGACGATGAGCGTCTCGCCCGCCCAGCGGATCGGCGACAGCCACGTCAGCAGCCGCGTGAAGAAGTCCTCGTTCGTCGTCTCGAGGCGCTCCGACGGCGGCGAGAGCATGACGAGCACGAGGGAGACGCAGACGACGAGGAGCTGCGCGTCCTTTGGGCCCACGACGACGGACGCCATGTACGCGTAGCCGCTCACGGCGTAGGAGAGGAGGTAGAAGCACGCGAAGACGAAGGGCAGCGTCGGGTCCGGCGTCGCGAGCGTGTAGAAGGGCACCGTGAAGGAGAGGACGAGGATCGCGAGGCGCGGGATCTGCACGAGGTCCTTGCCGAAGAAGTAGGCCGACGCGGACAGCGCCATGCCACTGCCCGGCGTCGTCTCGCGCCAGTGCACGAGGCGCTCGCTGCCGAAGACGCGGAGCGACGTCACGGCGAGGAAGAGCTGGAGGCCGATGCCGACCCAGACGATCATCGTCGGCAGCGACGCGACCTCGACGTTCGCGCTCTGGCTCCCGAACGTCGCGCCCGTGCCCGTGAGCAGCAGCACGTCGAAGGCGAGGTCGCCGGGCTTCATGAGCTCCTGGAGCAGCGCGCGCCGCGCGAAGAGGAAGGCCTCGGCCCACCAGCCCCGGCCCGCGGGCACGTCGTCGGCGTACGTGAGCTCGACGCCTTCGGGCTTCAGCGCGACGTCCTCGGCCGCGAGCTCCGACGCGTCCCACACGGCCGCGAGCGTCCCCGCTAACACCTCCGCGGCGGGCCCTTCGGTGACGCCCGCGGGCTTGGCCAGGCCGCTGAGGATCTCCATGTAGTAGTCCGCCGGGTTCGAGAACTCGGGGAGCGCGTAGCCGAGCGACCGGAAGTAGGGCTCCGCGGCCGCCGGCGGGCCGTGGTAGACCATGCGCCCGCCCACGCCCAGGAGCACGATGTGCGTGAACGACGAGAAGAGCGCGAAGGACGGCTGGTGGAGCACGACGACGACGTTGACGCCGCGGCGCGCCAGTTCGAGCAGCGCGCCGACGACGTGCGCGGACGTCGCCGAGTCGAGCCCGCTCGTCGGCTCGTCGAGGAAGAGCAGCGACGGGTTCGACACGATCTCCATGGCGACGTTGACGCGCTTCTTCTGGCCGCCGGAGATGCCGCGCCGCTCCGCGTCGCCGATGACGACGTCGTGCGTCGACCGGGCGAGTTGCACGATGCGCAGCACGTCCGCGACGCGCTGGTCGATCTCCGCCGACGACAGGGGGCGGTCGGCCTTGATCGCCGCGTAGAACGTCAGCGTCTGGCGCACGGTGAGCTCCGGGAGCATGACGTCGTCCTGGGGCACAAAGGCCACCAAGCTCGACAGGCGGCCTAGCCCGCCGCCCGCGTGGCGCTCGCCGCCGACGTGCACGGCGATGTCGCCCGTCGTCACGCCGTAGCCGCCCGCGCGGTCCGCGAGCACGGACATGAGCGTCGTCTTGCCCGCGCCCGACGGGCCCATGATCGCCGTCACGGACCCCGATACCACCGACCCGGACACGTCCCGGAGCACGACCTTGCCGCTCGCGCGGACCCGCAGGCCCACGCGGTCGAAGAAGAGGTCGACGCGGCGGGTGACCGTCTTGTTCGACGGCAGGTGGCTCAGCGACCGCCCCTCGAGCGACGGCCGCGCGGCGCCGTCGCGCCGGGCCTCGACCGCCGCGAAGCCCGCGGCGGCCGCGCCGCCGACGAGGAAGACCGCCGCGAGGAAGCCCGCGACCTGGGCAGGACAAGAGAGATTCAACGTCGATTCAACGTGAGTGTTCCGCGCGCGCGCGTTCCGGGAAAAGCATTCACGCTTCAAGACCGTTCCGAGAGATGATCGCTCGTCCAAAAATCAGCCGAAACGAGTGGAAAACGGCCGAGAAATGAGCCTTTGAAGTTGGGAATTTCGCTCTCTTGTCCTGCCCTGCCCGCGACGTAGACGACGACGAGGTTCCACTGCGTGCCGTAGGAGCCGCCCCGGGCGTAGACCGTCGCCGCCGCCGCGAAGACGACGCCGAAGACGACGCACAGCGCGACGTGCGACCGCCTCGCGCAGCCGCAGCACGTCCACACCGCGCCCGACTCGGACCGGAGCGCCATCGCGATGACGTCGTAGTGGCAGAGGCCGCAGCACCCGAACACGGACACCGCCGCGAAGAGGACCGCGGCGACGGCGACGCCGTTGTGGAAGACCGAGACGAGCATGAGCGTCAGGGCGGCGCCGCCGGCGAAGAACACGACCTTGGCGTGGTCCTCGAAGCTGAGGCTGTAGAAGGGCGCGTCCTGGCCCAGCTCGTCGTCGACGACCGATTTCGGGCTCGACGCGTCGCCGTCGGTCGTCGTCGTGAGGCCGAACGCGTCGCGGGCCGCCGCGCCCGCGGCGGCGTCGATCTCCTGGAGCGCCTTCGCGAGCGACGCGCCCTTGGCCCTGGCGGCCTTCGACGACGTGAGCGCGCGCACGAGGAGCAGGAGGCACGCGACCGTGGCGACGAAGAGCGCGCACGTCTCCGAGTAGTCGGGGAACTTGAGCCCCTCGTCCTCGCAGGGCACGGACGACTTGCCGCCGTGGAAGAGGGCGTGGCACCGCGCGCCGCGCGTCGAGCCCGTCGGGCACGCGTGGTTCGTGTGGCACTTGTGGCGCTGCGCGCTGTCGCGGCAGTAGGAGCCCGCGGGGCAGAGGTAGAGGTGCTTGCTCCCGGGGCAGACGCGCCGGCCGCCGCCGACCTTGTGCGACGCGATGGACTTGTCGACGGAGCCCGGGTAGCGGCACTTCGTGTCCCGGGGGTTCGTCGTGTTCGACCGCGGGCAGTAGCCGCCGGCCGCGCAGCGCACGAGGCACGTCTGGAACTCCGGCGAGAAGAAGCCCTCCGGCGCCGCGTCGACGTCGCCGGGCTCGCCGTTGTCGTAGCGCCAGCGGAACAGGCCCCCGGCGCAGGCCGCGTCCGACGCGTCGCTCTCGAAGGCGCACCTGGGATCGCGGGCGTCGACGGGCTTGCGCGCATTCGCCAGCTTCCTGAGCTGCTCGCCGTCGCAGTGGTTCGCGTAGAACTCGTCCGCCGTGAGACCTGCGCGGAAATCGACCGCTGGTTTGGGGGGTCCCGTGTCGCAACGGTCGCACACGCGCACGTAAAGATTTTTGAATTCGGCGCGGCGTCGGACCGCCCGAGCCGAACGTCTCGAGGAGCGCGGACACCGTCGCGTTGTAGAACTCGTCCGGGTCGCGGAAGAAGTCGACCCACTCCTCGAGCGTGTCCGGCGTCGCGCCGTCGCCGTCGCGCAGGGAGTCGCAGGAGACCTTGAAGTCGCGGAAGACGAGCGTCTCCATCCACGACTTCCTCTCGCCTCGAGGCTCGCGGCGGTACCTGCGCCCGACGCGTCGCCGCGCGCGCGCGAAGACCCGACCGCGGCGTCCGACGCGTCGCCGCGCGCGCGCGAAGACCCGACCAGGACGCCGCGGCCGCGCTCGAAGAAGGCGTCGCGCGTGTGCAACGTCACGTAGGTGGCGCCTAGGACGAGGACGACGCCCCAGAGGAAGGCGAAGCGCTTCGCCTTGTCCGCGAGGGACTGGAGGACCGCCGACCCGCCGCCGCAGGGGGCGCAGCGGTGGCCCTTGCGGTTCGCCCCGCCCATCATGACCTCCTTGAGGGTGATGACCGGGGCGGAAAAGCGGGGGGCCATGGTACTGTTGATCGATATCGGCCCGGCGTGTGTAGTTTGATCTATCGGGGCGGGCTCGCACCTGAACTAGGAAAATTCCTACTGGCAAATATCGTCGAAACGAAATTCTGTGCGCGATGTGGTCGCTCGCGGCGCGAGCCCATGAGCTGGTATCACAGGCAGGTTATGTACAGGCTTCTTTCCCTCTGGGCAGCCCTCTCGTGAAGGCGCCCTCTCGGCCGTGTGTCTCGGCGGCGCGGCTCTCGGCGGCGGCGTCGGTGCTTGCTTCTTGGGCTCCTCGCGCTCCACCTCAGAGGAGCGCGAACGCGGCCGCGAGGCCGGCCGCGGCCGCGGCGCCGAGCTTGGCGGCGCCGTCGGACTCGCACGGCCCGCACCACCCCGTCCCGTCGTCGTACTCGAAGAGCTCCCCGGTCTCGGGGTCCTTCCAGACCGTCTCGAGGCAGAGGCCCTCCGCGCACGCGATGCAGTCGCGGTAGTCCGTCGGCGCGGCGTTGTAGCCGCAGGTCGCGCAGGTCGCGTCGCAGGCGCAGTCCTCGTGGATGACCTCGCCCGGCGCCGAGTAGCACGTATGGGCGTCGTGGTCGTGGTCGTGGCCGTCCTGGTCGTCGTGGTCCTCGTCGTCGTCGCCGGCGCAGGCGAACTCGAAGAAGGAGACCGTGCCCGACCACGCGCCGGCGACGATGGCCGCGGCCTTGCCCGAGGGCGAGTCCTCCGCGGAGACGAAGAGGATGGACTCCGGGTCGACGTCGCCGAGCGTGCCCGCCGCGTAGGCGATCTCCGGCGACAGCGTCTCGGACGCGGGCGAGAGGTGCTCCGCGAAGAGGAACGTCGGCGCGGAAACGTCGGAGATGTCGTAGACGAGGAGCGTCGACGCCTTCTCCGTCGCCGTGACGGCGAGGAGGCGGCCGCAGGCGACGCCGACGGCCATGGACTCGGGCCCCGCGCCGTCCTTGAGGGACCGCTCGTCCACGGTCTGGCCGAGGGGGCACGCGCCCGGCGCGCCGTCGCCGCTGTCGTCGCAGCCGTCCGCGGCCGGGTCGTTCATCTCCTCGAGGGTCTCGCGGAGGCCCTCGCCGGCGACGTCGTAGAGGAAGCCGCCGGGCGCGCGCGTCAGCGCGAACTCCTCGTCGTGGACCGCGTTGTGGGCCCAGGGGTAGGCCGCGCACTGGCGCGTCTCGAAGTCGGACCCCGAGTCCCAGACGAGGGCCATGTCGGCCGCGGCCCAGATGGACATGCCGCGGCCGCCGAAGCCGACGACGCGGTGAAGCACGGGCGCCGCGGGGTCCGAGTAGTCGACGGCCGACGAGCCGATGGTGACGCGCATGGACGTCCCCCCGAAGTTCGCGAAGCCGCCGGCGAGCGCGCCCCCGTCGACGAACTCCGCGAAGTCCTCGCCGAAGGTCGCCGCGTCCTCGACGAGGTCCTTGAACTTGGTCTTCTCCTCGTAGGCGCCGTACTCCTTGTCGTCGCCCTCGTTGGGCGTCGCGAGGTAGGTGGCGCCGTCGACCTCGAAGGCGACGAGCGTGTCCGGCATGCGCATCGAGTAGAAGTCCGGCTTCGGCTCGAGGACGCACGCGCCGTCCTCGACGGTGTCGACGCCGAGGGCGCTCCAGTCCTTGAGCGGCAGGCCGTGGATGGCCGTCGCCGTCGCCGACGCGGCGTCGACGGTGACGATGGCCGAATTCTCCTGGAGGTTCACGTAGAGCGTCGACCCGTCGGCGGACCACGCGACGTACTCGGGCTCGAAGTTGTTCTCGGGCGCGTAGTTTTCGCGCGCGGCGGCGAAGTCGAGGTCGCCCGAGAAGGCCGCGCTGTGGTCGTCGAAGTACTCGAGGGCCTTGAGGGGCAGCGCGAGGTGCACGCCCGCGGCGATGAGCTCGTCGTCGGTGCCGAGGCCCGCGAACGACACGGTGGTCACGGTCGGCGACCCGGAGGCCCAGTCGGAAATCAGCGTCGTGGACCCGGCGGGGTCAACCAGTGAATCGCCGTAGACACCCTCGCCCTCGTCGGCCGTGGCCGCCATCGTGCACGCGGGGTTCGGGAGCACGGAGTCGGGGAGCGGGCCGACCTCGGCCGTCGCGACGGGCGCGCTCAGGTCCGACGTCGCGTAGATGTGGACGTGGCCCGGGTCGGTCTTGACCTCCGCGGCGGCGGCGACGAAGAGCCAGCCGCCGCAGACGGCGACGTCCGTCAACGACCCGCCGCCGACGGCGAACGCGTCGACGACGGACCCGCCGGCCGCGCCCGCGTCCGCCATGTCGACGACGGTGACGAACCCTTGCTCGGAGACCGCGTAGAGCGTCTTGGTCGCCGGGTCGTAGGCCGTCTTCTCCGCGGCGCCGAAGCCGAACTGCGCGTGGACGCCGTCGTAGGGGAGGTAGATGCGAGACTTGAGCGAGACGCTCGCCACGGAGCCGGGCGCCGAGGCCGTCGAGGTGTCGAAGACGGCGGTCTTGGCCGCGGCGGAGGCGGCGAGCGCGATGATTAGCTTGGCGTGCATCGTGATCGAGGAGCGGGAGCGAGTGAATGAGATGCGATATACGAATCCGCGATTTTTTTTTCTCGAGAGAATTCGAGGTCGGCGAGGATCGCGGTCAACATAAAACAAGACGGCGTGTGCGCCCTCCCACGCCTCCTTCCGCGCAGGCGCTGACGACGTCGCCTCGCGTGGTCGCCTACGACGCCATACAAAATAAATAACATTTACACGGAGACGCGGAAGGCCGTTGATGGCGACGGAGTCGCCTAGAGGAGTCGCCAGCGTCGTCGTCGCTCGCGACGAGCTGTCCGCGCCCAGGAGGATAACACCCCACTACGCGAAGGCGAAGCGCCCCCAGGGCCGCGGCGGGCCGAAGGGCCCGACGCACGCGTCCAGGGGCACCTCAAAGTGGTCCGTCTCCGCGCCGCAGGTGCCGTCGGTCGTGTTGAAGAACGCGCGGCGGAGCTTGGCGCCGTCCATCGCGTCGCGGACGTCGAAGGCGCCCCACTGGCCGTCGCCCGGGAACAAAACCGGCGGCGAGTAGCAGGTCCCGAGGGCCGGCAGATCGTAGACCTTCTCGTCGACGCCGCAGCCCTCCGGCGCGGAGGACTCCTCCGCGTCCGCGCGGTACAGCGCCATCCGCAGCGTCCGCGGCGCGAAGGGCGTCGCGGCCACGGCCTCTCCGTGCGCCGCGAGCCAGGCCGCGTGGACGTCCGCGAGGGGCGTCCCCGCCAGCGCCGCCGTGCCGTTGCAGCCGAAGGGGTCGCCCGACGTCACGGTCCCGTCGGACCACCAGATACACGACACGGTGTCGTAGTCTCGTTCCGGCGTCGTGTCCAGCAGGACGTGCGTGCCCGAGCCGAAGGACCGCGTCCACTTGGCCTTGGGCGGCGCCCCGGCGACGACGGCGGCGTCGGCCGTCGGCTTCCCCAGCGGCTTCTCGAACTCGTCCCAGCGCCGGAGCCACGTGTCGCACGCGTTCGCGCCGTCGCCGTCCCAGCCGACGCCCGCGCCAAAGTAGGACCGCTCGCCCATGCCGACGAGGAACGCCGCGAGGTGCTTGCTGAGGTGGGGCTCCGTGGCGTACTGCGCGTGCACGGCGACGAGGGAGCCGCCCTTCGCGAGGCCCTGGAGCTCGTCGATGTCCTGGTTCGGCGTGAACCGCTCGATCATGCCGCCCGTCGCGTAGCGCAGCGCCTCCGACGTCGGGTAGTTGGAAATCAGCGTCGCGTCGCCGACGGCGGCGCGGAGCGCGCGCGTCGACGCGTTGAGGCCCAGCGCCCACGGGGCGCGCGCGGCGCCGGACGCGCAGGCCGTCGCCGAGCTGCTCCAGCCGCCGCGGTTGCCGTCGATGAACGCGCCGTCGATGGCGCCGGAGCCCACGAGGTCCGCGACGCGCGCGACCCAGCGGTCGCGCGTGTCCGGGTTGGTGAAGTCGTAGACGCGGAACTCGCCGCGGGGGGCCTCCGACGCGTTCAGAGGGTTCGCCTTCTCGGACCAGGAGCTGTTCGCGAGCGTGACGTTGTCCGCGCAGGCCAGCTCGGCGCCGGGGAGGCCGTCGAGCGTGACGCCGAGGTCGTAGTAGGTCCGCGCGAGGTCCGACTCCGTGTACATGAGGCAGGGCACCTACGTTCGTCGTGTCCGTCGGGCGGAGGCGCGCGGGGCGCCGCGGCGCGCGTCAACCTGGCCGCAGGCCTCGGAGATCTTCTCCTCGGCGCCCGTGTACTTGGGGTGGTCGAAGAGGCCGTGGTTCTTCTCGAAGACGACGAAGGCCGACTTGGACATGTTCTCGACGGCGCCGGCGCTCCAGAGGGCGCCCGTGCGGTTCGCGCAGTGCATGTAGGTCGAGACGTGGTCCCAGGTCCAGGCCGGCAGCTTCGGGGTCGGCGCGCCGTCGGAGAGCGCTTGGGCGGAGCGCGCTTGGGCGACGGCGAGGGCGGCAAAAAGTGCGTACATGGCTGCTTGGAGCGGCCCTGTTTGGGTGCCGAAGGCTGCGAACATCGTTCTAATTGCCACAGGCGGCACCGTCACTTCAACATCACAAAAATCAGGCAAGGCCGAAGGCATTGAAGCGCCTCGAAGGAAACGAGCGGCTGCGACGCCCGAAGGCTGCACTCCGCCGGTGCTGGCGCCGAGGCCGGCGGGGGAACCCACAGCCCCAGACCGAAGTAAAGAAACACCCCGAAAAGCGCCATGGCCTCCGGCTCGGTCTGCCGCAACTACCTCGTCACGGTGACCTGCGCCTTCACGTCGCTCTACTTCCTGCGCCAGCAGCCGCTGCTGTCGCGGACGCTCGCCGTCGAGGGCGGCCTGCTCGACTGCGGGTCCTGCGCCGCCGAGGCGCGCGAGCGGGCCGTGCGGCGCGCGTTCGCCGCCGCGGACGCGCGCGCCGCGCGGGACGCGCTGGCCCGGCTCTGGCGCCACGGCGGCGGCCTCGGGGCGCCGGCCCTGCGCGCGCTCCGGGGCGGGCGCCGGCGCAAGCGGCGCCGCGCGGCGGCCGCGGCCGCGGCCGCGGACGCCGCGCGCGCGGCGGCCGTCGCGGGCCGGCGCGCCGAGCTCGCGCGGCTCGTCGCGCGCCGCGGCGCCGCGGGCGACGCGGCGACCGAGATCTGGCGCAACGCGCGGGGCGGCGGCGGCGCGGGCGGCGGCAACGCCACGGACGTCGACGCGTGGGCCGCGGAGGCGCTCGAGGGCGGCGGCGCGCTCGACCTCTTGGGCGACATGGTCTGCTTCGGCTCCGAGGCCGACGTCGCCGCGGCGGCGGAGCTCGTCTACTACGTCGCCGAGCGGTCGCCCGCCGCGCGCCGGCGGCTCCTGGAGACCGCGACGGCGCGCGCCCGGCGCCGGGAGAGGGAGACGGGTTCCGGGAGCCGAGGGGGAGCGGCGGTTTCCGAGCGAGGGCGACGGGTTCCCGCTCGACGCCTTCCGAGAGAGGGCGACGCCTTCCCGCTCACTTCGCCCCCGCAGGTGCCCTACGGCCTCTTCCTCGCCGTGCTCGACGACCCGGGCCGGCCCCTGAGCTGGAGCCGGGCCCAGGCCGGCTGGGCCCTGCTGCGGGTCCTCGACCGCGACGCGCCGCCGGCGCCGGAGTCGCTCGACGTGCGGCGGGCGATGGCCCTGCGCCTCGAGGATCTCGCGGACGCGGCGGCGTCGCGGTCGCCGGGGGCGTTGCCCGCGCTCCACCTCCTGTCCTACATGGCGGCCGACGGCGCGCCGGGGCCGCCGAGCGCCGCCGCGGCGCGCGTCGCGGCGCGCCTCGGCGGCGGCGGCGGTCTAGGCGACGGCGCGCTCGGCGCGGCGCTGTACGCGGCGCCGGAGCCCGGCTGGTCCAAGCGCGACGAGGAGCGCGTCTACGCTTTGAACGCGGCGGCGCACCTCGCCTGGGTCCTCGCGCACCGGCTCCACGGCGACTTGGACGGCGCGCCGGAGGTTTCTCGCCGCGCGGACGCGATCCTCGGGGGCGTCGCGGCGTCCGCGTCGAAGCCGCTCGCCGCGCTGTCGACGGCGCGCGGCCGCGACGTCTTCCGCGCGCGTGAGCGCGCGCTCCTCGCGGCGCCGAAGCCGGCGCCGGGCGAGCCGAGCCTCGACGGCTACGACTTCGAGGTCGCGACGACGCGGTTCGCGAGCTACGCTTTACGCATCCTCGCGCGCGCGGACGCCGCGCGGCCGTCCGTCGCCGAGGCGCTGGGCCTCGACAACGGCGCCAACGTCGCCGACGTCGACGAGGCGCTGACCGTGGCGACGGCGAGCGACGTGTCCCAGTTCCTCGACGACGTCGCCGCGGTGCTCGGCCGGCCGCTTCCCCGGTCGATCAAGCGGACGGCGACGCTGGCGCTGGCGCTCTCCCGCGTCGCCTGGCACCACGTGGCCTACTCGGCGCCCAACGTCTACGGCCTGCTCTCCGTCGAGCTGCTGGCCAACGGCCTCGTCTCCGAGCGGTGGCTCCGCCGCGTCGCGCCCTGTGCCGAAATCAACCACCGGTTTGGGTGGTCCTGACCAAACTTCAGAACTCTCTATCGAAGTCGATTCGGCTGATTTTTGGACGAATCGATCGCTCTCGTCGAGTTCTCGAAGCACAGCAGAAAGCCTTGCGTCGAAACGGTCGCATATGCGCACATTGAATTCGGGTTGAAGATTTGATTTCCACACAGGTCGCGCCCGCGGACGTCGTCGCGTCGCTCGTCGACCGCGCGGCGAAGCGGTCCGAGGCGCCGCCGGGCGCGCCCGCGGCCGCCGCCGGAGAGCACGCCG